TGTTTCAAGGATATGATTGTGATGGAGGCTTCTGGTTGTGTAGCCTATGAGAAATAGTCATGGGTTGAGATGGGGAATTCTCGACAGTTTTTGGACAATCCCAATTCATATTGGATCCTTCTAAAACTGTTCTGGATAGTTGTAGTTCTTCCTGATGCTTTATAAACAGTTCTAGTTCTTCCTTAATTGTACTAAAGTGTTCTGGACAGTTCCATTTCATCTTGAAGCGTTCTTTAAACGGTTCCTGTCAGTTCCGAAGGGTTCTAAATCCCTCCAAGCGATTCTATTTCGTTCAACTTTTACACAATACATCTGGTAATCACAGGAGATCGTTAATAACCATCCCAAGACCTACTTATGAAACTTACTTCCATGTATACGAAACATTTCTTTGATGTCCTCTATGATAATTATATCATCGTTCTAACTCCTATAACCAGATTTCGAGCTAGCAATATTTATTTACACTAAACAGTCTCTATATATAAAATATCACAAGAGGAAGAAAGGAAGCAAATATTTGCCTTGGCCGCGGCCGCCTTCGAACAAATCGATAAATATTTGCTCGAAGAGTGCCGATAAAAATTGTTGTTTTTTTTTTCGGTTTAACAGGCACCGAGTGCAGTAGGCGCTGCACCGCGGCCATCTCGATAATGCCTCTTCGCTTTGCAATTAAAGGCGCAGAGTTGAACTCGTTCGCGGCGTAGGTGGCTCTGCGCTTCGATCGTAAATCATAGGAACCGTTGCACCGTTATACAGGGCGTCCCCAACTGGTGGGGCTCTTCGATTTTCGAAACAATGCGATGATGGAATCTCGATGGTGTTTGTTAACGATCCCGTATCCGTCTGATCTGATCCCTGTTTATCAATTTGGGGATTAAGGGGGGGATTTGTTCGGGCAATTGAATGGAGGATCGACAACAATGCGATTTCCATTAGCTCGGAGAGAGGATGTTTAAAAAGAGACAATTAGGTGGTATCGGTTTGATTTGCCGCTGGAATTGTTTCAATTTGTTATGCAAATGGGAAACTGTCGAGTTTTCTGCGTGTCAAGTTTTCTCGGTGTAATCTGGCTAATCTGCGACCTTCATCTTCTATACATAATCCCTCTGTTGCTTGTACGATTATAAAATGGAGTCCAATGGGAATGATAGGAGTAAAGATATTATCAATTCTTCAATCTTCAACATGATTCCCTAAACATTTATTATTCAGAGATGTCCCAATGTTCTCTTCTTTCTCTTTCCACTGTTCCTGCTCTTTCTCCAATTACCTAATTCTCTAAACATCTATTAATCCCTATTTCTTCTCGTTTATTGTTGTTTCTATTATTTACCACTTGTTCTCTCATCTGAACATGATTCTTTAAATATTCATTACTATTCAAAGATATCCCGATGTTCTCTTCTTATCCTTTCCACTATTCCTCATCATCTCTACTCGTTTATTTTTGTTTCTATTATTTATCAAATCTTTTCTTATTCTCCGGCGTTTTTTCTTCTCTCTCATCTACTGTATCTCCTGATTTTTACTTGTTCGTTCTTTTTGTATTATTTATCACTACTTTTCTTATTTTCCTGCTCTTTTTCCAATGATCTGATTCCCCAAACATCCATTAATATTCACATATTATATCCCTATTTATCTTCTTTTCTTTTCCACTGTTTCTCTTCATTTCTACTCTGCATTCTTGTTTTCTATTAATCATTTCTTCTTATCATTATTCTCCTGATGCTGTTTCTAAGAAAAATTCTGAGCCATTCCGAGTCTTAAAATATCCATTTGTGGATGAAAAGTGAAATTGTACAGAATATCCAAACTTTTCATTCTGTTTTCTTGCCGTTTCTTTGGGTTTTCCAAACGCTTGGAGGAAAAATTCGGAGGAATTTCCACCGGTTGAGGCCGTTTCAATTAGCCGGAAAAACCGGAAGCGCTTCGATCCGATTAGAGCTTTTCCTATCTTCGCGAAAACTCCGGAAAATCGGCCGAAATAAACCTTTTACATCGATGCTCAATGTCACTTCATTAATTGAAAATCCACACGCACGCGAATTAGGATACAGATAAAAAAAATAACTTGTAATTGCACCGGGAATGGTCGCAATTAGGCGAAATTAAACCGATTAATTGCCCGGTAATCTCTCTCTCTCTCTCTCTCTCTCTCTCTCTCTCTCTCTCTCTCTCTCTCTCTCTCTCTCTCTCTCTCTCTCTGTCGGGCGCTTATTAAAAAATTTTTCGCCGTCGCCATTTTAACGTTAGATTTCCCGCTGGAGTTTTCCAGAAGGCTTTAAATAACTCCATAATTCATACGTATGGGAAATTTGTTTGCGAACGGGGTATTTTTAGATCGGTTCTATTTCGATGTATCGATGAGTTTTCGAATCGTTCGAGTTTCCACTGTGTATACAGGGCGTCCCAAATAAATCCTGCATAAACTTTTAAAGCATTTTTAGTTGTTTCCACGCTATTCGACATTTCCCTAGTGCCAAAATGCGTTGTTGCCATATCGTTATTCTCAAATTTCCGCTTTTTCTAGTTGACAGGTTTTGACTGTAATTTGTTATTTTTGTGATTTTCCGTGACAGTTTGGAGTAGTTTAGAAACGATTCGGAATAGTTTAGGACAGTTCAAGATGGTTTTGGGACACTTTGGAACGGTTCGAGACGCATTTGAAACAGTTTAGAGCGGTTCAAGACGGTTTTGGAACAGTTTGGAACTGTTCAATTTGATTTTGGAATGGTTCAAGATGATTCAGTTAGAACAGTTAATTGACAGAATTAACTAGGGAAATTTGACGGTTTAAATGACGATGCGTTGTTGCCATATCTTCACTCTCAAAATTCCAATCTTTCTAGTTGACAAGTTTTGACTGCAATTTGTTATTTTTGTGACTTTCCCAGCGATTTTTCTCTCTTTCTGGAGCGTTCTAAATGGTTCTAGATGTTAGAAATTAAATATATCCGTAATGTAAAGGATTTTAATTACGATCCGGCAACGTTGCGACAGTCAGGCTCGTGACGTCATTGTCTTTTTAGATCGGATAAGCTGTATATAAAGTATTATTTTTTCGCCTAGTGTATAATATTTCAGTATATTCGATTAGAGAATGTCGGGGCGTCGGATTAATAGAAACCTCCCAAGTTCTCCGTTTCAAACAATGCACCTCCTAGTGATATTATATTGAATTTATATTACGAGAGAAAACGGGAGTGTATAATAATTGTCGAGACGTTAACGTAACAAAAGGGACCGTTATTAAAGTCGTTAATTTCCCGGAATAACGACAGGTAAAGTCTCTATATTCGGGTCATTTTACTTGAAATTTCATCAAACTTCTCTTTGTCAAATTGTGTCATTTTGCTGTCATCTGTCAAACTCATTTATACTGTAATGTGTCAAACTGATATTATTGTTGCCATTTGTCAAACTGTTATTTTTACTGTTATATGTCAAACTATTATTCTTCCTGGCATCTGTCAAAGTGTTATTCTTGCTATTATTTATGAAACTATCATTTTTGCTATCACCTATCAAACTGTCATCTGTCAAACTTACATTATTGTTGCCATCTATCAAACTATTATTCTTCCTGACATCTGTCAAACTGTTATTCTTGCTATTATTTATGAAACTATCATTTTTGCTATTACCTATCAAACTGTCATCTGTCAAACTTACATTATTGTTGCCATCTGTCAAACTGTTATTCTTTCTGTCATCTGTCAAACTTCTATTGAGATTTTTCGGTATTATTTTAACGTGAATAACCCGTATTTTTTGAGTGAATTTGTCCGATGTAGAAATGTAAAATAAATTCTCCCGACATTTTTTAACCGCTAACGTTTCATTGTAAACGATTCGACACAATCCGGAATTAAATTCGATTATTGCGTTGATAATTCGTCGAATCGATGAAAAACGATCCGAAAACGTAACGGTAAAATAAAATAAAATCTGGTGAAAAATTAAGAGCGAAACGAAAAAATTAATTCCCGTTCTTTGTTTAGCAAGAGCACCAAGCGAACGATTTAGTGAATGCATTTTTGTTTAATAAAGTTTATTAACAATTTCGCAGCAAGCTGTGATATTGAGAAAACTTGTAGATATCAAGTATGCACAACAAATGTCATTTAAGATATTTGACATGGAACGTAAAATTGCGAAAACATCCGCTAGCAAAGCACACTTGATTTCTACACATTTTTTTTCGCTTCATTTTTCGAACTTTTCATTGACGGAGCGGGGGGTGAACTTTCGCGAGTTAAACGCTACTAACAAATGCGAAGTTTTCGGAGCGCTTTCTGGCCAGTTTAGTGGTCGTAAAACAACAAATTAATAGAAGCTTCCTGTCGTTTAATTGCGATTCGCCTCGCCACATCGCTCGATTTAATTCGCGAAAACCCCATCGATTTTCCGCCGAAATAAACAACAAATTTCCATTTCCATCGCGGCTTACCCAACGCTCCGAGATGGAACAAAAGAAGCTACTCACCTACTCGGAAAAAGGCCTCAGCAAAATGTACAGCGAAAATCATATAACATACAAAAAAAAAGCGCCACAAATTAGAGCACCCAAAAAAATAATAAAAGCTACGAAAAGCTCGTTCGGAAAAGCGCACTACACTCTCACAAACAACTCAACTCGACGATTCTTGCGCCAGAATCTGACCTTTTCGTTTCCAATATTGCAACCAAATGGGGACATTTCGAATGGGGGACGGCGGAGGTGGCGGAAAACCCGGACCGCCCTCGTCGGACGTCCGACGACGACTGAACGCAAACGATCGCCGAAAGCATGTAAAATAGCGCGCCCGAAGGGCGATCGGCCGCCATCGGGCCCGACTCGGCTCGTCCCGTTGCCTCTCGCTATTACGTCAATAGGATGGCTCCGTCTCGCTTCCACCCCCGCACGGCCGAAGCCCTCTCGATCGGGGTGAGTTCGTGTGCATGTGTTATGTGTGTATACGTATGTGTGTGTGTGTGTGTATACGGAGAATCTAGGCGGCGTTGCCGCGTCGAGGTTTGTGCGGAAGTTATGGGGGAAGAATAACGGCAACGTTGCGAGATGTTGTAGTCGGACGGTTCGGTTTGGGAAATTCGTTGTAGGTAGGTTTAGAGCTGTTCGAATTTGTTTGGAGTAGTTTCGAATTGTTCGAGACTGTTTGGAGTGGTTTAGGAACGATTCGGAATAGTTTAGGATGGTTGAAGATGGTTTTGGGACACTTTGGAACGGTTTAATGGGACAATTTGGAACGGTTCACTTTGGTTTTGGAATGGTTCGAAGACGATTTTGGAATAGTTTAGAACGGCTCAAAACCATTTAAAAACAGTTTGTAACAGTTTGAAATGGTTTAGGAATGGTTTGGAGTAGATTTGAACTGTTCGCAACAGTTTGGAGTAGTTTGGAAACGATTCGGAATAGTTTAGGACTGTTCAAGATGGTTTTGGGACACTTTGGAACGGTTTAAGACGGTTTTGGGATAATTTGGAACGGTTCACTTTGGTTTTGGAATGGTTCAAGACGATTTTGGAATAGTTTAGAACGGCTTAAAACCATTTAAAAACCGTTTATAACAGTTGAAATGGTTTAGGAATAGTTTGGAACAGTTTGAAATGTTTTAGGAATATTTTGGAACAGTTCAAAATGGTTTTGGAATAGTTTAGAACAGCTTAAAACCATTTAGAAATAGTTTAGAATAGTTCGAATTGATTTAGGAGTACTTTAGAACAGCTTAAAACCATTTAGAAATATTTTATAATAGTTCGAAATGGTTTAGGAATACTTTAGAACAGTTCAGGACTGTTTAGAAATAGTTTGGAACATTAAAAAAAGGTTTTGCAATAATTTGAAACGGTTCAAGATAGTTTTGGAATAGTTTAGAACAGCTTTAAATCATTTAGAACAGTTCGAAATGGTTTAGGAATAATTTGGAACTGTTCAAGATGGTTTTGGAATAGTTTGAAACGGTTCAAGTTGGTTTTGAAATGGTTGAATAGAGTTCAGAATAGATTAAAACGGTTCAAAACCGGTCCAGTATAGTTTCGAATCGTTCCACATAAATTCATCGCGTTTTTATTGGGACACGCCGTATATGTAGAATATATTTTTTTTATTCGTATAATACGTTAACAACATCATTTCTAAAAACTACTTTACTTCGGATAATATGCCACGTCATACCGAAACCATTCTACGTTTTGGAAACGTTTCCAATTTCCTATCGTTTGAGCGGCATAAAGGCCCATCAAAATTACGTTTTAGAGCCCATCTAACTGCCACAATGCCCGGCAATAATAACGTTGCCGCATGATATATGGCAAACTTTTCCTCTGGATATATATGTAGTATTTTATTTTTCGAAAATACGTTTTTTTTCTTTTTATTTTGTCCTGTTTAAATGTCATCGCTTTACCAGGAATCGGAGCCTAAAGGCGCGAATACACTTAGTTAAAGCAAAAGTTACTAAATCAAATAATTAAAATTTAGTTACTTGTATGGTGTGGACTGTTCCAAATGAGTCTTGAACCGCTCTAAATTGTTCCAAAACCCTCTTGAACCGCTTTAAACTGTTCCAAGACCGTCTTGAACCGCTCTAAACTGTTCCAAATGAGTCTTGAACCGCTCTAAATTGTTCCAAAACCCTCTTGAACCGCTTTAAACTGTTCCAAATGAGCCTTGAACCGCTCTAAACTGTTCCAAATGAGTCTTGAATCGCTCTAAACTGTTCCAAAGGAGTCTTGAACCGCTCTGAACTGTTCCAACCTAAAATTTAGTTACTTGTATGGTGTGTACAACTTGATTAATTAACTTGTACAATTACCTAATTTAGTAAACTGCTAGATCAAGTTTTAGTTAGTTACTTGATTTAGTAACTTTTGCTTTAATCTGGAGAAATCGAATTTTCATTAAATTTTTACGGTTCGATTTAATTACCCAATGATTCCGAATGAAATTACATTGTATATACGATCGGTTTTTATCGGTTTATCCGGCGCTTTTCCGGCCTTTCATATGTTGATTTTCCCGGCCGAAATTGCCAATATGGCGTCGCACATTACACATATACCTCATTTAGCTTCTAAATTAAATCTAATTAGGATGTATCGGTCGGTTTTTAAAGCGTTTACGGAGCCCTCTAATTGAACTCTCATCCCCCATCATACACCGATCGAATCGACTTTTTGGATCGTGTTTGTAGTGCCATAAAAAAAAGGTAATTTACGTTGACAGATAATGTTTAATGGGGATTAATAAGGGGGGAAGAAGGTCGTACATTCTCCAGCGGTCGTAAATCGATTGCTAGCTAAAGGAGTTCATTAAAACTATAGTTTTAGGAAGAAGAAATACTCCGCGAAATATTCGAAGCTATATTCGAGCTCTAAATGAAACGGAATAATAATTGTATCGAGTAAAAACGATGCGAGTTATGTTGTGTCAATTGTCAACGATCACATGTCAAATGTCAAATCAATCGTGGAATATCGTTGGAAAAAATAAATGTTACATATAAATTCATCGTTCTATACATAATATTTTTAGTTGTTCCTCTATATAGGGTGTTAATTAATTGAATGCCGATGCTTCAGGATGTGAATATTTGATTAATTTTAAGGAGAAAAGTTTATATTAATGTGCGTCCTAAATCTCTTAGTTTTCGAGCTACAGGGTGTTAAAATTTTAGAAAAAAAAACTTTTCTATCATAATTTTCTTATTACTCCAGTTATTTTTAAGAAAATTTGTATACACTTTTTAATTATTAAGGAGCATTTTTTGAGGCGCAAGATTTTTTTAAATTTTCACCAGTGACGTCCGTACGGGGTTTGAACTGAATATGTTTGAAAAAAAATGGTACACCACTGGTTTTTCTAAAAACTAAAATTATTTTTAAAATCCTCGTTTATTTTGTAGCAAATTCGGTCGGAAGACTTATTTTCGTACGACGCACCATTTTCGCGTAAAAAAATAAAAACCAAAACCATTTTTTCCCAAGTTCATTTTGAAACTGCTTTTGATATTTTGTTGAAATTTGATAGGCGCCCACCATGCATGGAAACACTTTTTTTTGGGGATAAAAATTAATTTTCTACTATTATCAGTGACGTCCACGTCCGAAATTTCATAAAAATATCTGCCGTAACAAGAAAATTATGATAAAAAAAGTTATTTTTTTTCTAAAATTTTAACACCCCGTAGCTCGAAAACTAAGAGATTTAGGACATACAACGACATAAACTTTTCTCCTTAAAATCATCCAAACATTGACATCCTAAAGTATCGGCATACAATTAATTAAACACCCTGTATATAATATTTTTATTGGTCCCTCTATATACCGAGTTTTCTCTTCTTCTATATCATGTGTTCTATAGTGACGCGTCCGCTTTTCCGAACGGGAAACTTTCCACGGACTTGGCGACTTGGAGAATTCAATTAATCGCATTTCCTCGAACAATTAATCGCGTTTGAAGTTTCCGACGCCGCGCCGGCTCTCGCCCGTTTCCCTCCTTCGAAATGGCTCCTTCAACCGCCATTATACAGTACAGATACACATACAAGTATCTATATACAGGGTGGAAACGCCAAATGGAATAAATTCGGTTACAAGTCTATACTCCTAATTTATTCGCCGAATGGAATAAATTCGGTTAGTGAATATAATTTGACGGAAGAGTATAATTTGACGTTTCTTAACGTCAAAATGTGAACACTATCTTCAATTTCCTTTCCGAAGAACAGACAACAACCTTGATTTTTTTTTGTTAAATGGGATGTATAGGCTTGTGATATATCGTTTGAAAGGTCACTTTATGCTCTATTCCAAAATGGTATTGTTTTCAAGTTTTTTTTTTCAAAAATTAACATACACTATCGAAACATAGGTTATATAGGTGCGATAAAGACAACTTCCATTAGACACTTATAAAGGAAAAAGAAAGAGTGACATTTGTGTCATTGCAACTTTTTCACTCTGACAGCTGTCATTTTATTAATCTCTCTTCGTTCAACTCATAGAAAAAAACTACCATTGGGAAATAAAAACTCAAAAAAACCATCAAATTTCCAATCAGCGCGTCAGCCAAGATTACTACCGGCTTTATATTATTTAGGCGAATATTCCCACAAACGAGCTTCAAGCGAACGTATATAAAACGTACGAAAATAAAAAAAAATAGTAGTAGTACCTAGCTCGTACCGCCGACAGAAGGCCCGAGTATCTTTCGTCTGCAACGTCTCCGGAAAGAAAAAACAGCTGAGGCTCGAAAGGAGCAGATGCGCCCGGCCTGCTTGAGCGAGGGGGCACCTGCTTTATATATTAGACGAGTATTTTCGGCCCGTGCGCACCATTATAAAGAAACATAACCAATCGAACGATACTCTTTATTCTCTAAATTCGACAGCATTGATAGACATTAAGACATAGATACAGATACATAAATGCCAAATATAATCATTAAAACATAGATACAGATAGATAAATGCCAGATATAGACATTAAGACATAGATACAGATTCATAAATGCTAAATATAGACATTAAGACATTGATATAGAGAGATAAAAGCCAATTATAGACATTAAGGCATAGATACAGATAGATAAATGCCAAATATAGACATTAAGACATAGATATAGATAGATAAATGCCAAATATAGACATTAAGACATAGATATAGATTGATAAAAGCCAATTATAGACATTAAGGCATAGATACAGATAGATAAATACCAAATATAGACATTAAGGCATAGATACACATACATAAATGCTTAATATAGACTTTAAGACATAGATACAGATAGAAAATATAGACATTAAGACATTGATAGAGATTCGTAAATACCAAATGTGGACATGTCTCATAGATGGCTAGATAGAGACTAATCATACTTGAATAGAAGACTAGTTTGGAAATATCGGTGAAACGGAGATATTACAATTACACGTTTCGGTGCGTGTAGTGTAGCCTTCATCAGGACTTTTTTTTTCAAAGACCTCGAGCGTCGGAAAATGATTTCTATAATATCGTCCGAATTTAATCGGATTAATCTAGTAGGTATATAATAATCGAAACGATATGGGCGAATAGAGGGAGCCGAACCGAGCCGACTAGATATATAGGTTTTAATGGGTCGAGTACCAAGGCCGATGCGATGATGTTATTGTTTGTCGAAAGGTGTGGCTCATTAGATGCACAACATGTGTCCCTATCATTGTATTATTCGCCTGCGGAAAATTATTGTTCTATTCGTTTGACTTAATTGTTTGTTTTTTTTTTCGTTTCGTTTCCTAATGGATGAGTAACCTCGATTCGGAATAGCCGTAAATTGTTACATCTGTATCTATACAGGTCTAGAAAGTGTCGTATTCTCTAAAACTTGATAGGGAAAGTTTTGGAGCTATAATGAATATGACTCTTTAAAACTTAAGATAAAACTAAAGATACTGTTGGATTTGTTGAGTCCTTGATACTAGCAATAAGACTAGAAAAATATAGACTGTATTTTGTAATACAATATAGTAGGAATAGGCTTAAAATATCAGTACTACTAGGTCTAAATGTCGTTCTTATAGAAGTTAAAACTAAAGGTACCGGTTTATGGAAATATGTAGAGCGGTTGGTACTAGAATTGACCATAATACAATAACACCAACTGTCTTTTTATTTATTCACTAGGAAACAGTTGGTAACATTTGATAAATTGACTCAATCGGCTGTCATTTATGCAAAAAAAACAAAACTAGAGAATCTAGTGTGCCGCGATTCTGTATTATAAATAAAGGTATACGGGAAGTACCGGAACTAGCGGCGTTTCTACGCGGGATGAGCGTAATGATGTTTTTTTTTTATGCTCGTTTAACAACGAAAGTACTTAACTTTATTGCGTCGTACCGATAGTAACGGATTCGTACTTACTTAAAACACAGCCCGTTTCTCTGTCGATTCTTTTGTTACATTTCACGGAACATAAAAAACCCGACGATGCGGTACTCGCCTCCGCGAGACGGCAGGTACTCTCCTTTCGGGTACTATAATACCGAAAAAAAAAATGTTTTCTAACAGAGTTCGAGCGAATATAGCAAAATGTTTCGAAAGGTTCTTTACCTATACTGTCTTGTATCGAATGTTAAACTGTCAAACGTCAAAGTCGCAAATGTCAAACTGTCATATGTTACATTGTGAAATGTAAAACTGGCATGTTTCGAATGTAAAATTGTTGTAGATAGTGTCAAACTGTTCAACTGTCAAACTGGTCATCTGTCAAAAGGCAAACTCGCAAATGTCAAACTGTCATATGTCAAATAGATAGTGTCAAACTGTTCAACTGTTTTAACTTAGAAATATTTTCTAAGTGTGTTGAGATTGCGAAACGCCGTATCGAAAAGTGGGCTCTTTAGGTATCGAGTAAATAAAAATATTGACGCAATAATCGCGCGAATCGGAGGAAAAATCCAAATATTTACGCGGCCCATTCTGAAATTATGGCCGCATTAAAATTCTCAAAGTGTAAAACCGTATAGAAGGTCGAATAACGAGCCTTTAAATTCGAACAAATATATACTGTTGGAACATTTTCGAATTAATGTTTAACCGATATATATATAATCCTCCGATATAATCGAACAATAGATACTGAAACTATAAAATAACGCTCGAATGCATCTTAATTAGTCGCGCTTGTATAATTTCTTCAGAAAATACACTCTGGTTCGACGAAATTAGTGAGAAAATTCAATAATTTTGACTCAGATCGTACATTCAATAAGTGAAGCTCAATAAATGACATTTGACATGTGTCAAAGCGTAGGGTTTTGCGATTCCCAATATTCTCTAGTCATAAGTTTTTGTTTCTCAACTTTTATCATCTGTATATAGACTGTGAATCTCTAGATTGTTGAATCTCTACATTATTGCATTCATACATTTCACATGTCTACATTTCTCATCACTATATTTTGGTTTCTCTACATTTCACATTTTTATATTTCTCATCTCTTTTGTAGATTCTAAATTTCCTAAATTCTCATCTTTCCGTATCTTATCTCTATTGCTCATCTCTACATTGTTTCATCTACATTTTTACATCACTACATTTCACATTTCAATACATTTCTCATCTCCAGATTGTTGCACCTGCTCTACACTTCACATTTCTATACATTTCTCATCCCTAGATTGTTGCATTTCTACATATCTCATCTCTAGGTTGTTGCATATCTACATTTCTCATCTCTAGGTTGTTGTATATCCACATTTCTCATCTCTAGGTTGTTGTATATTTACATTTCTTATCTCCAGATTGTTGAATCTATATTTCTCATCTCTAGATTGTTGCATATCTACATTTCTCAACTCTAGATTGTTATATTTTTACATTTCTCATCTCTAGATTATTGCATATCTACATTTCTCATCTCTAGATTGTTGCATATCTACATTTCTCATCTCTAGATTGTTATATTTTTACATTTCTCATCTCTAGATTGTTGCATATCTACATTTCTCATCTCTAGATTGTTATATTTTTACATTTCTCATCTCTAGATTGTTGCATATCTACATTTCTCATCTCTAGATTGTTATATTTTTACATTTCTCATCTCTAGATTGTTGCATATCTACATTTCTCATCTCTAGATTGTTTCATCTCTACATTTCAATCTCTCCACATTTTCCATGATTGGTTTAATTTATCAAATTTTTCCAAAAAACATCCCGTATATACATCATATTACACATCGGTAACGCGACCGGGGAGGCCGGTCTATATATATATACTCCCGCCGGTCGATGGAAAATAGAGGAAAAAAGGGGCCCGGCCCTTTTTTTTTTTCTTCGAAGGGCATTTAGCTAATGGTGGGTGCGGCGGTTCGCGGCGCGGAAACGGACCTGGGAGCGGCACCGGCCCCACCGTGGGAGCGGCTCCAACGCTCATTAACTTATCGGTCACCTTCTGGTTATATGCCCCCCACCCCCTTCCTATATATATGTACCCCACTCGCCCCCGCGCCGACGGCGTTTCCGATGTCTTTGATATGCGCCCCGGAAAAATCGATGGATTTCCATTAGAGCCGGACGATATGGTCCTTCCGTTATCCGCCATTAATTCGTCCTGGTGTCCTCTTTAAACAGGTCCTGAAAAGTTCCTGAAAAGGTCTCTCTAATAGACCTTTTTCGACTTCAAATTTGACGGACCTATTCGGATGCAATAAGTCAATAACCGAGGATGTGTCCTCTTTAAAAAGGTCCCTTCCAAGGACCTTCGAAAACTTTAGAATCGACAAATTGAACAGAAGGTTCTTTAGTTATCCTTTTTAAACTTCAATTGCGACAAATTTGGTGAAAATGTTAAGTTTCAAACCGAATAAGAAGGTCCTTAGAGGTGCCAAATTTACTCAAAAACCCTGTTGGTCCTATTTAAACTCCAGTTGCATCAAATTTGATAACAAATTCTTCCTCTCCAGTCCTGCAAAAGCTCGAAAGCCTTTAGAAAACCATTCGACGAAGTTTTTCTAAGAAAACCATTCTTAGAAAACCATTATAGAGAACGATATGGCAATGAAAACCATTCTATGATTTGAACCATTCTAAACATTTTCAAAACTTTTCTAGTCTTACTATGGCTTTCTAAAGCTTCCTAAGGATTTCTAATGATTTCTAAGATTCTCTATGGTAAAGAAAACCATTCTATTATGGTTTGAACCATTCTAAACTTTTTTAAGTCTTCCTATGGCTTTCCAATGATTTATTAGATTATCTATGGTAAAGAAAACCATTCTATGGTTCGAACCATTCTACTTAGAAACCCTTAGACAGTTTCGTATTCATTGATTACAGCATAAAAAGCCTCAGAAGGTCCTGGAAACTCTCAGATAGCCTTTAAAAAGTCTTCACAAAGCATAAAAACCCTCAGAAGGTCCGGGAAAGTCTTACATAACCTTTAAAAAGTCTTCAGAAATCTTCCAAACCACTTCCAAAAAGTACCAATCTAAAAAAACCAAGAACCCTCAACGAACCCTATCACAACATTCGACGATAGTTTCATAATCGAGCCAGCCTTGAAACTACAACTACAACAAATCGAACGGATTCGCCTACTCGATATCGCGACCAGAATTACATTCGATTAGAATTTTATAGAATTACCGGGCCGGTCCCAAAAGTAAATTACGCCGAGACAAACGACGAGGAAAATTAATCAATCGAGATGATGAGACGATTAGGCGCAACTACTTAGAGATTATATGGGCATCTCTAATGGATTGATTGGCGGATGATCGAACCGGGCGAAGGCGGGACGGGGCCTATAAATGCGGAGAGCGGTACTAATTTTTTTTCAAGTATTCGTATTATGTGGTGCGAGTTCGACAATATGGGCGAAAACGACGACGACAACAGCGAATTGAGCGAGCACAGATTCCTGACCAAAGGTACTAAATCGTCGGATATATTTTTCGAACGACCCCCGTATATATTTTTCGTACTTTTTAATGCTGTTTCGAACGGCCCTCGTATACAGATTGCTCCATTTTTCATTGCAACATAGTGACTGATTTGTGTCATTGCAACTTTTTTACTCTGACAGCTGTCATTTTATTAATCTTTCTTTGTTCAACTCATAGAAATGGCCATGTTGCAATCGCGAATGAAGTATAGTGTATACTTTTTAATACTTTTTAATGCTGTTTCGAACGACCCTCGTATATAATTTTGGCTTGTACCTTTTAATAGCTAAGTGTTTTCTTAATATTTCTTATAACAGTTTTTTGGTTGACCCTCGTATATTATTGAGAGTTCGAAAAGTGTTCAGTTAGTGTTCAAAAAATAATTTTAAAATGTTCACAAAAGTGATCCTAAACGTGTTTAAAAAGTGGCCACTAAAGTTTGAGAAATGTTCAAAAGGACTTTGTGTGGGTGTTCAAAAAAGAGTTCAATTATTGTTCAAAAAAGAGGTCGAAATCGTTTACAAAAGAGTCTACAAAATGTATTCAAAAATAGTTTAAACAGCGTTAGTAAAGAAATTCAAAAAGATCTCAAGTGTTCAAAAAGAGTTGAAACAGTGTTCAAAAAAGAGTTCAATTGGTGTTCAAAAAGAGATCGAAAGCGGTTACAAAAGAGATCAACAAACGTTCACAAAATAGCATACAAAATGTATTCAAAATGCATTTAATTAAAAAGCGTTTTAAAAAATTTTTAATTTCACAAGTGTTTCAATAGAAATTAATAGAATAAATAGTGTTCAAAGAAAAGTTCAATTGGTGTTCAAAATGAGGTCGAAAACGTTCACAAACGTTATCAAAAAAATGTTCTAAAGAGAGTTAAAAAAGCATTCACAAAAGAGTTCAACTGAGTTCAAAAATTGTTCAAAAAGAGTTCAAATTTGTTAAAAATTGCTCCAAATTGTTTTAAATTGTTAATAATTGTTTAAAATTGTTCAAAAAGACACCTACAGCCCGCACCAGATATAAAACGAACACCACAAAGTTCCTTCCACCCCAAAACCCGCCCGATAAAAAATATAGTAGAACATCCCCCGTACACGACAAAACTTTCTACTAACACCGATGTTGTTGTTTTTTTTTATTTGGTTGGTATTGCAGGCGCCTTCCTGCTGACCCCCTCGCACGATCTGAGCCTCGACAAGGCCGCCAACATTTGCGACAAACTCAACTTCCGCGGAAGTTTCAGCCTGACGAAAACGGCCACCGGTATATTGTTCAAATTCTCCGAGCCCGAAGACTTCCAGCAAGTTTTCCGCAAGGGTTTTCACAAGGTACGAACCGCCACCTCCCGTTTTTTTTCCCCAGTAACTGGTTGAATGTTTAGATGGAAACTCTGTATTGTTAACAGCAGGAAAACTAGTAGGAAAAAAAAAATATGAATGTTATTAATTTGGTGCAGGTGACAGGCGGACGATTGTATAGAAAAGTGGCGATTCCCTGCAGGCCGCAGAAAACCTTCTCCCTGCTGGTCTTCGAAGTACCATCTGATCTTCCTGAAGACGATGTCAGGGCTAGTCTCTACCGGTACTGCTCCGTGGTAAGAATTATAAATTTCTTTCCTCATTCTCGTTATCCTGCATCTTTACAATTTTCCTGCGTTGTTCCCAATATCCTGCATCATTTCCTTTTTCTTCTACTTTACCATTTTTTGTATCATTTCCTTTTTCTTCTACTTTACCATTTTTTCCATCGTTCCCTTTTTCTTCTACTTTACCATTTTTTCCATCGTTCCCTTTTTCTTATACTTTACCATTTTTTGCATCATTCCCAATTTTCTGTACCGTTCCCATTTTCCTGCTTAAATCCCCTTTTCCTTCACCATTCCTGTACTCCTGTACCAATCCCATTTTCCTCTATATCATCATTCCCGTTTTCCTGCACCATTTCCAACCTCTCGCATCATTCCATCAATTTCCCTGTACCATATTCCCATTTTTATGCATCATTCCCAATTTTCTGTACCATTATCATACTCCTGCACCATTCCCTCCTTTCCTTAATCAGTCCCATTTTCCTGCAACATTGCACGTTCTCGTTTAGAGCCATTATTGCACGTTCAGTTATTGTCCAATTGTTGCACGTCCAGTTTTTGTTCAATAATTGCGCTTTCAGTTTTAGAGCAATTATTATTGCACGCTTAGTCTTTGTCCAATTGTTGCACGCTCAGTTTTTGTCCAATTGTTGCACGTTCAGTTTTTGTCCAATTGTTGCACGTCCAATTATTGCATATTATTCCTGTTAAGGTCGAAGTGACCAGACTCCCGATACGTTTGGACCAATCACCGGGCGCCCCGCCACCAATCAGGATCACCGTGGCCTCCTTGGACGATTACAACAGCCTTTTGCAACAAGGTAGTACCAACGAAAACCTACTGTACATATACGGGGTGTCCAAAAAGCTTGCCTCAAAGCGAGTCTAAAGGACGAGGCCTTCTTTCTGGACACCCAGATGTACGAGGTGTCCAAAAAGCTTGCCTCAAAGGGACTGTAAAGAACGAGGCATTCTTTTTGGACACCCAGTATACAGAGGTAGTACCGAGTTTATAGCGGTATGAACGCGCAGGTTTGGATTTCTACGGGGCGACCTACTTTCCCACGGAGCCGCTGAAGAAGGAGCAGCTGGGCCAGCTGCGCGGCAGCAAAGAGAAGCTGCTGCCCGTTTTCGATTCGTCGGGGTTTTCGCGCATCCCGCCGCCCCCGACGCGCACCCTCAAACCCATGCGATCGTAAAGGTGGCGGAGAAAATGGCCGAAAATGGCGGCGGCGCTTCGAAGAAGTCGAGGAAATTCTGCGATTGCGGCCGATGCTTCGACGTCAAATACAAAGTGCATTTCGAAAGGATCAAGGAATTCTGAGATAGTTTTTTTTTATTCGTACACCCTGTATTACACTATTTTCACTTTTTTTTTTCTTTGAATGTATCATGCACTATTGTCGTATTTTGTTTGCAATAAATTAATTGTTATGATTCGAAACGATTGGTTTTCAGGAGAACCTCAGGTGATCCTCACAAAGGTGCCTTAGCATCAGAAATCTCTAAAGATACCTCACAAGGGCCTTAGAATCATCAAAATCCTCAGAAGAGGAGCCTAAGAAGAGCCTCAGATGAAATTTGCAGAAGCCTCAAAAGAAGAGCATCAGAAGAACCTAAGAAACATATTCTTCGAAGCCTCAAAAGACGAGCCTCAGAAGAACTTAAGAAGCATCTTCGAAGCCTCAAAAGAGGAGCACCAGAAGAACTTAAAAAGCATCTTCGAAGCCTCAAAAGAGGAGCACCAGAAGAACTTAAGAAGCATCTTCGAAGCCTCAAAAGAGGAGCACCAGAAGAACTTAAGAAGCATCTTCGAAGCCTCAAAAGTAGAGCATCAGAAGTACCAAAGAAACCTCTTATTCGAAGCCTGAAAAGAATAGCATTAGAAGAACCTAAGAAGCATCTTCTACCTTTCCTCGAGTTCTTCTAGAAACAAACATTTATATACATCAGCAACTAAAACCGTTCCAACGATCACCCGCGACATTATCACCAAATACCAAGTCGATTTTGACATTTCGATTGACATTTAACTCCGTTTAACTGCGTGACCTTTCCAGAAATTCGCCGGCGCGTTCCGCTTTCCAGCGTTTTTCCGCCGCCGGCTGGAAAGGCCGGAAAAGCCGGAAAACCGCGGAGACGCCGAACGGCACCAGTTGCTGGATCGGCGTCGCGACGTTGCCGGATCTCGGCCGGTTCTAACAGGTCGTTTGTTATAAACCGTTCCAGGACTTCGAGGAATCGAACAAATTTGATTATGGTTGTAGTACAATCGTGGATATCTTCATGAGGATGCTTGTGCTGAATCTAGATACTCCAGGAAAGTTGCTATGTTTCTAAATAGAGCACTCTCTGGGTTCTAACAGGTCGTTTGTTTTCATTCTAGGACTTCGAGGAATTGATGGAAGTAATCGATGATGGTTGAAGTACAATTGTGGATCTCCTGATGTGGTACTTTGAGGTGTCTTTATGAGGATGCTTGTACTGAATCTAGATACTCTAGGAAACTTCCTCTTTCTATATAGAGAGCACCCTCTGGGGTTCTAACAGGTTGTTTGTTACCATTCTAGGACTTCGAGGAATTCTAGGACTTCTCTAGGACTTCGAGTTGAAGTCCAATTGATTTGTACTTTAAGATGTCTTCACGAGGCTGTTAGTGCTGTATCTAGCTATTGTACACTTGCTATGTTCTTAAATAGAGCAACCTGTAGCTAATTCTTTGCTTCGTTGCAATCTGTGCTTGACGATTTGCCCTGGATAAGTCCACCACTGGATACTTCCAACAGGTAGTTTATACGCAGCCTGCATTCAATCTTACAAGGAACATTTTCCCTCGAAAAATCAATCTTATCCAAATTCCGGATTACGTCATCCCGAGAGAGAGAAAGAGCAAGAGATAGAGTAAAATCCCATCGGCCGGACAACGAGACTCCTCCATAACTAGGATATCATCTGACTGGTGTCGCCAGTGGGACGAATCCACCAAACACCTGGACATTATTGAACTTCTAATCTCCATCATCCTCCACATAAACTGCTCCGATTCGAATCGCCTCCAGGTGGAATCCTTCGCGAGGAAGCGATCGAGGAGTCGGTCGGAGAAACTCCACGGGGGAGATTTCGGTCCGGCGACGCGGCCATCGAGCCGTCGGCGTCGCGACGGCCGGCCTCGCCGAGTTCTCCGGCAGCGACATATTGATCGCCTGTTGCATCCGCAGCATTGCGCCTGCGCAACTCGCCTGTCCTACTCGCCCCGACCGGCAAATAGGCCATCGAGGATCGGATGCTTTTTCTCCATGAATATATTCCGGATGGTGAGAAGCTATCGGGGAAAAGGAGCCGCGATTTCGCGGCGCCTTCGTGTAATGATTCTACATTTCTAATTCTTTTAAGTTTCAAGAAATACATTTCTTATGATTCGAAACGATTGGTTTTGACGAGAGCCTCAGGTGATCCTCGAGAGGTATCTTAGAAGCTTCGAAACCCTCAAAAGATACCTCACAAGGGCCTTAGAATCATCAGAAAGTTCGGAAGAGGAGCCTAAGAAGAACCTCAGATGAATCCTGCAGATGCCTCAAAGGAGGAGCATCAGAAGAACCTAAGAAGCATCTTCGAAGCCTTAAAAGAGGAGCATCAGAAGAACCTAAGAAGCATCTTCTTCGAAGCCTCAAAAGAGGAGCACCAGAAGAACTTAAAAAACATTTTTCTCCTTTTTCTCCTTTCTAGAAATACATTTCTGTCACTTCTGGATTTGGACACACGTAGATATCATTGGAGCAATTGATGGATGTCATTGAACATATTGTACATATGAAATTTGTATTTACTTGATTTACTAATATACACAACTATACAAAACTTTTAACATTCGATTATATCATTTTTGCAATAAAGCATTAATATATTATGCCCAAAATGTTTAATTTTCTTTGAGAATGTGTTTTGAAAAACGTCGAAACGTTTAGAATCTTTATTAATGCATCAGTATTCATCCAGGACCTTTTCTAAGAGTCCATCTCTCGATATAATCAACTGATTGAGAGATCAATAGAGAAAAGAAAATTACAAAACTTGAGCGAAGAAAATCTCACGATAAATCGCGAATTTGAAATTTCGTATTAGGAGAGCAGAATGTGTGAAGAGGTTAACTCCTGATACTTATTACTCGCGCGTTCCTAATACAATAGATAGGCAACCAGAATTACCAAAATTCGATTTATCGGTTGCCTATCTATTGTATTAGGAACGCGCGAGTAATAAGTATCAGGAGTTAACCTCTTCACACATTCTGCTCTCCTAATACGAAATTTCAAATTCGCGATTTATCGTGAGATTTTCTTTCCTCAAATCGAAATCGCACAAGTTTTGTAATTTTTTCTCAGTTAGGCAACCGATAAATCGAATTTTGGTAATTCTGGTTGCCTATCTATTGTATTAGGAACGCGCGAGTAATAAGTATCAGGAGTTAACCTCTTCACACATTCTGCTCTCCTAATACGAAATTTCAAATTCGCGATTTATTGCGAGATTTTCAAACGTTTGACACAAACTACTCGATTTTCTTATATTTGCTTCTCCCGATCGTTCTGCTATTAATAGCTCCAGATTTTTACAAATTGCGTTCGAAAAAGTTATGAGTTTTTTTTTAATAAACTCTACCAAACTTTTAACATTCGTTATATCATTTCTGCAATAAAGCATAAATTTATAATGCCCAAAATGTTCAATTTTCTTTGAGAATGTGTTTTGAAAAACGTCGAAACATTTAGAATCTTTATTAATGCACCAGGATTCATCCAGGACATTCCCTAAAAGTACCTCTCCCGATATATAAAATATCTTCTTTGCATATTATCCTTGCGTAATGACCAAAGTTTGTCAACTAAGATCAACTGAGAAAAAATGGCAAAACTTGTGCGGTTTCGATTTGAGGATAGAAAATCCTCACGATAAATCGCGAATTTGAAATTTCGTATTAGGAGAGCAGAATGTGTGAAGAGGTTTACTCCTAATACTTATTACTCGCGCGTTCCTAATACAATAATAGATAGGCAACCGATAAATCGAATTTTGGTAATTCTGGTTGCCTATCTATTGTATTAGTAACGCGCGAGTAATAAGTATCAGGAGTTAACCTCTTCATACATTCTGCTCTCCTAATACGAAATTTTAAAATCGCGATTTATCGTGAGATTTTCTTCGCTCAAGTTTTGTAATTTTCTTTTCTCTATTGATCTCTCAATTAGTTGATACATTTTGGTTATTAAGGAAGGATAATATGCGATTATATCGAGAGATGGACTCCTAGAAAAGGTCCTGGATGAATCCTGATGCATTAATAAAGATTCTAAACGTTTCGTCGTTTTTCAAAACTCATATTCAAAGAAAATTGAACATTTTGGGCATTATAAATTAATGCTTTATTGCAGAAATGATATAATCGAATGTTAAAAGTTTTGTAGAGTTTATTAAAAAAAAACTCAAAACTTTTTCGAACGCAATTTGTAAAAATCGGGAGCTATTAAAAGCAGAACGATCGGGAGAAACAAATATTAGGGAGCCCGAGTAGTTTGTGTCAAACGTTTGAAAATCCTCACGATAAATCGCGAATTTAAAATTTCGTATTAGGAGAGCATAATGTATGAAGAGGTTAACTCCTGATACTTATTACACGCGCGTTCCTAATACAATAGATAGGCAACCAGAATTACCAAAATTCGATTTATCGGTTGCCTATCTAGTGTATTAGTAAAGCGCGAGTAATAAGTAATAATAATATTGGGAGATTTTCAAACCTTTGACACAAACTACTTGTTACAAACTTTAAATGAAATTTAATATTTAATATTAGGATAGCAGAATGTGTGAAGAGGTTTACTCCGGATACTTATTACACGCGCCTTTCCTAATACAATAGATAGGCAACCAGAATTACCAAAATTCGATTTAATGGTTGCCTTTTTAAGAATTTTATTCGAACAGGAGCGCGAGTAATAAACGTCACACAAGTAAACCTCCTCTCACAGATGTTCTCCTAATACGAAATTTCAATTTCTCGTTTTAACTCGGAAATCCTGCATTAATAAAGATTCTAAACATTTCGTCGAATAATAAAACACATTTTCAAAGCAAATTTATTATTTCGGCCATTATTATAAATGCTTTATTGCAAACATGGTTATATAATCTTTAATTGGAATGACATTACTATCCTTTTAGTTGTTTCCCATAGACAGCAGATGGCAATACAATCATTTTTTCGATCGTAGACAACCCTCTATCGTATACTGTACCTAATTTGAGCTAAATATCTCAAAAGCTGCAGGAGCTCTAAAAAAGAAACAAAAAAAACTTGAAATTTCAACACTCTGTAGATGTTAATATGAACTTTTGTTTAGAAACACCCTGTATATATATTTTTTTGTTCTATTTTATCCGAGGACAACGTGCCCTTCGTGATCCGTCCACGTGGGCATCCTATTAGCTAATGGGGATTCCCCGCGGGACGCTTCTCACGCGACTGATGCAACTCGGCCGCTCCCTCCTCGCCCCGGAAACCATTGACGTCGCCGATAAAAACGGATATAAAGGGATGTAACCTAATAATAACGACGATGATAATCGGAAAAATACAGGGTGTTTTAAGCGTGCTTAAAGCGTGCTTTCGCCAAGAATCGCTATCTTCGTCGTAATTTCCTAGGCGATTGATAGAGAAATAGATAAAATTCGATTATATTTTTTTTAATCCCGCGGAAATAAAGATAGTCGGTTAGAAAATCAAGGGGTGCGGTCGACACACTTCCACTATCACCAGTGGCGTATCGCCCACTATACATACAGGTTGCTTCATTTTTTGATTGCAATATAGGCCATAAGTGCGATAAAGACAACTTCCATTAGACACTTACAAAGGAAAAAGAAAAAGTGACATTTGTGTCATTGCAACTTTTCACTTTGACAGCTGTCATTTTAATAACCTTTCTTTGTTCCACTCGTACAAATGACCATATTGCAATCGAAAATAGAGCAAGGTGTACAAAATACAAAAATTACAAAAATACAAAAATATATTAGAAAAATAAATTCGGATTATCATCGAGCGCTTTAATTCTCTCGCTCTTTCTCGCTCGCTCCGACGCACGTTTCCGAACGGCATCCTTGCCCCAATTTCGTCTCTCTCTCTCTCTCTCTCTCTCTCTCTCTCTCTATCTCTCTCTCACTCACGGGCGCTTACACACATACACACATTCGCATCATCCCGACGTCGAGGCGTCTCTCTCCGTGGCGTCAGTCACCGTCTCGACGCCATTAATTCCGCAAACATTGCCTAATGACAGAATCAACAGTGTGCTTGCGTACCCTTACGACCCCGTTCCCGTTTCAACCGCCCTTTATTTTTATTTTTTTCACCAAAAATCCCCTTACTACACACACACCGGCAAATTTAAAGGAACAGATTGAAAATGTAATATGTTTCTATATTTTATTGTCTTATAGTCTATATCTAGATAGCTATGAATGTTCCGTGTCATAATTAAAGTTTTTAATGTCAAAATGTCAAATGTGGGCGTTGTCTGTTGTCAAAACTTCGAAAGTTTGTTTTGTGTCTTACATTTCAAACGCGCGTAACAGAGATGACAATAAATTGTTATTAATTAATCAGTTTAATTTGTTCTTATAAAGGACTTATAAAGGTAAAAGAAAGAGTGACTGATTTGTGTCATTGCAACTTTTCACTCTGACAACTGTCATTTTAATAATCTTTCTTTGTTCCACTCATAGAAACGACCATATTGCAATCGGAAATGGAGCAAGGTGTATATTTTCTTTAAAAATTCTCTACACTTTAATCGAGCAGTTTGTTAATCAGAATTGTATAGGTGCGGTTGAAATTGGAAAGGGTATTATATTTAAAAAAAAATATCGCGTCTGGTGATGCAATTGGAGAGACATCGATGACAGCCTATCAATTTTATTCGCTATTGATTAGGATTGTAATCAGAGAACAGGGGGGGTGGGGTCGGGTGTAACCGGGGAAAGAAAAGGCTACCCGCAGTGTTAATATTGGTTTGTTTGGGTTACATTCGGGCGCGGTTAGGCGGGGTTTGTATTCGCGTAATTCGCCCCGGAATTGCGTTTGCTAGAACAAATACAGTTCCAGAACAATTTCGGAATCGTTTGGAACCATTTTCGAACTAACTAGGACCACTTGAAACTGTTCTGGATGATCTTAAAAACCAGTCCATTCTGGGACAATTTTGAATTGACTAGATTCATTTGAAACAGTTCGTAACCATTTTAGAACTGTTCTAGAACAATTTAAACCTTTTCTTAATGATTTAGAAGCAGTTTTGAACTGACTAGAACCGTTTAGAACTATCCAAAATCATTCAGAACTAGTTCTAGTACTAATTCTGCATGCCTAAAGATTTCGTTTAGCAGTTTTTTATAGAGCATAAAAAATACACAATACTACAATATACAATTTACATATTTTCACTATATTATTAACAATACCTGCTAAAAGATATCATTCGATCTACATCCATATCGCATAAGCATCGAAGAAAATAATCTTGATAAATTACACATGAAAAAAAATCGTCTTATCCTGTGACATTGTAACCGAATAACTCAGAGAGGCGAGTCTCTGGATAATAACAGTCCGTCGCTAATGAGAATGGCCGTAAAAACCCAAAACCCAAACCAAAACCCAGTAAAACTATCATATAATGTTGTGGACGTAATAAATTTCCCTGATATTGTCATCGTCACGCGGAAAACGAACCGAAGCTTCGAATATGCTAATAAAACCGGCTCGAGTGTCGAATTACCAGACAATTTCCCTAACAAAGTGATATCGTATCACCCTCCACATATATAACACATATTACTGGCTGTCGAAGAACAGGAAAAAAAAAACAACATCCCTTTCGGATTTTCTTACCGCGATTAATCAAATAAACACAAGTCGTGCGAAAAGTCGAGCCGATGTTTCGAAGAGGGAAACTCGGTGATTCCCGGAACCAATTAGCTAATTACGCCGGATTGTATCGGACAAATCCGGCCGAGCCTTTTTAATTCCTACCGTTCGTTAATCGCACAATTAGCTCCGGACGAGATTCGCGGTACTTACAGCGAATCCCGTAATCGATTCCGGATCGATCCGAATCCGATTTTTATCGCGATTTGACAATTTAAACGGCCGCGATTAGACGTAATGGCGCGCTATCCATGGGAAAACCCGGACCGGAGGTTAAGAGTTCAATCCGACGGTGAGTTCTTCGCTAATTAGTGATTAAATGGAGTTCTATGTGGTTCTTGATCGGCGTGTGCTGTGACCTTATGTTCGTGTTGTATGGTTGATTTATTGGGGTTTAAGTGGAATGGGGGGGGCGGCGGCGATTCGGAAATGCCACCCTCATTGTGCCGTGCAAATCCCCTTTTCTGTTTGGTCGTTTAATTTAACGGTTCCGGTGTGCGATGCGCCGCTGAAATGTCATAGAAGGCGGGCGGTCGGGCGGCCGGAATGCCGGCGAAATGTCAGGGAAGCACCGGAGCTAATGAATCTCCCGGCGACTTTTAACGCGCCCTCGCCCTATTGCTTTATTAGGCGTGTACGGGGCGCGTATTAAATTCGACGGTTCGATGATTTTTTTTTGTTTTCGGTATATGTCAGGCCTTCACCTTTACCGATAAAAGTGTATTGTTGTATTGTTAATTGTTATAGAACAATTCACAAAAATTTAAGTTTATTAATACTTACATGCATGAATTAACCCTGAAGTAGCTGAGGCATCAAAAGAATGTAGTAATCAAGAGCACGATTAAAAATTATAGTAATTTTTTACTACATTTCGACAAGATAAAATGACCACTAACAATCTCTGACAGGTAGGCAACCAATTTAACGAATATCATGTATCTTTTGTATAAAAAAGCAATCAATGTAATAGAATTTATTTAAATAATACATCTGACATAAAAACAATTATGAAGTAAACACGATTCAGTTGAAAAAAATTAATAATCTAAAGATAAGAAAAATTAAAGTAATGTGGCGTCCTCTATGAATCATCGACCTGACTAACGACGTTTGTTCGTTTGTAAGTTTTAGTAAACTTTGATAAAAACCTATTTTTGCATATCTACGTTAATCGACTTATCGCATTTCATTAATTACGTTATTAATTAATGCAATTTCCGTAGTTTTTGTTTAAATTTACTGTCAGTGTAGTTCGGTTAGATACAAAATAACGAAACTTTAAACTGTCAACTGTCAAATGATTTTCGACAATCGACTTCGTCACTTATCGTTAATCGTCGAAGTAAATCGTAGTTTTCAGTTCATTGTGGCGGACATTTTTGTCTAAGAATTCTCCAAACGGCCAAAAGGACTTCCCCTCAGGTACTGCTACGCCTATTTAAACGAAAAAATAACGCATTTCACGTATGTACCAATTCGATTTCAGTACGCGTTATTGACGTTTTTAATAGCGATGCATAAATTCAATCGGCATGTCAACAAGGACTCGTTCATTGATTATCTAATACGTAACACCATCCGAATAACGAGTAGCATATAATTATTTTACTAATTGCGAACGAATCGAATCGAAATAGCACTTTACAAAAACACAATGACCAGCGAGAAGAACGATTATTATACCCGACAGATTTAGCATTTGACTATACCTGCAAGTTCTCTTGTAGGTCACACACACATCTGATTCCCACAGATGAACCCTGCTAGCAGGATATGGGACATTCCGCCCCCGCCGGGCACCGAAGACGTCGAGCTCGACTCCTCCTCGCCCCCGTCGCAAGCCCCCGCAGCGGACCCGCCGCCCGTAAAAGTCAAGGAACCGGACAAAGAGCAGCGCCCCATCGACCGCATAAACCCCTACCTAAAGCACCCGGACTACGTCGAGTACGAGAAGCAGCGCCGCCGGCACCGGTCGCGGACGCGCTCCCGCTCGCGCCACCGCCGCCGGCGCTCCGGCAGCCGCCCGAGGCGGTCGCGGTCGCGCCCCCGCCGCCGCCGCCGGCACAGCTCGTCGCGCAGCCGGTCGCCGCACCGCCGGCACAAGCGCTCCAAGCGGCGCCGCCGGTCGGCGTCGAGGCGCTCGAGATCGAGGAGCGCCCGCAAGGCGAAGAAGTCGACGCCGACGCCGCCCAAGGAGTCGCCCGACGACGACGACGGCGGCGCCTTCGACGACGACGACGACGACAACAAGGACAATGTGTTCAAGAACGACGGGACGTTTTTGGAGATGTTCAAGAAGATGCAGGAGCAACAACAGCAGCAGCAGCAGCAGGGTAAAGCGGTGGAGGAGAGGCCGGCGGGCGTGGAGCAAAAGAGGGCGCTGCCGGCGTTCGGGAAGCGTCGCGGCGGTAAGGTGTTGAAGACGGGGCTGGTGCAGAAGGTGCGGTTGCCCAACGAGGAGGAGAACAATTCGCAGGACGTGTGGTCGGTGTATATGAAGGAGGTGCGCAAGTACAAGGAGGCTTGTTGCGATGACGATTCCAAAACGCGACCGTTGGTCAAATGAAAAAAACGGACGTTTATTATCCTAATATATAAGTACTCTAAATTGTGAATACCTATCGTGTCGCAAGGATTCGATTCACGTTTTATTTCTTTTTTTTTTGTAAAGTGCTATGATTGTTAAATCGTTCGATTAAACCATTGTTAAGCGAGCCAATTATTGTTACGAAAGGAGGCGTTGCGTGTACAAAATAAAACCATCGGTTTGATTGGTATATTGTTGCAGTAATCATGCCGGTGCAGGTTCCGAAAAAGCTGGAAGACATCCAAACGGCCCCGTTCGATCCGCGGTTCCCCAACACCAATCAGACGCGCTACTGTTACCAGAGTTACGTGGACTTTTATCGTTGCCAGAAGGTCCGTGGGGAGGATTACCAGCCGTGCCAGTACTTCTCCAAGGTGTTTCATTCCATTTGCCCGAACGCGTGGATCGAGAAATGGGACAACCAGCGCGAAGAGGGCATCTTCCCCGGAAGGATTTAATAAAATCGCTTTATAATATATAAATACGTAATATAGTTTTGTTGGTTAGATGTAAATTCGAACGAGTTGTGTAATAGCATTGCTTCGTTTATTAAATTAGGCTCCGATTGAGCTTTGTACATACACTAAATATGGTTTAATTAATGAGATGTTATAAGTACTCTCGGTCCATTGGGGTTTCCTTCGCTCGTTTGTCCCTTGCTCTCGGAAACCATCGGTGTTTTGTTGTATGCGTGATGTCCATTAATTCCTGTCGGGCTTGCTCGGGCGTTTTCTTGTTAAATATGCTGAGCAATTCTGGTGTTACGGTGGTCTTTAAAACGGTATCTGTTTCGACGAATCGTTCATCGGGTAACGCTTTCGTGCATTCGTATGGAAAGTCTTGCTTGGGATGCCATGCTACTATCGTATTCTTGTCATTGGTAATTACAATTTTGGAGTGCGTTGATTGTTGTCTTAGCGAAATAAATCGAACAAATTTCGATAAATTCAGCATTTTGGAAATTTGGTTAACATAACCTTTAAAATTCTTCTTTTCTATTATGTCACTTGTCACTTTTGTCATCAATTATGTCCTATTACTATATTAGTTTAGGGTAGCAATTTCTAGTTCTACAGAAAAAGAAGAAACTAACCTAAAATAAATTTGTAACCCAATTCATAAAGAGCAAGAAAATTTAACACTAAAATGATTCCGTACGAGTTAATAGTATTATTCAGAGTTATGCCCAAGGTAAATTGCCACAAACAGGAATAAACTATATAAATAATCGTAAAATATTCATATTTTTAGCCAGAACTGACAACAGCTATTAAACGAACAGCCAATGCGATTTTCGATCGAGGGGGCTTAATAAGGAAATTGGAGAATTTGGGAACGAGAGAAACGCCTTATAAAATTTCATCAAACGGTATGCCTCACAGACAAGCCAGGTAATTAAAATTTCTACAATTTCAATCGATTCGTTTACATTTACATTTCCAGCTACTTTTTGTATGAATGTAATATTCCCCCATCGAAAATTGGCGACATAATAAACGAATATAGTAGAGACGTCGATATAATTAAAAAGGATATCTACAAAAAAACCATACCAGAACAATTCGAATGTACATTACACGAGGAAATGCAACCCCCTCCTTATAGGAAAGACGTCCAAGAGATCATGGCGTTAGCCCGAAGAAAGGAAAAGCGCAAATTCAAAGCCAACACGGGAATGGATTATTACCCGTTCCAAAAATAAAACCAACAGTAGTCCGATAATAGCTTGTATATGTTTAAATATTTAAAAACACATTACATACAAAAAAAAAACCTCTCAGTTATTTCTCCTTAATCAAATCATTATAATAAGCAGTTATTGCTACCAACTTTTTATTAATAAAATTCTGCTCGACCTCCACTCTACCGCCGACGCCCGCCTCCTTCGTCAACTGCACAATAAAATCGAATCGTACAATTAAATCACCCCTGGCTCAATAACCGATCGATCGGGTGCACCAAAAATCACCTGAATTTTCACACTACATTCAAACACTTTGCATCAGGTATTCAATACTAGTAAAATAACGACACCTATTCAGGGATATTCCGGTGCACCGGTATCGATCGATGCTCCTTAACCAAAAACCACCTACCGCAAAAGTGTTGGAGTTCCGCGGCAAAAACACCGCCACGTTCGGCGATATCTTCCTGGCGGCGAGCATCAGTCGCGAAATGCCCGCCGGCTGCAGCATCGTCTCCAAATCGTACACGTCGCGCTGCAGATAGGCCGGTCCGCCCCACGGCGGGCTCAAAAACACCGCGTCGGCCTTCAGCTTGTCGGCCATTCGGAAGAAATCGCCGACCACGAATTCGATTCGATCCGATACGCCGTAGACGCCGGCGTTGTTGCGCGCCAATTCGATCTTCTTCGGATCCACGTCGATCGCTATTACTGCAACATTCAACGTGCACTTTTAGTTTAATCGAAAACGATGAAATGGTACATAACAACGGCCCGTATTCAGCGCATTATGCAAGACTAAAGATGCGATTGATTACCGTTTAACGTGCCGATAATAGCTGAAAACGGGCTACTAGATACAATGCTCGATGTAATATCGTATTAGACCTGATAGATAGGCAACCCGTTATACACATTTGCAGAAGAGACTGTTAAATATTCGTACCTTTTGTACATTTCATGGCGAATTGAATGGCGTTGCCGCCGGCTCCGCAAAAAGCGTCTACAATTATATCGCATTGGCATCTTTCGGCCGTGTGTCGAGCCACTTGTTCCGGTGTCACCGAATACCAACTTTCTAAAAATAAAAAAAAAATTTAACATTAGCTTTACTACTAAACAGTGACGATTTGTAACGATATCCCTCTCCCTCTCGAGCGATACAAGGGTAAGGTGAAAAGTTATCGACTTGACAATGAAAGACAGCGATTTTCAATTGAATAATTACGGTATTTTTCTTGTTAGGTCGAAATGTTTGGTTCGAGACAGTTCTAAATTATTTCTAAATGATCGTGGAGCGTTCTAAACGATTTTGAAACGTTCTAAATCGTTATGAAACGTTCTAGACAGTTCTAATTGATTCAGACCGATAACTTCTCACCCTACCACAGTACGCTAATCGAGACAAGTCCTGTTCGATTGTATAAATAACCGACCTTCGTCCAATTTGATGCCGGAATCGAACCGGCTGAACAAGCTGAACCTCTTGCACCAGTACTTGCGCAATTTGGCGTTCGATCGGATCTCGGCCGGCAGGACGGGTTGCTTCCGTTTCCGGCGCTTGCGCTTCGTCTTTTGCACCTCATCGACGGCGGCGGATTCGTCGCAGGCGGGCGGCGCCGCCTCGCCCGTCACCGCCTCCTCGCAGGAGCTCAGCTCGTTGTCGGATTGCTCGCAGAACACGTTCTGTTCTACCAACTTACAAAAAAAAACCGATTATCTCATCTCTCGTTATTTATTCGTAGGTTTCTTTTTATTTATACCTCGTCCGGTTCTTTCTCGTACATGTTGCCGTCGTCGTCGAACGTGAAATGTCGCGGTTTCTTCGATTGTGGTCGAATTTTCAGGTGCCTGTTTTGCTGTCTGATGTGCTTCATTTTGTAATTCACGTCTCCCGTTAGAACCTCATCGGACGGTTCTTGGAATTCCAAACCGATCAAATTGAACGCCGATTTGATGCGATTCCTGCCGGCGTTGAAATCGTAATTCGAAGTCGACCTACAATAACACAAACATTAACAATTCATTCGAATAATAATAATAATACGGTTACATTTTAAGCGAATCCGAGCGATTCGAAGAACCCGTTCCTTTGGAACGGAACGTCACTGGCAATCCCATCGCCGCCATTTCCTTGTAAATCGTGTTCTCCTCTTCGCTCTCGCAGCTCGACAACGAATCGGCATCCGCCACCGATTTACCGTCCTCGTTCCACTCCCGCGCCTCCAACGTTCTATCGCTGTTGCTCATCTCCATCACCGGCTTACTACTATCTAAAAAAATCAATCTTTTAATAGACATATGCGCGGTAGAAGTTGCGCACTGACCGGTAGCGGACGCGCCGACGGCGCTCCGCACGAACTTGTTGTACTGCTCCGCGTACTGGTCCTCGTAGTGGCGCTTCCACAGCTCGTTCCACTGTCGTTGGTAGTCCTCGTCCGAATCCTCCGAGCTCACCGAACCGTCGGCGGAACTCACCGACGAGAAGCTCTCCGACGAGCCGGACGCGCCCGCCTCGCTGAAGTCCAACGAGGACACAGTCATGCGCGTCACGTTCGTTATCGAATCGATCGTGCGCAGCGAGCCGCCCGTCCGCGAACAGCACCGCGACGCCAGTAGTTTCTCCGCCTCGGCGTCGTCCTCGATGCTGGAAATGGGAAAACAAACTTAAAACAAAGAAATTATAATAACATAACCGTAGATATGTCATCTGTCATTTGATGTTACATTTCGCTTTTGTTCGTTTGTTCTACTCTTCCGAACAATCCGTTCGAATTCTTACACCGCATGATACAAATGTAACTCGTTCGTTTTTGTGATTGGTGTGATTTTACACGTCAACTGTCAAAATTTTAAATTTAAAAAGGACTATATTTCCTAAAATATCGAATATTTTTAACAACCGAAAACTGATTCGTTACCTGTCGATGGTAGAAAGTGGATTCCAGCCTTCGGAGACGTCGTTGGAGAGCGAAACCTTCTCGTCGCTACCGCCCGATAGAGTTCTCAACAACTCCGATTGGCTCTTGTCCTTCTTGAGCGACTCTTGCTTAAACCTCTTCGATGACTCGAGTTTATCTACAACGCACATCATCAGTACTTCTATTAGAAACAAACAATCCCTGTGCCCTTACGATCGTCCAGCGGTTCCTTTTGCGCCGGCAACAGGTACTCGGGATTGATGTAGTGGCTGTACTTTTCGATCCAACTCTCCCATATCAATTTCTCGCCGTTGATCGACCAGAACCGGTGCCAATCGGCGTCGATGTCGTGGACCGGGTGCTCGTTGAGATCGGTGCCGCTGTCGCTCTGCTGGATGCCGCGCGTCGACGGCGCGTTGTGCGCCTCCCGCAGGCTCTCGTGCTCGTCGGTCGAGAGATTGTCGGTGTGCGAGGCGCTGCAATAGCAACTGGCCGCCTCCGGTTCGTTCTGAAACCCATTTCTATTTATAAGAATATATGGTAAAGTTTACCAAGTCGGAGCGGATTAACGCGCATGTAATAACGTCAAATTCTGTGTTCTGACAGCGTCAAAAACTGTGCATCGTTGGCAATGTGTATTTAATTTCAGTAAATGGGACAAAAATATTTATTTTAGATAGAAAATAATTATTATTAGACGGGAGTAAAAGAGGGTGCAGGAGAAGGTAGGGAAGAGTAGAATAGGGTAGAAGATGGTTAGATGGGGGTAGGGAAGGGTAAAAATTTTTGACGCTGTCAGAACACAGAATTTGACGTTATTGGCGCATGCGCGTTAACTCGCTCCGACTTAGTAAACATTACAGAAAATATTCATCGATCGATCGATGGGTTTTTACCTCTTCGGATTTGGCGCGTTGGACGCTCTGTATGGTCAAATTTTCGTATATCCTATTCAGTTCGTCTTCGATTTGATTGTCCTCCTCCGAAGCGCTTTGTTCGGACGACGCCAATTGCTTCGAGGAAGCTTTCGTACTGGAAAAAAAAAGGAATTAAAACGAGCGATAAGTAACACACGTTTATTAGCTAAAACAACAGTTAATTCTTAATTCTAATCTTCCTCTTCTGTTCCATATCCGAAGCCTTGTTCCAGGCGTCTTGCGCGAGGGAAGTTTTGCCTTCCGATAGGGATATCAACCGGGCGAGCACCAGCAAATCGTGCAAGTCTTTAGCGGTGACCGATTCGTCTCGTCTCATTTTAACGAACTCGTCTTGAACGAACTTCTCCACGTCCTCGTTCAATGTATACTCCACGCTCATCGCGAGCGTCAGGTAACCTCGAATGTTGTCCAACACTTGAGTGTTCAAAAAGTGATCGGCGGCTTCGATTATCCGTTCAAAGTTCTCCAAACTCATTCCGTCCGGCTCCAGTTTCACGTGAACGTCGCTCTTCAACATCGTCTTCCCTTCGGAGAGGATGAGAAACGGTATATCGCAGTCGAATTCCAACGGGTAGTATTTGAAATCGTAGTGGACCGTTTGGTGTTCGATGCAATCCGAAACGGCCTTCACGTTATCGAGTCCGGCGCTGTTTAATTTCCCGGGGGACAGTTTCGTTTCGTCGAGCACCAGGCGAGTGTGGTCGCTCAATTGCAGCACCCCCGAGGACAGGTAGTTCGATTCGTAGTTTTTCTTCGGGACGAACCGGAGCGCGTTGAGGTTGTCTAAGGTCATCGGTAGGTAGGCGCTTTTGGTAACGAATTTTTCGATGAAGTTGTACAGCCACTTCGGGTAGTTCGGGTAGGTCGAAACGGGCACGTTCGATATATTTAGAGAGAATTTTCCCAAAGCGAGGCCGTCCCTGCGCGAATACACCTCGGAAATGAGATAGCACAGGAGGTATTCAGCGGATAATTCGTCGCCGAGTAGTAGTTGAGTTAGAACTAACAGTAAATCTTTACGAGCTGTGTCCGTGTTGATGGAGAGTTCCTCGGATAGGGGGTTGTGATGAGACAATTTTCGGAATTTAACGCAGTGAATTGTCGGGTAGGAAAACGCATTTGGATCTGTTTCATCTGCGATCGGTTGCGTATCGAGGAATCCGATAAACTCGAAAACTTCGTTGATTTTAAGCGTATCTTCTTTGTTGTATACTGTAACACAAAACGCCTCGTTACAGCCGTCTTCTAGAGGGTAAATATCTTTAGGCGCATTGCTCACGTTAGAATTAGACATTAAACCAGCTTTAGTCGTTTCCGTGCAGAGTTTCTTCGATGTACAAGGCCCCGTTTCCTCCATCGGTTCGTCTAATTCCCGCTCGTTACTTGGGCAACTATTCGTTGTAGGGTTCAATTTGAATTTACTATGTACATTTCGAACCCACTCGTTCAACGCTGGAACTGTAATAACAACGAAAGATTGTCTCTCCGATGTAACGTTCGTTGGACATTTGAAATTTATGTACTCGTTGTCGTTTACCAGCTTGTTCCCGTATTTTCCGTTCATTATGGAGCTTTTGTTGTTGGTTCTATCTATCACCTCGACTTTTTCCAAATAATATTCAGGCGAATGCATATCTTGTACCATACCGATGAACCTCACCATGGCCATCTTAGGGAATTGCTCGACTGTATTGGCGTTCAAGCAAGGAATTGCGTGAAGGATATTTCGATTTTCCAGCAATCCGACGAACGTTTCCTCGTTTTCTATCCATTTTTGCGGCGTCAACGTTTGGATATCCATAATTATTTCGAGAACAATAAACTTTTCTCTGCATAAACAAATTCCCGCTTTTAAAACAAACGTCAATGTCAAATGTCAATTCTTCTTCTTTTTTACTTCTTTATATTTGTAAATGACCGTAATTTCAATATTTAATTTACTTTAAAATTAAATTAAAATAATAAGGAATTTGTAAAACTTTTATTAATTTACTTTGGAATGTAAGATTTGTAACTGATTTGAAACTTAATTAGAAAGCTTTAAACAAATGACACAATGACAGCTTTGAGGTTAGAATTTTGTTCTTATAAAATAAAATATGTATATTTAAATAATTTCCTACAATTAACAACAACAACAACCCAAACAAGAATCATTTACGATTCGAAATTCGATAAATTAAACTTTAACAATTCGTTTCTGGCCTGAAAATAACCCGTATCAGCCAAATCGTAGGGTTCGGGTACGAACGGAGGTTTCGCATTCAACAAATTATCCCAATCGATATCCTTAAAAGCGCTCATCTCCATCACGTCCTCGGCTCGCGCCCTGTCCTCTGGCTTTTCGGCCAGCAGCGCCTCGATCGCCGCCACCATTCCCTCGGACAGGCTCTCGTCGCCCTCGGGCCACTCGATGTTCCGCTCCAGTATGTTCTTGAACACCAATTGCGGCGTGGCGTCGTTGAACGGCGTTATGCCGGTGACGAATTCGTACAGACAGCACCCCAAGGCCCACCAGTCGACGGCGTGATCGTGGCCTTTCATCAGCAGCAACTCCGGAGCGAGGTAATCGGGCGTTCCGAGGATCCGCTGATCGGAACTCGACGGGGCGCGTTTGACGGACTTGGGCGTTCGAAACGGCGTTTTCGGCGTCTTGGGCGTCACGGATTCGCTTCGGATGGGACTCATGATCGCCGCTGATTTGATGGTGGCCTGCAAATCGAACTTCATCGATTTCTTTTTGGTTTTCTCGAGCGAAACGGGCGTGGAGAACTTCACACCTTTAGGCGAATCCAGTTTGAGTATCTCGATCTCGCCCGTCAAACCGCTTTTCAAATAAGCCTTCATCCCGGGCGGCGATTCCGACCTGAATTTCCTCTTTTTCTGCCGCATTTCGTTCATTCGATAGGTACAATTCAACGGTTTCCTCGTAACGGGTGAACTGATACACGAGCCCACCGAGGACGCCTCATCTTGCGTGGTACTCGGACACGTGTGGTACGATGACACCCGCGAAGGGCTCTCGCAATCGGCCGATAGAAAAGTCACCCCCGACAGGGCGGAGGAATTGCATTTGGAGTCGTTCAAATCGCAATGGGAATCGGTGCGATTGCGGTTCGTGTACTTCGAGTTGCCCGAACCGAAGCTGAGGTGCTCCGTGAGGCTGAGCAGCTGGCCGGGCGTGCGCGCGCACAAATTGGGAGTGCACCGCTCCAGATCGGACATCTCCAAGTCGCCGTGCACGTACACGTTGCTCAGGCCGAAGTCGGTGAGCTTCAGGTGGCCCTCCTTCGACAGGAGCATGTTGTCGGGCTTGATGTCCCGGTGGACGATGTTGTGCTTGTGGAGGTAGCGCAGCGCGAGGCACACCTCGGCTATGTAGAAGCAGGCCATGGGCTCGTCGAAGAAGCCGCAGACGCTCAGCAGGGATTTCACGTCGCCGCCGATCATGTACTCCATGACGAGGTAGACGGACGAGGGGGTTTGCAGGGAGTAGAAGAGTTGCACGCAGAAGGGGTTGTTGGCGAGCGCCAGGGCGTTGCGTTCGTTCACCACTTGCGTGACCATGTTTTTGTTTATCATTTCGGATTTTTTCATGACCTTTATGGCGTACATTAGGTCCGGGTTGGTCTTCTTGCAGCCGAGAAACACCTTGCCGAAGGCACCTCTGCTTATCGGTTTTAATATCACGAAATCTTCTATGTCGGGCGGTTTCGCGGAGCAGCTTTCCCCCGGGCTCGTTAGCGCTACCTCCGCCGACATCCTTTCGACCGCTAACTCGAGATATTTTATCTTAAAATTAATAGCATACAATGTGGTGTTTGGTTCGTTTAAATTCTAGAATACATTTCTAACGAATAGTCGAAATGACAAGTGACGGGTCGAGTTTACTTACCGAATGAACGACCTGCTGCAAAGGCACTTAACACAAACTGTGTCCGTTTGATTTTTCAACGAAAACTCCGCTAGGACGTCGCACTGCGTTTCAAACATATTCGATACGTTGAATTCAATACGGCATTTTTGATTTTTGGCGAAAATGTTTTCACTTATTTTGACTGACACTGACACACGCCAATCGTTTGACGTTGACGTTTCATTATTGACTTTTTAGAGAAGGATTGCCAACTGAAATTATAAAGTTTGTTCGTTTGTATCAATCTACAAAATTAGGTTTGTAAATGTGTATAAAAATTATGTATAATAAAAAAAAATATGTATAATATCCGATAGAGAAAGAAAGATGAACTATCTAGAGTCTAGATTAATCTATAATGCTCCAGAATCGCTTAGAACTCTCGAGATTCTAGATCTAGATCAATCCAGAACGCTCCAGAATCGAACGAAACAAAACGAACAAAATTTTTTATATTTTTAATAAAATAATTACATTATTAAAATATAGTTATAAATTATACGAGTAACAAGTCGAAATAGTTAATACAATCTACGCTTAGATTTATTTATACAATTTGGTCGAGAATTTACAAAAATTCAAAAAAAAAACACCGAATTAACTACACTCAACGTCAATAACAAATTCCTCGCGTCTTCCTCTAAGGAAAGTCTTGTTTGTGATAACCAGTCGTCGTCAGATTGCAGTTCATCGGCCGCCTCCTTCGCATAAACGTCCTCAACCGTCCCGACGGTATAGACGTCGAATTAACCGACTAAAAATAAAAAAAAAATTATACATACAACAGCGCAAAATAACACACATCCCCACCTCTTTAGCGAACCAATCGCAGCGCGCGCACCGCCCCGCATCGGCCCTATCGCGCGGCGCCAACACCAACAGCCCCCTCACCAGCGACCGCGCCTCCTCCGACACCGCGCCGAAGTACTCGTCGGGAAAACAGTAGTCGCCCTTCAGTATGTTGGCGGTGGTCTCTTCGAGGCTGTCGTCGAGGAAGGGCGACACGCCGCTGAGCAGCACGTACGCCAGCACGCCCGTCGCCCAGCAATCGGTGTGCGCGCCCACCGGCCGGCCCAGCACCAGCTCGGGCGCCGCGAATTCCAGGCACGCCGGCGGCAACACCACCGTGGCCGACGTGTTGACGGCGTCGCCGAAGTCGATCAGCTTCAGCAGCGGCGTCGGCGACGAGGCGTCCACCATCACGTTCTCCGGCTGGAAAAAAAAACGGTCCAAGGCGGTTCGTTAGACGTTTCTACTTGTGCAGAGCAGAGAGAAGACGGAAAAGCAGAGCAGAGAAGAGAGCAGAGCAGAAAGAAGAGAGCAAATCAGAGAGCAGAGTAAAGAGCGAAGCAGATAGCAGAGAGAAGAGTAGAGAGCAAAGCAGAGAGCAGAGCAAAAAGAAAAGCAGAGATCAAAGCAGAGGAAAGAGCAGAGAAAAGAGTAGAGATCAAAGCAGAGAGCAAAGCAAAGAGCAGAGCAGATAGAAGAGCAGAGATCAAAGCACAGGGAAGAGCAGAGAAAAAAGTAGAGAGCAAAGCAGAGAGCAAAGCAGGGAGAAGAGCAGGTAGAAAAGTAGAGAGCAAAGCAGAGAGCAGAGCAGAGAGCAGAGCAGATAGAAGAGCAAAGAGCAGAGCATGCCGGAGTAAAAGTAAAGCACAGCAGAGCAAAACAGAGAGTAGAGGAGAGCAGAGAAACGAGCAGAGCAGAAAGCAGATGAATTGGGTAAAGTACTATAGAACTTTACATTACCTTAATGTCCAAATGGGCGATATTCCTCTGGTGCAACCACTGCAAGGCGGACAGAAGTTGATAGGTGTAGTTTCTAACGTCCGATTCGCTGTAGGTCTCCTTTTCGCTGATGTAGGCGAACAACAACGGGCCTCTGACTCTACGGAACGAACGACAAACGGCCAATTATTTTAGAATCTTGTGTAAAATCCAAAAAAAAAAACCTGCTCTGGCCAAATACTGACTAGGCGGAGGCCAATAAATTAAGAAGTAGAAGAATCAAAAAAACAAACAAACAAAGTTCCTCACAATTCCAATACGATGGTATCGACGCCCGGCGTCGGGGCGTTGTCGAACAACGCCAGCGATTTGATGACGTTGGAATGTTGCATCGAAGCCAGCAGGGAGTATTCGGCCCGAGTCACGCTCGACGATTGCTTCCGGCGATTCACCTGTTTCAAGGCCACCTCTTCGCCGGTGCCGCGGTCTCGGGCCAACCGCACCACCGAGAACCTGCCTCGGTCCAATTCCTCCATTTCCATGTACCTAAAAACGAGGGATAATCGTAGATGAGAGCAGAATGTAGATGACATCAGAGTGTAGATGAGATTAGAGTCTAAAGGAGAGCAGTATAGAAGATAGCAGAGTGTATAGGAGAGTATAGAAGATAACAGAATATAGAGGAGAGCAGTGTAGAAGATAACAGAATGTAGAGGAGAGTGTGGAAGGTAACAGTGTAGAGGAGACCAGTGTAGAGGAAAGCAGAGTGTAGATTGTAAATGGTAGAGCACATTCAGTAGAGGATAGAACGGTAGAGTATAGAATAACACTAGAGTATAAAGAGGTAGCAGTGCTGGTGAATTGGCGCTTAGGATTACCTCTGTTTGAACTGTTCCTGTTGCCAGACGGTGTTCTCTGCGACCGGCAGCGTGACGGCGACGCTCGGCAGGCTGACGACGTTGTTGGTGGCCGACACCAATCGAAAGCTGTACGTCTCGCCGGCCACGAGCCCGTCGACGACGGTCGACGAGCCGTCGACGGGCCCGGCGCCCGGGCCGGCGGGCGCCCACTCGCCGGTGCCCAGTTTGCAGTGTTCGACGAAGAAGCGTCGATAGTGCGGGCTGTGCCATTCGAGCGAGACGCTCGAACAGGAGACGATGAGGATTTTGGGTTCGGGCGCGGGCGCGTACGATTTGGTCGCGATTTGGACGCGATCGGCGTCGGCGTCGGCGTCGATCTCGTCGCATTCGTCTGTAATTGGTGAGAAACATGACGGTGTTAGATACAGGGGCCTGTTTCGTATAACTGGCAAGTCCTGTCGGACAAGTGTAGGGTCTAAATTTGACCGGAGTATTTGACAAGTTTGTGTTTCATCGAAATTTATTTTGTGAAACGAAATTTTTAAATACTTGTCAACCAACACTTGTAACTTGTCAACTTGTCAGTTATATGAAACAGGCCGCAGGTCTGGAAACTGCCCAACGCAGTGACATCGGGCTGGTTTCCGGGCCTCTATGTAAGACCGCGGTTTGAGACTTACCTGTCGAATTGTCGGGGTTCTTGGGGTGTTTGTTGCGGAACGACCAGAATTCTTCGGGAGCGGGCCGGTTGGAGCGGAATATCTGAAAGATCGGGATTATCGAAAATCGATGCGATGGCGTATTTTATGATTTCGGTATTATTTTGGCGTTATTTTAGCGATATGCTCATGCGGATAAGTTTACTGGATGTTTTAGCAAAAAGTGCGGTTAGAGTATAAAAATGCTGTATGTTAATGGCGGTGTTAGAAAAGGTAGCGAGAACTCGAAAACCTCTCGAATGTCAGGAAATTATTTAAAAAAAAATCATGCTCACCATTCGCATGTGTGTCGTGTTCGTTCGTTTTTATCCAACAAACTCGATACTCCAAAACGTTTTCCATTTTCGACTCGTTAATATTCCGAAATTGAGTTAATAATACATATCTCGAATAAATAGCGGATTTTTTTTTGTACATTTTACATCCTAATTTTACTTTAACAACAATTAACCATTAATCTTTAAATAAAATAAAAAAATAATAATAACAACAACGATAATATCACAGCCATCTCTCTCAGTAAAACACGTAGAAGGTTAGTTTGAGTAGTTGCGGTTACGTTTTTAATTTTTACATTTTGGGAAGAAGCTCTCTAGTGTTTTGTTTTTTTAGGATACCTGAAGAGAATAAATGTTTTTCTATTAATATCAGTTATTGGTTATGTGCGAAAGTAACGAGGTTATACAGGGTGTCCCGCATTACAACCGACCCGCCCCCGTGACTATTCTTACGCGGGACACCCTGTATATCGTCAATTTCGCAGAAATCATGGCGTATCAATCAAACGTTAAAAAAACATGCAATTAAGCGGATATAAATTTGCTCAATTATTTGCGCATTTTTTAATATAAACCGACGGGGTAACAATGTCAATAAATGTTAGATAAATATTTAATTTAAAAGCGCAGAAATCTATTCTAGATAGTACAGGAAAATTCTATGTAAATTCTAGAGATTCTAGGTACTATAGGAAGATTCCTGGATTACTACTAACATAACTTAACCGTCGGTTCATAAAAAATACTACATTAAAATATAAAAGGGTTTCCTCGTATATACAGTGTGAACCAGATATGTAATGAACAAATTTATTTTCTCAGTAAATATTTGTACAATACATTTTATAATTACAATACAATTTTTAACAGACGATACGAATTTATCCATTCTACATGGTTCACACTGTATATATGTTTAATAAAACTACTGATGATGGACCAAACGAATCAAAATCTACAACAAAAACTACAAAAAAAAAATATTCAAAATCCTCATCGCAAGAATGTTTCGATCGCGTCCGGTCCATCTTCAGTACCTTCAGTAGAGCAAATCGACCGATCTAATTCGAACGAAGCGGGCGACTTACCGTCGACCGATTCGCCTCCGACCACCTCCTGTGCGCGTCCCCTCTCGCCGCCCCCTTGGCGCCCTTCCTGGCGCCGGCGGAGGCGGCGGCGGCGGCGTCGAGCGCGCCCGAATCGCTCTTGTGCTTGTTGCGCAACGTGTTCCGGAAGCCCTCGAAGAAGTTCAACCGCGACCGGGGGTGGTTGTTGTTGTTGTTGCTGTTGTTGTTCTTGTGATCGTCGTCGGCGGCGGCGTTCTTGGCCGGCTTGGAGGCCGATCGCTTGGCGGTGGCGGCGCCGTAGTCGAACGGGGTGCTGTACCGGGACGGGACGGGTAACCGAATAAAATAATAAATAAACAAAAAATGGATAAAAATAAATTGGGAGGCGGGTTAATTCGCTTGTACTTTGTACTACGAGTGATCGTGATACCTCGACAAAATAGACTGAGATAGAAGAGTCCAAAATAGAAATAGATTAGGAGAAACAACATATCACAGTGTAGGAATTATCACAAATCATGAATTTGTCAAGCTATGTTGTCTTGGGCTATTTTGTCATTGGTCTATTTTGTCATTGGTCTATTTTGTCATTGGTCTATGTTGTCTTTGGCTACTTTGTCATTGGGCTATTTTGTCATTGGACTATTTTGTCATTGGTCACGGAGCAAACATAGTACAACACGAGTAATTAATCGGATAATAAATTAATAGAAAAGAAATAAAAAAGTAGGTAAAAACAAAAATAAAAATCTACAAACTCAAATTAAAATAGACAAATAATAAAAATAACAACAAATTAAAAGGCACATCTCTTGTTAAGAAAAAATGCCACAACAGATATTTCAACTTTTTTATTTCTATTATCGAAAATTTTGTGTCATCATATCATCATCGTAATCACCGCTTAATCAATGAATTAATAATATCCATATATACAAAACATACATCCTATGTACAAATTTTTTTCATCCGGTTTACAATTACAAAAAAAAAACCAAACAATTTAAAACGAACAGTGTATACACCAACACAACTCGAATCGATTCGACATCGTCACAAAATCGAATCGAATCGATATTTTCGACAAAAAATCACAACCGACGCCGCCTCCGACCGCCCCCGTCGCTCCCACGAACGGGGACCCGGACGGTGGATACTCACGCCTCCTTGGTGGTCAACTCCTTCTGGTAGGCGATGGGGCTCTGGATGGCCTTGAGGAAGTCGCGTTGCTTTTGCAACGTGTCCCGCACGTTGACCAGCCATTGCTCCTGCAATTCGACGCTGCCCGCTTGACAGGCGAAGCCCGAATTGCTGTTCGGATCCGTCGATTTCAATACGAAGCCGTTCTCTTTCGTTTCCAACGACATCTTGTTCACCTTAGAACAAAACAAACGCGCGTGTAATCGATCGAACGTAACCTATTAACGCTAATCAATCCTAGTAAGAGTCTCTTGACGTTTCTACATCGGTTGTTATGGAGTAACTAAGGACGCTATTTAATATGACAGTTTTACATTGTTGTTATGAAGTAACTAAGGAGAATCTTTCAAATTGACAGTTTTACATTGGTTGTTATGGAGTAACTAGGGACGCTATTCAATAAGACAGTTTTACATTGGTGGTTACCGACAGAGACCCGACAAAGACCGATTGATTGGCGTTTCGGAATGGATCGCTTACTTGAAGGTGAGCCTTGTAAATGTATTGGGGACTGGTGAATTGGGTTTTCTTTCCGACCACCTCGGAGAATATGATCGTCTGTTCGAAGAAGAACACGTGCAATTCCTTGTTTTTGCCCAACAACGGGGGATTCTGACCGGGCAGGTCCGAGCAAATCAACATGCCGTGCATTAGAAGATTTCCCTGAGCCGTTATTTTGCCCTAAAACAAATAAAATATAGTAACAAATATAGCTCGGAATATACTAATGAGTATTTTTGTTCGTTTATCCGGTTACAGAGTAGGCTGGACATAGTTTAATTTACCGACTCCCTACCACCTTCTACCCCTACCCTCTGTCTTCTACCCTACTCTACCTCTTCCCCGCCTCGTCCTATCCTATCTCCATCTGCTTCCTTCAACTAATCTTCTTTTACCCTACTCTACCTCTTTCCTAACTCGTTGTATCCCATCTCTACTTACCTCATTTTACTATCTTCTTCTACTTTACATCCTTTTACCACCTTCTACCACTACCCTCTATCTTCTACCCTATTCTACCTCGTCCTATCCTATCTCCATCTGCCTCCTTCTACTATCTTCTATTACCTTACTCTACCTCTTCCCAAACTCGTTCTATCTATCTCCACCTGCCTCCTTTTAATATCTTCTACTTTACATCCTTTTACCATCTTTCACCCCTACCTACCTTCTTCTACCTAACTCAACCCCCACCCTATCACCTTCTACCATAGTCTACCTCTTCCCTACCCTGCTCTATACCCTGCATTTCCCACGGTTACAAAAACAAGTAGTTTATTATTTACCTCGAATCCCTGCAACCGTCCCACGTCCATCATATCGTTGGCGGTCTTCGGCACCACCACCATGATGTTGTAGGCGGCGCGCAACGGTTCGATCTCCGCCTCGACGCCCGCCCTCTCCGTGTACTTGAGCACGTCTTTGAGCATCAGCTGGTACTTCATGATGCGCTGCACCGGCTTGATCAGCAGATCGCACAGCTGCAACTTGTGGCCCAATTTGACGCGCAACTCCTCGAAATAGGTGTCCAAATGTTCGGAGACGATGTACTCCGACACGTGCTTGTTCTTGCAGTAGATGACGTACATTTGGAGCTTGCGCTCGTAGCGTTTGAACAACGTGGCCAGGTCGATGGGGTTCTCGACGGCGCGCTCCAGCGATTTCAGGAAGAAACTGGAAGGAGATGATCGGTTTTGGTAGGGTTATTTTTTTTTTTGTCCACGATCGCCTCTATTACGACGGTTAAAGTTTCCTTTGACGATAGGGAAGCCTGAGGTGTGGACGGGAAGCGTGGGAGTTCAAGAGCGAAGCTCAAATTGAAGAAGAAGTTCAAAAGAATGTAGAAAGAAGTTCAAATTGACAGTTTTACATTGGTTGTTATGGAGAAACTAAGCAGATTCTTTCACATTTGACAGTTTTACATTGGTTGTTATGGAGAAACTAAGCAGATTCTTTCACATTTGACAGTTTTACATTGGTTGCTATGGAGTAACTAAGGAGATTCATTCAAATTGACATTTTTACATTGTTGTTATAGAGTAACTAAGGAGTTTCTTTCAAATTGACAGTTTTACATTGGTTGTTATGAAGTAACTAAGGAGATTCTTTCAAATTGACAGTTTTACATTGGTTCTTATGAAGTAACTAAGGAGATTCTTTCAAATTGACAGTTTTACATCGGTTGTTATGGAGTAACTAAGGAGATTCTTTCAAATTGACAGTTTTACATTGGTTGTTATGGAGTAACTAAAGAGATTCTTTCAAATTGACAGTTTTACATTGGTTGCTATGGAGTAACTAAGGAGATTCTTTCAAATTGACAGATTTACATTGGTTGCTATGAAGTAAGACCGTTACTGCGATACACTTACTCCTTGTGCCAATCGTAGATGACCTCGATGTTGCCGAACACCATCTTGTCCTTGCCGTCCTTGAGATCGTCGGGCATCGCGACGCCGAAGTCGGGATCGCGCATCGCCGCGATGTAACCGTCGACGATCATCGCCAGGTCTCTGACGTAAGCTTCTTCGGTGTCGACGAGCTCGCGCAGCACGTACTCGCGCTTCCTGAGCGCCTCCTCGACGCCGCCGGCCGCGTCCTCCGATTGGCGCTTCTCGGCGGCTGCGGCGGCGTCGCCGTCGGTCGAATCGGCGTCGGGACGGTGGCGGCGCGTCGCGTACGTCTTGTCCGATTGCTGCGAGTACTCGCCGAGGAAGTGGTGCTCGGAGTGTTGCTCCTGGAAATGCTGTTCGTTAATGAATTGTGTTCGTTTGAATTAGAGCTTTGTGCTATATAGTCATGCGGATGCTCCACTTTAGTGTCACCTGTCAACAATTGAGGTTATGTCGTACGCGATTTGACGTTTGAAGGGTTACGGTGTTTTACTAACGTGGTGCATTTGTGAATGGATTGAAAATCGCTTTGTGTAATGTTATTTCGAACGGGTTTTTTTATTTTATATTTATCCTACCGGTTTGAAAATAAACAATCGCAGTTTATTGGCGACGTAATGGAATAACTCGCGACTGGAATGCATCGTTCGCGTATCGCGTGCGGTTTAATTAAATTTCATTTTCGATTCATCTAAACGGGATTAAATCGATTCTTCGTACCGTTTAATTGGATATCATTCGATCTAAATTCGGTACGTGTCATTCCGTCTGATCGATCAAAGGGCGGGAAAATTTGACTGTTTAATGGCGTTTCGAAGAGAAAATTTTTTGACATATACTGCGTGTTTCATAATGGCATGCTAATATTTAAAGGGGTGATTCTTGGACCTAATTTAAGAAAAAAAACTTCATATTAGCATGTCATTTAGGAACACCCTGTATTTGTGGCGCACAAGACGATTTTCAACATTCGCGATAACGAGAACAAAAATGAACAAAAAAAAAAAACAACAAACGTACATATAGAAGCGATATAAATAAATAAATCAATAAATAAATAAATAAACACACACAAAAACTAATTAATAAACGATATACATAATTATATCGCACCATTCTCTCCTTTACGATTTGCTCGATCTCGGCCAAATCGGCCGACGTGGCTCCCTCTAGTGGTTTTAACGTTAAGCTAGACACCTGCGGATGACATCGAGAAAAAAAAACCAACAAAAATAAAACAGTGTTCAGTTAATTTACATCATGAATGATAAGCTAATTATACATATGAACAGTGGTTAAATAACAAATTAAAAATAAAACGAACAACACGCACCCTTTTGCACGGATTATCCTCGATGTCGGGCAGACCGGGAGCGGGCGGGGGCGGCGACGCCGTCGCCAATATGGGCTCCTGGATGGGCTTCATCGGCGGCGGCAATTCCAATTCCTCGTCGACGTCTTCGGCGACGCCGACGCCGCCGTTCGCCATGTCGGCCGGCTGTCTGCCGTCACGCGGGGGCGGCGACGACGCCGTCAGCGGCGACGCCGACGCCGTCGCCGCGCGTTCTTCCTCTTCTTCGCCCTCCGACGCCGATGGTTTGTTACCCATTTCCGATGGAGCCTGGAAAAATATAACGCTATAGTTTAGAACCGTTTAAAACGCTTCAGAATCATTTGGAACTGTCTAGGAACCATTTCGAAAGCTCCAGAACTATTTAGAAAGCACCAGAATCAATTAGAACTGTCTACAACCATTTCGAAAGCTCCAGAAACATTTAGAACAATTTACAAACCATTCAGAACGCTCTAGTAGAATCATTTAGAACTGTTTACGGCCATTTAGAATGATCCGGAATTATTTGGAACTGTCTAGGAACCATTTCGAAAGCTCCAGAACTATTTAGAACGATCCAGAATCATTTAGAACAATCTACAACCATTAATAACGCTCCAGAATCATTTAGAACTGTCTAAAAATCATTTCGAAAGTTCCAGAATCATTTAGAACTGTCTAAAAATCATTTCGAAAGCTCCAGAATCATTTAGAACTGTCTACGGGGCCATTTAGAACGCTCCAAAATCATTTAGAACTGTCTAGAACTATTTGGAATACTCCAGAATCATTTAGGACTATCTAGAACCATTAAGAACGCTTCAGAACCATTTAGAACGTTCCGAAATGACGACCATGTTAGACAAATTAAAAAAAAAACTAGTAAAGTAAAAGCGTCAGGCGTATACACATCGAACCACCCTCGTAACATACATAATCTACACCAATAAATAAACAAAAAAAAAAGGTAATTAATTTAAACACTACTAATAAAACAAAGTTTGAAGAAAACAGTTAAAATTGATCAAAGAATGCTTTAAATTCGACATATAATCGAAAAACAATCAGAAAAGCGCCTTCGGGCGTATACATATCGAACCACCCTCGTAACACACATAATAATACACCAATGAATAAACAAAAAATAAAATAAATAAAAAGGGAATTAATTTTAATATTACCGATACGACAAAGTTCGAAGGAAACTCACATTATTGAGCAAACTAGAAACACGCCTAAACAATTTCTTGCGCATAATAATTTCGAAAATGGCCAAACTAATTAAACGACACTTAAGAAAATCCGGTCGAAGTCGGAGACTAAACTAGACAACTAAAACACGACAAACATTACGGTTTACATAAAATAACGTATTAGAGTGATAAAATATCGAGTAAATCGCGGTTTTGGGTTTAACCTGAAATCGCTTTAAAAATTAAACTCATCCGGTCGGCCATCTTTTTCCTCTCTCTCTCACTCTAAACTCCTACGAGGGCCGCGCGTAAAGTAGAAAAAAAAAATTAGAAAAAAAAAACAACAAACGAATCGCTCGAATCGAGTTACCTGCGCCTGTCGTATCATTCAATCGGGATGATCGAATCGATCATCGTTATTCGCGATCGTCATCGTTCCCATCGAAAAATTTAATCCGAAAAAATCAAAGATGCACGGCCGCAGCGATTTTAAAATAAATCTTAGACACACACACACTCACGCACGGCACACTTTGATCCGCGCGATCCGTCTCTCTACAAGTGCACGTAATAGATTTATATAAAAGAGAAGAAAAAAAAAAACGAAGCGAATTATCTCGGTCGGCCTTGTTTGCCGCTCAGCTTGACTTTCGCATTAGAAACGTCGAAATGGGAATCGACGATGGAACGCGTTACTAAATCACCGTTCGCCATGAAACGCATATGGCGATAGAAAGGACGCGTGCAAATTCAACGAGTCGAACGAAGAAAGATTATCCGATGACCCGCGGGTTAGAGCGAGAAAGTTGCGCGATGACACTTCTTTATGTGGATGTTGTCTTCGTTGCACTCGCACAGACGCCGTATTGCTAATTCAAAGGTTACTAGATCGTGTGATAATTCGTTTGAAATAAGTAGAACTGTCAATAATTAGTTATAAAGCGAGAATTTACAGGGTAATAATTATTTTTGCGATTTAATCTTTAGCGAATTTCGGTCGGTTCCCATCTCTATTCCTCTCGCATTTATTCAATATTACTTAAATGCGCCTACCGTGAAACATCATCATCCTTGTCTGGCGTTATGTGTTTATACATGTACATTATGTAAACACACGGACTACATAAATTATTATTACATAATAAATATTGAAAATGGGAGGAAAAAACAAATCAAATCGGAGATAAACGCCGGTTATTGTCGGCTTGCTTTGTTTCTCCAATCGATCACCTTTTAAAATAATAACGCTCGTGATTTTAAATATACGAGGGCGAATCGAAAAGTTTGAGTATACGAGGGCGAATCGAAAAGTTTATGTATACGAGGGCGAATCCAAAAGTTTGAGTATACGAGGGAGAATCGAACAGTTTAAGTATACGAGGGCGGATTGAAAAGTTTGAGTATACGAGGGCGAATCGAAAAGTTTATCGGCGATTTGATTACAACGTATTATTTATATGGATTTGAAATTGCTGTGGAGTAAAAAAAGGGCTCGTTAATAAAATCTCCTTAACTCGTTAAATCGAGCCTCGATTGAGCGATTGAGAACGGACGAGCGATAAAAGAAAAATTAATCGGTAAATAACGGCTCGTTTTCGATTTGATAGACTATAAAATTCGAGTTTACAAATACTCGACCCGATGAAATATTAACAATAACAAACGGTTATTATTTTATGCGAGAAACTACACGATAATAAAAACGGGTCGTTAATTCGCGAATTAACCAAATAAAAATCCCGTTTTATGTGAGCATTCATAAATCGACTTAATTAGTATTTTAGCCAATCTTGTTAATTGACTAATTAATGAGTACGATTTGATTCGAAACCATACGAAATAATCAGTTTAAACACGCAACAAAACTATCGATTAACGTATTAAAAAAAGAAGAAATTAACCGTATTAATTAATTAATTAGTGGCGAATGTATTCAATAGAGTATTACTAAAAGGGTTTTTGGACCCACGTTTATATGAACTTTTAGTCATAAAAAAAGCCAAGGATTCACCCCCTTTCGGATGTACACAATGTTTAGGAACACCCTGTAATACAAGTGGACAAACGGTAATGTACCGAAATGACCATCAGTTTGTTAAACGAATCGATATTAATAAATTAATTTAGATCGATTAGTAAAGAGAAATTTTACCTTTATCCTCTTATCGGAGCCGGTTTTCTTGAGGGGCGAGCCGACGCTGGCGATCGGAGGCGGCGCGGACGTCTTATCGCCTTTACCTTGCGACAGCTTCCGCAGCGGAGGCGGCAACCATTTTCTTCTGAATCAAAAAAGAAAAACAAACACATCACGTGAGAGAACAAAAAAAACAAACCACGCGCCGTTCGAAAGAGACAAATAAAAAATAAAATAGATGTAAATAAAAAAAAAAATTGGCAAATTAGTAATTACGGGCATTGGCACAAATTCCGGCAAATTTTCCCCATTCCCATCGTTCGTCACGCACATAATTTTCACCTCGGAGAAGATCAAGCCGAGGAATCCGTCTTATCTCGAAACCGTTTCAGGCGAATTGCTATAGAAATCTTGAGCAAACAGTCGAGATAATGGATAAGATAATGCGACGGTTGTTCTTTTTTTTTCGAATTGAAGCGAATTCGAAATTGTATACGATTTATTTTATCGCGGAAACGTACTTATTATACGAGGCGAATCTATAAAAAAAAATCTCGAAAGTTCCAAATTTACCAAAAGCAACATCGAGAAATTGTGATAGGAGTATTTTGCCAATGATATCAAGTAGTTATCTCCACGGGTGATTCCCCGAAATATATCAAATTGGCCAGTCTAATGTGTTTTAAACCATCCTATATTAAATTTATGAAATAAAAAATTAGTAAATTTACTCACCCACTGAATCCTCTTCTTTTATTCACCGGCGATGAAGTATTTATCGCGGACGTACCGTCATTCGAAATTGTTGCATCTACGAAAAACCAAATAAACTAATCACTGATAAATACGCATCTTACTATTTTATTATCAATCGATTTTATCGCTCTCGACTATCTCACGAACATCGTCGCTACGTTGCCAAATCGTTAAATGTCAAAATGCACCTGTCAAACGTCAAACAGCGATTAAACGACCACCTGTCAACGATACGTTGTCAAATCTAGAAACGTCAAAATGTACCTGTCAAACGTCAAACCTGTATTTTAACGGTGGAAAATTCGCGCTAGTTTAAGACAACGCATCGCTCGAGGAGTAAAATAACGAATAAAACGATCCGTAATAGGCGCCCATTTCCCCCCTTCCTACTCGTCTTTTTCCCCCCTTTTTGATTTGCATCTATCAAAGGCATTTTGTTTATCCTTTACGGATCGACGACGCTCATTTTAACTAGCAATTGTTTCATATCGAAACAATCGACGATTTTTTTTTTCAAATTGGCATCAATTGTTCGTCAAGGCCGTCTCCCTCTCTATTATATCCCGTTCTCTCGCTACCACGTAATAATAATAACAACAGCTCGAAAATATATGTATATACGCGACAGAATTATATAAATGTCGTGATTTCGTTGCCAATTAGTCGAGGTGTTTGTTTCGTGTTTTTTTTTTCTTCGATATTCTTCCTGTTTACCCGTCGTACATTTTCCGCTTAATAACAGGTTCGTTTTCAACGCAACCGTGACGTCACGAGTTATACTAAAACGAATCGACTATACCAAAACGGCTAAAAAATCCTTATACACACGCCGGCAAATTTAAAGGAACAGATTGAAAATTTTATTGTCTTATAGTCTATATCTAGGTAGCCATCAATGTTCCATGTCATAATTGAAGTTTTTAATGTCAAAATGTCAAATGTTGCTGTTGTCTGTTTGTCAAAACTTCAAAAGTTTGTTTTGTGCCTTACGTTTCAAACGCGTGTAACAGAGATAACAATAAATCGTTATTAATTAATCAGTTTAATTCGTTCGGAATTGTTGCTATTGTTTTTTATTTGTTATAATCAATTTTGTTTGTATTGCAAAGAGCAGCTAATAATGGGCGATTTAATACCGACTAATATTGCCAAAAATGAATTTAATTATTGAAATAAGTTCAAAATGTACAATAAAGTTATTCTGTTTAAAACCAGTATTTTATTTTAAATCTGACATCTTCGACTTCCTCTCTTCTTCAACAGATTGCACATGATAAATTTCTGTAAAAAGTGACCCAACCACTTTACCAAAACTTTGCGTTAAGAAATATTAACAATATGTATATCATAGAGAAAATAAACTGCTCCACAAAAGTTAAGGAAGTTCGCAAATTTTGCAATTATTTTAAAATTTACAGAATTTTTGGTCACCAAATTTTCAAATATGCGAAATTAAATGTTTTTTTTCTCGTATCTGAGTGGATTTTTTGTCCCTACCTCTACAACTCATACTAAATTTGGCGATCAAAAAACCTGCAACTTTTAAATTAATCTCAATATTTGTGAACTTCCTAACTTTTGTGGAGCAGTATAATTGGATTTTATATCTGTTCCTTTAAATACGCCGGCGTGTCTAGCAGCGACTTTACTATACTCGGCACAATGAAACACCCTGTATATTAACATAGACTCACCGATATCCTGGTCGGTCCTGCGCGACGGCGAGCCCTTCCTGGCGGCCGCCGCCGCCGCCGCCTGTTGATGGCCGGCCGGCGGCTGTTTGAGCACCGCCAGCGGCACGAGACCTTCGACGGCGGCGGCGCCGGCGCCGAGACGCACCAGGCAATAGTCGGGCCGCGTCGGGCACGTCTCCACCACCTCCACCTGCTGCCCCTTCGCCACCGACAGCTCCTGGACGTCGACGGCCGCGTAGTCGCTCATCACCCACGTCATCTCCACCACGCCCGCCTAGATCGAATGAAAAAAAATTAAAATAAATTAACGAAAATAACATCGAAGAACCCTACGGAACTATGTAGAGTAGTTTACTACACTTTCTCTACTAACTTCTATCTACTAAACTGCTACACAAAAGTTAAGGAAGTTCGCGAATTTTGCGATTATTTTAAAAATTACAGACTTTTTGATCAACAAATTTTCCAATATGCGAAATTAAATGTTTTCTCTCATATCTGGGTGGATTTTTTGTCCCTATCTCTACAATTCATACTAAATTTGACAAAAAATTACAAATTTAATTGTCTGTTTTGTTTAGAAACTTTTTTAATTTTTTTCTTAGAAACTTTTTTCGTCTCTGTGACCGTTATCGAGAAAAAAATTAAAAATGATTTATTTTACAAAACAAAAACCCTAAATAATAATTAAATTACATTATAACAAATGTTGAAAGTGACCCCCTCCTACTCAAATTATACTCTATACCCTATATCATATGCCTAATTTGAGCTAAATATCTCAAAAACTGCAGGAGCTCTAAAAAAAAAAACAAAAAATCTTGAAATATTATCACCCTGTAGATCAATAACAAAGCGTTTTCGGACCTATGTTTATATGAACTTTTAGTCATAAAATAAGCCAAGGAATCACTCCCTTTCGGATGTACACATTGTTTACGAACACCCTGTAGAGTATGACTTCTTCTATGTATCGAGTATCGGTATAATGGCGGGTAAATATAATTCGGGCGCGTGTTAAATTATAAATTAGACGGTAACTAAATCAAAATCGCTGACATTTTAATATTGGAGTGTACACGCGATGACGTATAATGAATCGTATAGGTTGTAATATATTATTATGTACCTACACGCTATTTTTAAATGTTGGTCGGGGAAATGATTTTTGGCGTGTCGTTGAAATGCGACAAAAAAAATATGTATATTACTGGTACATAGATATTTGGGAATTCAGCCAGTTGTCTTTTTTTAATATTTGGTCATTTATCTTAGGAAATCAATTATCCTTTTTAAATTAATTATAATAGAATTAAAATAGAAAGTCGATTATCTTTTCCTATCTAAGATATTTAATTATTTACCTAAGAAAGTTAATTATATCTTTCTATTTGCGATATTTAAGGGCGTCAATTCTTATCCATCCAAGAAATCCATTTATCCTTTAGGTCGATAAATTAAACTAGTTAATTAATAAAAACGTATCTACATCACAAAGCAATATATCGCACCCTTATCTAGCTATCAGTAAGATAATGAATCAATTATCCACCTAAAACAGGTGGCAAATAAGCAAAATCATTCGAAAAATCAACTTTTCAACGTCTACAGTTAAGACATTTAAAAAGTAATTTACAAACACCCTGTATACAATCTATACGAGTATTTAACACGGCGGAATCGAAAACGTTTCCGCTCGACGGACCGGCCGTTCGAGCGGAATTTGTGTGGACGTCGGCGTCGCGGCGCTTTCGACGTCCTTTCGCCGGAGAAGAGCAGAGCGACAGTGAGAGAGAGAGACCGACAAAAAAAAATATGTAACGGGGGATATGCGATACTCGGCACACCGGGATCGGGTGATATAAGGTCAATCGATATACGATTATTAACGGTAATAATCGAAAGTCGGTGGGTTTTTTTTTTGTGTTGTCGTCGCGCTCCGACAAATTGCCGATGGAAAAATGAGCGGAAATATAAATTACGAAAATTTTGTTTCGTGTTGTACGCGAATAAGTGGGACTTTAAGATGCGTTCGATGATACATTAACGACAAACGGTCAAATTTGACATTAATGACATTTCGTATGACAGATGTTTAATAGAGGTGGGAATCGATTTTTTCGGTATAGAGGTGCAGTAACGATTGTTACAAAATAAGAGTTATTTTTTCATATATTACTCTATTCGAAATTAATTAAATAAACATTTTATAAACGGTCTTCTATACAGGTTGCTCCATTTTTGATCGCAACATAGGTTATATAGGCCATGGGTGCGATAAAGACAACTTCCATTAGACACTTATAAAGGAAAAGGAAAGAATGACATTTGTGTCATTGCAAATTTTCACTCTGACAACTGTCATTTTAATAATCTTTCTTTGTTCCACTCATAGAAATGACCATGTTGCAATCGGAAATGGAGCAAGGTGTATATTTATAACAATTCTATGAGTTGAATAAAGAGATTATTACTGAAATAACAGATGAAACAGAGAAAACTGCAATCAACCCACAATAACACTCTTTCTTTGTCCTTTGCATGATACTAATGGAAGTTAGTAAGTCCTTGTTGCACCCATAGACAAATGCATCAAAATATGCACATATTATTGTTTGGAATATGGGCTATGGGTGCAACAAAGACAACTTCTTTTACTATCATACAAAGGCTAAAGAAAACGTCATATTGCAACTATCTCACTCTAACCACTGTAATCTCAATAATCTTTCTTTGTCCGACACATAGATTAGGCCATTTGCAAGCAATTTTGCATGTTTATGTCTTAGGTACAAACATGGACAGCTCGATCTCGCACCCTAATAAATAAACTGCTCCACAAAAGTTAAGGAAGTTCGCAAATTTTGCGATTATTTTAAAAGTTACAGACTTTTTGATCACCAAATTTTCAAATAAGCGAAACTAAATGTTTTCACTCATATTTGAGTGGATTTTTGCCCCTTCCTCTACAACTCATACTAAATTTGGCGATCAAAAAACCTGCAACTTTTATATTAATCTCAATATTTATGAACTTCCTCAACTTTTGCGGAGCAGTATAGTTCCTCGTTTGACGCGCCCTCTGCCACCTATTTTGACGACCAGGCACTTTGAGAGTGCATTGTAGAGCCGGCAACATCGCTTCCTATCGTCAGACAAATTCAAACTATCGATGGATAGACTTACAGAAGTTTGATTAGTTTTTTTAAGATACGGAGGTTCCGTTTTAAGATCCCAGTTCCGCGCGAGTTTCGAATTTGTCTGACGATAGCAAGCAACGTTGCCAGCTTTACCAACGCACTCTCGAAGCGCCTGGGCCATCACAACAGGTGGTAGAGGGCGCTTCAAACGAGGAACCATTTATTGAGGTGCAAGATCGAACTGTCGAGGATTTTAAATATATGCTTATTAACCAAAGACGATTGTCCCGGCTGTTTCCTCATCCTGGCCTGGAAGGAGCTCGGCGTGTCGATGGTGTGTTGTCTGGCGAGCGCCGGTCGCGCCCCCGCCGCCACCGAACCCTGCCGGAACCACGGCAACGATATTTTCCTCTTCGATTTCTGCATCTTCGGCGTCGTCGCCTGTCCGGCCGACGCCATTCTCCACCTTTTATCTTCACCTTCTTCTTTATTAATATTATTTTTATCCTATTAGATGTACCCGGTACTTTGGGTTCCTTTAGTTTTCTATTTTTTGGTATAAGCACGCGAGTTAAAAGGGTCCATTAATTAACCGATCGGTTAGGACTCCTCCAATTTGAAAAATCCAGGCGATTTTTTTTGATAACGACTGTAATTAAACAGCTCCACGAAAGCTAAAGAAGTTCGCGAATTTTGCGATTATTTTAAAAGTTACCGACTTTTTGGTCGCCAAATTTTGAAATATGCGAAATTAAATGTTTTCTCTCATATCCGAGTGGATTATTTGGCCCTACCTCTACAACTCATACTAAATTTGGCGATCGAAAAACCTGCAACATTTAAATTAATCTCAATATTTGCGAACTTCCTTAACTTTTGTGGAGCAGTATATTTTATCGATACAATATAGCGATTATTTTTTTTATTTCTACAGAATTTCTACACTCTGCGAGGTAACTTGATGTCGGTTATTTCAAAATTCGCGCGATTCTAACGTTCATAAATCGACTCGACTTTTCAAATTTAAAATGAACTTGAAATATAGAAGAATGTCGCGATGGAATTTTAACAAGCATTTACGAACGCAAACAAACTCAGGACGTCCTGTACAAATTACATCGTAAATCCTACCCAAACAACGATCGATTAATCAATCGATTTAGATATGCAAAAAATTAGTTAATTGATATATATATTTTTTCGAAGCACCAACACGTTAGATGTATCACTATATATTTAATTTCTTTCGAAATTCACCGCATCCACGACACTGTATATCGCGTGCATAATATATACAGGGCGGACCGAGAGAGACGAGCACCGCTCGTACCCCTTTAAATCGAACTAATCGAACGCCACCGGTAGAAATTCGCACATTTTCACCGCCGCCCGACACCGACTGGGTTTTTTTTCCGCCACGGCCGATGAGGATCCAGCTCGCCGATGTCGATCATCTTCCGGTGGCTGCCCCCGCTTGGGGGGCTCCTCGTCGAAGGGGCCCCGCTGTTTCACATCGAAGTAGGCGCGCGCGATGAATCCGGAAGGGCCGCCGACGAGCGAATGGCGGCCGTACGATGATACACGCCCGAGAGAGATAGCGAGCTGTAGAAAGAGCGATGGAGAAGTCGCGGGACGGAGCGTCGAGGCGTCGTCGTCTCTCGGCCGACGCCCGGCGTCGTACTGATTTCGCCGGGGCTCTCTCTCTGCCGTAGGGACGGGAGAGAAGAGAAAAAAAATAAAGAGGAGGAGGCGGCGGCGGCGGCGGGCGAAGGTTGCGCACCGACGGTCGATCCGATTCGATTTCGGGCCGGCTCCTTCGCACCTTTTTTTATTTGTTTGTTTGTTTATTTCGTTTTTACTTCCTCGTACTAATTGTGTAAAGGGGGTAATTGTAATTATCTCTATTTTGCATTTTTCTTTGCTTGATTTAGTTTGGTTTTTATCGAGTTTTGTACAATTTTTACCGTATTTTGTCGCTTAATTTTTGCGTTATATCTTTTACTCGGTTTCTTCTCTTTATTCGACTATTTTACCAGATTATTTTCAATTTAATACACTTATTTCATAAATTACTTTCAGAACTCTCTTTCAATTAAATAGAGCGAGATATTTAAGTTAGCTTTTCCACGATTTTACAACGTATTTCCAATGATTTTTTAACAATTATTACATGCAAAAATAACTAAATAATTACCTTATCAGACGAATCCGTGGTGTTGCTCGAACCGAACGAAGTCAACGAATTTCGATCCAAATTTTCAACGCCTTCGTCGAGTGAATTGTTACTCTCCTCCATGTCCCTAAATAAGACAAAAAAAAACGTTATATTTACATCCACCGCCGACTCATTTGAGTAAGACTAAAGTAATCGAGTAGTGACTGAATAACCGAAACATAAACGAACTTATACAAATAATTAACCGTGCTCGGACTCATTTGACAACTACTAACTGAATAACCGAAACATAAATGAACTAGTACAAGTAATTAACTGTGCTCGGCCTCATTCGAGAACTACTAACTGAATAACCGAAACATAAATGAACTAGTACAAGTAATTAACTGTGCTCGGACTCATTCGAGAGAACTAGTACAAGTAATCAACCGTGCTCGGTCTCGTTCGAGAACATCTAACCGAACAACCGAAACGTAAAGGGCCAACAAAAATTCAACCGGGACTGACCGGCTCGATCGCTGGCTCAGCGGTTTGACCTTGGCAGGACTCTTGGGCAACGACAGCGGATAGAAGGAGCCGCTGAAGTACGTCTCCTGGATGACCTCGCGCAGCTTCTTCACCCACAGCTGTTTCGTTTCCAAGGACGGCGCCCGCAGGACGATCCGGCAATCGGAGCTCGGCGCTCTGCCCGTCCACACGGCGAATTTGCATTCGTCGCCCTCCATGTGCTCCGTCACGCCCAATTCCGACGTCTACAAACAAATATATAATACAAAAATTAAAATACAGTAGTTTTATATACATATGTATACAGTGATCTCCAGGGATCCAAGTGACTATCTCTAGATTCCTTCGTGATATCGAAATGAAATTTGGAGGATACATATTACAATAAATTACGAATTAGTTGTACATTTTTTTGACAATTTTAAACTTCCGCCTCAACCAGAAGTAATGTCACTTTTAAAATTTGATTTCCAGAGATATTCACTTGGCTCCACACATTTGCCCGTCACCGTATATACACAGTACCCACCATCAATTTGTTTTTATAGATGTACTTGACCTTCCCGGCCGAGTCTTTCACCTCTTTGCTAAACAACAAATACATTTCGAACAGGAATATGTGCCGGTCGCGACCCTTCCTGATGATCTGCTTCGGATCCAACACGGTGAACGCGTCCTGCAGCACCACCTCGCCCAATTCCTCGTGCGACGCGTCGCAACCGTCCAACAGCGACAGATGCAACGCGTCGTTCGCCTTCTTCGGCACGTTCAACATCACCTCCAAGCCGTCCTTGATCTCGCCGCGTCCCTCGTCGCAGCAGCCGAGCAGGTCTTTCAACAGCAACTGGTACTTGGTGATCCGTTGCACCGGCTTGATCAGATAGGCGTCGATCGGATGTTCGACTTGGTACTTTCTGCGCACCTCTTCGAAGTAGCGCTCGCCGTGCTGCACCAGCACGTCGGCGCTGTCCGGCTTGTTGCGACAGTAGGTCACGTAGGCGTCGAATTCGCGCGCCCACGTCACGAAACAGTGGCCGACGTCCTCGGGCATCGTTTCGTACTTCTCCAATTCCTTCAAGAACACCGAATCGTGGAAGCGATGGATGGCCTCCATGTTGCCGAAGATCACCCGGTGATTGGCTTGGATCGGGGCCGGTACCGAGGCGCTGGTGCGCACGTCGTGCAGGTAGTGCGTGATGCACGTGCGCAAATCGTTGACGTAGGCGCGCTCCGTTTGCAACAGCTCCGCCATTATAAATTCCTTCCGTCTCGCCGATCGTCGTTTCTCCTCGTTCAGTTCTTTGAGCTCTTTAACGGCCGCTTCCTTGACTTTCGTTTCTAAATTAGGATCGGAATTTCGATCGATCGATTCCTTCTTGTCGCCGCCATCGCCGGGCTCCTCCTCGCCCTCTCTTATACCCAACGTCGCCTCCAATTGTTGCCTGTAGCTCTCCATACGGCAACTGAAATCCTTGTACCTACAAACAACCAAAACGATAAATTCTTTTTTATCCGAACGTTAAAATTCGCGCGGTCTCGCCTGTTATCGACGGCGGCCACCCATTGCTTGATGTCCGAGGCGTGCGCGTGGCCTTGTTCCACCAGGCTGTCGGCCAATTGTATCAGCAACTTGACGCGCTCTTTGGTCTCCTTCACGGTGACTTTGAATTCGTTGTGTTCGCGCAGCAGGCAGGTCGTCTCGTCGACGTTGTCGCCCACTTTCGAGGCCTTCGTCGTCAGATAACTTTCGCCTGGAGAATTGTAAAAAAACGGATGGATAAATTCGGAAGGATAATAGTGTCGAAATATTCGACGGTACTGATTCAATTAAACGGCTATTGTTAGACGGACTCGGGAAAATAAATGTAAATAAACAACGATAAACGGTGATAGTACAGCGTTTAGGCGATAAGGTGAACGCGTGTAATTAAACTACAATTGAACCGTAAGTCGGTCGTTTCCCTATATAATTCTACTTAGGGGATTTCGTATATTCTTCTTCTTATATACTAAAACCAGAAGCGACATCCTATCATTGGCGAGATTTGTTTTTTTTTTAATTATTTGGGATCAGAGAGGTGTAAAAGTATCCGCTGATTACGAATATGACCATCATTTTCCTCGGCTAAATTCATTTCGGCTCGCAATCTCGATTTAAAAATGCCAATCGTCCGCCATTTTAAAAATTGACCCAAGTTGACGTATTGTTTTGACATGTTTCGTTCGTTTGCGTGAATCCGAATTGTTCCGAACTTGCACTCGACTAACGCATCTCTTGCGACCTCTTACTACGCCAGTGTTCAATTACAAAAAAAAAACAAAAAAAAAAAAAAAAAAACGTACCTTTCTCTCTTATCCATTCGATGGCCTGTCCGGCCGATCTCTCGAACAAAACGAACTGCTGGCACTGATCCAATCTCTTCTTCCGCTGCGTCCAGCACTCCAACACGCCGTTCTCCTGGCCGAGCAACCGCTCCAAAATGCCCTTGACGCGCGCCTCCTGGTGCTCGCCCGCCGACCGGCCGTACCCGTAGAACTGCAAACTCCTCGTCGCGTATTTGAGAAACGTATCGGCCGTGCGGCGGGCCAGCGTGCACGCCTTCAGGAACGCCTCCTTCTGCTCCTGGTGCTTGGCGATCAGCTGCGCTATGGCGGCCGATTTGTCGACGGTCTCGCCGGATTTGGCGGAGGCGGCGCCCGACGCTCCTCCCGCTGAACACCAGTCCTCGTCGCGACGGTACTCGCGCTCCAGGCTGTCCAGCACCGAGCACACCTAAAACGGAACGAAACCGGTCACTACAAACTGTCGTTTCGAGGCCTCGGTTAACTCGGGCTATTCGGCATCAGACGCGTTTAGTTATATTCTTAGATCGTATACAGGTTGCTCCATTTTCGATCGCAATATGGTTAAAAGTACGTCGTGAATATGTTGGCAACAGAGTTTACCGCTGTCTACTTATCCACGTTAGTATATATGATAAGGTTATATTATTATATTGTACCTGTTCGGCGGTCTTGTAGAAATTCAAACTGGCCGTCACCAATTTGTGTCGTTCTTCGGCGCACGTCACCAGCTGCTGCCATCTCTTGGTCACCTCCTCGGATACATCTTTGATGGTTTGCGGATCGTAATGGTTGCCGTTTATCAACGTATCGGCCCTGTGCTTCACTTGAACGGCTACAAAAGAAAAAAAAAGCATACATTTCTGGCCTCGACCGTTCGGAGTATTCAGTGCAATTAAAGAGTATTCGTACCTGACGTATGGGTCTTTTCGATGGCCACCTGGAACTGTTCGTGCTCCTTCTTGAGCAGCTCGGCGTCGGCCAGCGTGTCCGGCACGGCGAAGCTCGCCATCAACATCGATTCGCCGTTTCTGATCCAACAGATCACCTGGTTGGCGTCGTTGCGGTACTGGCACAGCTGCACCGATTGCTCGAGCTTCAAGCGCTTCAATTCGGCCAGCTCTTCGAGGTCCATCTGGCCGTCGTGCAGGAACTCCAACAGCACTTGAACCTTCGGGAAAAAACCGATCGTATATATTATTACGATAGAGATCAATTAATGTTAAACTCACCCGGGTCCGGGCGTCGTACTGCGCGTCCGCCATCACCCTCAAACCGGCGGCGCCTTCCAGCGCCATCGCCAGCTCGCCGCCGCGCTGCAACGCCTGATAGGTGGCGCTGCGCATTTGGGCGAAGGCGTCGTCGTGCGCGCGCAAAAAACGCTCCCCCTCGGCCGGATCGGCGCCCGTCGACGTCGCGCCGCCTCCGCCGCCGCCGTCCGTCCGTCGCATCTCCTCCGACCACATTTCCAAGCGCGACGCCGCCTCGAGCGCGTCGCGTTCGAACAGCCGCAACCTCAGGCCGAGATCCAGGCGGCGTTTCCTCGTCGACCACAGCTCCTCGAGGTCGTCGCGACGCTTCGCGAGCCGATCGAGCGCCGCCTCGACGGCCGTCACGCTGCCGGTGGCGTCGCCGTCGCCCGTCGACCGGATCTCCTGCAACAGCGCCTCGCCCTGCGCGATCGTCGACGCGCAAGCGTCTAGACTCTGTTCGCGGTGCTGCGCGGTTTGCTCGAGCAGCCGCTCGGCCGCCTCCAGACCGTCCGCCACGCTCTCGTCATTCTAAAAAAAACACAGCTCAATAGAGAAAAAAAACGCCTTGGAGAAGTTAAGACTCACCTGCAACTCCTGTTGGAGCTCGTCGACCCAATTGGCCAGGTCCTTTTCTCTCGTGTAGAACATGACGGCCAATTCGAGGCGGCGCCTGCGCTGTTCGACGCGCGCCGCGAACGAGGCCACGTGATCTTCGAGCTCGCGCGCCACCGAGTAGATCTCCTGCGGATCGCATTCGCCGGTGTGGGCCAGCTCTTCGGCGGCCGCCAGCAATTTGTCGGCGTTCGTGTAGGTGTTCTACAAACGAAAAAACTCGAGGTAGTAGTTATAGCTATACCAGTTCTAGACCACTTTCGAGAGAATGGCTTAGAATCGGTATAGAGTTTGAGGTGGTCTAGAAATGGTATAGCATTTCGAGGGTAGATGGAATAAATATCCAAAAAACGCTGGGATTCGAACCCCGGATTTTTAAAACGGTTCAACTAAAAGAGCTATGGTACTCGGTTACGGGGAAAATTCCAGAGGAAAGAACCTTCCTCGCTCTTCTATACGTTTTTTTTCTCTCACCTGAGCGACGTTTTCGAAATGCTCGTGGCTCTTCTGGTAGACGCGGGCCTTTTGCAGGTTCCTACCGATGCCGGTGTTCTTCCTGATGAACACCTCGCCGTGGTTCGCCAGCCAGTCGAGCACCTGTTCGATACGTTTTTTCCAATATTAAAATCGCGAATGTATTTCGAAGCGGCGCATTTTACCTGTTTGACGTCCTCCTGGAAGAGCCTCAGCGCCAGCCGCTGGTGCAATTTGATCTTTTTCGCGTGCCACTTTTGCTCGAGCGCCCTGTGATGGTTCAATATCTGATGGATGACGGCGAGCACGTGGCCCGCCCCTTCGCTGTAATCCGCCGCCGGATCGTTGCCGCCCGTCCGGGCCCCATCGAACGAAGCGTTTTCCGCCTAACGTGCAAACTATCTATCAGTACCGGCCGCTTATTTTGGGCTCTATTTCGGCGCTAATTACACTCGCAAGATGCACTACATCTACGTTTGAACTAAGCAAGGATAGAAATCTTTCGGGCGTACATACAAAGATATAATGGAGAGGAGTAAGATTTTTTTTTATAAAACTACATATTCTTATGAAGTCATTGGTAGAATTTTGAATTTTTTCCGTTTCCTATTAAGGCCACCGTTAATTTTAAAAGTTTGAAATCAGTAACATATCATTAACCAATGACATTTTGGTGGTAAAGATCATATCTATATTTCCTAAAACATTGAATAAATTCAGCAACTGAAAACTGCTTTCAGTTCTAATGACTTATTTCTATTCAAACATCTGGTTAAAAACTGGTGAATCTCCCATCGTACTCCTCTTCATTCGCTCGAATGAAATCATCCAAACAACTAAGCTACAACGATTATTTATGTAATAAATATTTACATGTTTTTTGTCCTTCGTAGATTGATTGCAGACATGTACCAAATGATCTAACTGATAAAGGAGTTTCTTACTCGTGTTATGTACCTGTTACCAACATAAAAAAAAACACCCACACCGTTAATATAAAGAAGTAAAGATTCGAAATCTACAGTATTATACGGAAAATGTAAAAGATTTGTAATCCTGCGTATCGCATCGAAAAGAAGAAATCCTTGATGTGGTTTAGTAGATAAATTAATCAACCATTTCTTCTCTACGACACAAACTTTACAGGACGTTTATTAGACAACACCAGTCGATTTTTTTAGTAACCTACGAAAGTTTTTCCGAGAAAGAGAATTACGTCGCCGCATAACAACCCCTATTTAAACGAAAATTCATCCGTTTTTTTTTATTATGTATTAGTAGAAACCGTTCGGTTTGCTGTAACAGCTAGAAACAAATATATATCAAAATAAATTACGTCTTTCGAATCGACCTCCTTGTCTCTCGCTTCATCGAGGCTGCTCGAATTGTGGCACACCTGCAGCATCAAATCCAATCCGTTCAACAGCGACTGGTAGGCGTCGTATACCTTTTTGGTTTTATTTCATTTAAATTCACTTTATTAAACCGTCCTAAATTTACCAACGAAAAATGTACCGGCAATCTATACATCGCTTTGGCCGAAAAACCGCGACAGTAGAGGCCTCCAAAAGCTTCATAGATTGCTGGCGCTTAATCATAACCGGTTATTGCAGTAAAATTTACCTCCGTATAGGCCTGACACATCGATTCGTACAAATTCTGGTGTTGCCTGATCGAAGACTCCAACGTGACGATTTCACCGGGTATGGTACCCGCCTCCAAGGCGGCCACCCAATTGGGCACGTTCTCCACGTACTGCTCCGCCTTGTGATGGAAAATCACCGACAACGCCAGCACGGCCGTCCTGTATACAGACAAATTTCGAACAATTAGAGCACCCAAGTACACCGAAATGAATACGCAGAATGTCCAAAACAACGGGCTAGGTTTCCGTACATTTCGGACACCCCGTAAATGTATATTAGTATCGTTCGGAACACGGACCTTTCGTCCAATCCGGCGGCGAAATCCTTCCAAGCTCTGTCCAAGCGCGCCGCCACCGATCTGATGTGAGCGGCGGCGTAGTGGCCGCCTTCGATCAGCCTGCCGGCCACCGACAGGATCCTGTTGACGTTGACGTAGACGTTGGTGGAGCCGCACTTGAACCGCTGATGGTCCTCCTGCAGTTGCTTCGCCATCTGATAGGCCCTGCCGATTTCCACGTAGTTCAACAGGAACACGTCCTTGTTGTGGCGTATCCACTCGAACATCTTGTCGCAGTCCTGCTCGAACAGCCTCAGCTGGAAGCACTGGTCCAATTTGAGCTTCTTCTGGTGCCACAGCTGCAGCAGATTGTGCCTCGACGAATGGACGGCCTCCAGGTTTTGCAACACCAAATTCTTGGTGCCCGCCAGTTCTTTGTTGGCGCCTCGCGGCTCCGCCTCCGTTTCGTCGGCGCCGCCGCCGCCGCCGCCTCCGTCGCACCCTTGGCCCGTATCGGGCGGGGCGCAGGACTTCTGCAACAATCGCTGGCCTGCGAAATCGACCGTAAACGATTAACCGATTGAATCGTACCCAAGCGAATCGTGCATACCTAATAAATCTATTTCGTCTATGGGGGCTTTCATTATCTTCTTCTTCATTTCGTTGTGGAGGTCTATCTTGTGTTTGGCGCCGCTCACGTCGTCGGCGAAATCGTTCCGCACCAAATCCTCCTGCAAAAAAAAAACCCGGATGATTATCGAGCGTCCCGTCGAGGCATCGAACTGTCGGGGCTTACTTGTAAATCGTCCAATCTATCGAGAAGATCGGCCGCCTGCCAGGCGAAATCCTCCACGGCCAATCTGAGCTCCAACCAATGGTTGTGATCGTACGGCAGCGTCCCGTCCAAATCGGCGGTCAATTGACCGACGTCGATGATCTTGGGCAGCGCCTCGACGCTTATCATGTTCGTCTGCAATCGTATGACATAGATAATAAATGTTATTAGGCGCGTTCGATTAGGTTCACCTCGAATTTGTATTTGTGCGAGCCGAGCGAAGTCCTCTGCTTCTGCCAGAAATTGTCCGATTTGACGATGAGCGCCTGATGGACGACGCCGGGCGGGAAATGTTCGTGCAACGCCTTCAGGATGGGCTTCACCGTGGACCAAGTGGAGCCTCGCATGTCCACCACCACGGTGAAGCCCAATTTCCTCGCCTCCTCGCTGCAATCGCAAAATAAACTGAATTAAACGAGCACCGAAAAGGTTGGGTAACAGTCGAAAGTGGGTTATTTGTACTCGGAAAAAAACGATGCTTCTTTTACGCTCGAACGACCGTAAAATTGCGATTGTTCGGCTTCGTAGTCGAAGGCGCTATTTACCTGGGTATCGACATGAGATACTGGACGACTTTCTTGTAATCCTCGGGCTTGGCTCGTTCCCTGCGGGGGTTGGCGGGGAAGGACAACACCGGCCCGCCTCTTCGGTCCCGGCCGCCCGTCAAAACGACCAGCTTCTCCTGCAAGAGGGGCTCCAATTCCAACGCCCTCTGACCGTCCATGTTATCAGCATCAACTGAAAATCGGGTTAATAAATTCGTTATTACGCGAATTATTCGGTGTACCGACAAACGTGTAGCGGTAATTGATCGCGTTTAGCAAAAATTAAACGTTGTTAATGGGTGTTCTATTTTTAAATGTATGCGAAATGCGGGTTAAAAACCTAATTTATCCGGTTAACTTAGAAACGAACGTTACGATTCACTCTTTTATATTCCAATCGACGCGACCGTTTTGTTTCGTAAACATTAATCGAGCGTTTCGAAATGTTTTCTTTTTATTCTGTTGATGCGAGATGTATGTCGGGTATATTAGGAGCGATTTGTTTGTTTACCCGGTGAGCAAAATATCCATTAAAATTCGTCGGGGGACGACGCGACAGTCACTGGAGCGGGCTCGGGGGCGATTTCATTGTCCATATATAGCTCAAACTGCACATTTTCTACTGTATTTCACGAATAAAACGGTGCCCATTTTGGCTTTCCATCATACAAGAAAAAGAGTATTGTTGACATTGACATTTGAATTGACGTTACTGACAGTTGTGAAGATTTGTCTATCCATAAGATCTGGCTGAATACATACAGTAACTAAGACAATATTGAATTACTAATGTAGTGATTCACGTGATTAATATTGTACATGAGTCCTTTTTGGATAACTTGTATTGAAAAACATTAAAAGAAAACCAAAATGTGTTGACACAGTCCGCTAAAAAGTGACAGCTTTTAAAAAAACAAAAATGAAGAATTCGTGGCCTTGTTTGTTGTGACGTTACAGTAACAGCATTTCAAAATCGTTTTAGCAGATTTAGGATACATAATTTACTAGAAATGAAGCATAAATATCGTCTCTTTATATTTTCCTCGACATATTTATTACATAAAAATCGAATAATCGATAACTCAAAATCAACGTTTCAATATGAAAAAAAAAACAACCAATTCGTATAATCAACAAACATCCACTAGCTCCTGCAAGTGCTGCAATTCTCGCCGTTCCTACACCACCCGCAACCCTTCGACGTGCTAGGCCCCTCGCAACATTCCTCCTTCACCTTCACTCCTCCTTCACCGTTCGAAGCGCCCTCCAACTCCCCGACCGCGACGCCTCTCGCGCGCCTCGAGTACGTTTTAACCTTACAAACGAACCTCTCCTTAATCCCGCTCGCGAACCGCTCGCCCGAATCCCCGCGCAAATCGATCTCCTCGATGCACGTCCTGGTGCCGCCATCGTCCGCCACCCGGTTCATCTGGTACAATTTCTTATCGCCGCGCTTCAACAAATCCGCTATAACGCTCCGTTTCGTAACGGGCGTCAATCGCAGCGATTTCACGCCTTGCTCGTCCAGCACGCGCACCTTATTCGCATTACTCCGATCGGTTTTACCGCCGTAGGTCCTCTTCACGGGGCCCCTGAACGCCGGCACGTCGAGGCTCATCACCATCTGGCTGAACTCGCACAGCGGCGCCTGCAACGTTAGAATGGCCGGCCATTTGAACAACGCCACGAATCTATCGTAGAACAACGTCCGATCGGCGCTGACGCGGCTCTCGATCGAACCGTCCTCGCGCACGGTTCTCTCCTTAAACGCGCCGTTCGCGTCGGTCGTCGCGTAGATCTCGGGATTGCCGAATATCGTCTCGGTTTTGAACGCCAGCGCCTTCCTGCCGGCCATCGCGGCGTCCTTGTAATGCAAGTAGTTCACCAACAGCAGCCGCATGGCGGTGGCCGTGTGGAAATTGGGCGGTACCAATCGCTTGACGGTCCTGCCGGTCCTCCGAAGGTGGCCCCTTCGTATCAGCTCGCCCAACACCGTCTTGTCCAAGCGATCGAGGCTCTCCATCGACGCGTAATCGTCGGGTATGTTCAATTCGACGCCCAGGACGATCAGCAGCGCCTCGAACTGGTCCGCGACCGTTTTCAAATCGTCGATTCGCGCGGTCTCCGACGTCGCGGCGGCGGCGGCGTCGATGAACCTGTCTTGGTAGCGCTCGTAGAAGAAGTCCGTGATGCAATCGTCGATGTTGCCGTCGTCGATGTTCAACGTGTCCGAGTACTGGTACACGTTGCACAAATCCAGTACTTCTCTGATTTCTTCCATCGTCGGCAGGACGGTCGGTCGCACCTTGCGGAAATAATCGGCGGTGTATCTGGAACACGTTACGCGCGAATTAAGGTAGTTCCAAATTGTTCTCGAGCAGTCTAGATTGCATTGAACAGTTCTAAATAGTCCTGAAGCATTCTAGATTGCATCGAACAGTTCTAAATAGTTCTGGAGCTTTCTAGGTTGCATCAAAGAGTTCTAAATAGTGCTGAAGCATTCTAGATTGCATTGAACAATTCTAAATAGTCATGAAGCATTCTAGATTGCATTGAACAGTTCTAAATAGTTCTGGAGCTTTCTAGGTTGCATCAAAGAGTTCTAAATAGTGCTGAAGCATTCTAGATTGCATTGAACAATTCTAAATAGTCATGAAGCATTCTAGATTGCATTGAACAGTTCTAAATAGTTCTGGAGCTTTCTAGGCTGCATCAGAGAGTTCTAAATAGTGCTGAAGCATTCTAGATTGCATTGAACAGTTGTTAATAGTCCTGAAGGATTCTAGATTGCATTGAACACTCCTAAACAGTCCTGAAGCTTTCTAGATTACTTTGAACAGTTCTAAATAGTTTTAAAGCATTCTAGACTGCACCAAACACTCCTAAATAGTCCTGAAGCCTTCTAGATTGCTCCGACCAGTTCTAAACAGTTCCGGATCGAACATTAACCTGGCAAACTGGTAGGAATTGTCCACTTTGTGATAGTGTTTCCTCCTCGGTACGTCTTCGATGCCGGCCGTCGGATTGGCCGCCAGAAAGGCCTTGATGACGCCGTAGCGCTGTCTGATTTGAGCGCGGGTCCTGCTCAACGTGCCGGTGAGCTGGCCCCAAAAGTTGGTGTTGTTCTCGTTCGCCTTGGCGTGTTGCACGATTATCCTGTCCTCGTCCTCGGTCCAAATCATCTTCACGAGATTGCCGCGCAGGTACGAGGTGTACCTGAAACATTACAAACGATGAAATGGACGGTTTTTGAACAGATGTATGAATGGAAATAAGTCATTAGAACTCGAAGCAGTTTTCGGTTGTTGAAAATATTAAATATTTTACGAAACACAGCCATTTTAAATTTAAAATTTTGACAGGTGACGCGAACAGTCGCTAACCAATCACAAAACGAACGAGTAACATTGTGTCATTAGTGGTGTAAGAATTCGAACAAAAGTGCACTGTAACATCAAATGACAGATGACATATCTAGGGTTTTGTTATTTCTTTGTTTTAAGTTTTTTGGACCAAAAATTAACACTTTTTTTTAGAAATACAACGAAGAATTTTCACAAAACGACATGAAATAGATATTTTACCTGTCCTTAATTTGCGTCGCCGACCGTTCGGGCAGGTATCGAGCGCATTGTTTGAAATCCGTTCCGAACTTGTCGACCGCCAATAGAATCATGGTGTCCTCGATCAGGCAGAATTTCCCTTTTAATTTGTCCGCGCGGTTCAAGTAGTAGGTGTACCGGTGGTGCAATTGGTTCCTGCTTCGGTGTTTGAAGTGTCTCGCTATTCGACACCACGGTATCTTCGAACCCGTCCTGTAAATTGCGAAATGTACTAACCGGTTCTAAACTGTTCTGAAGCTTTCTAGATTGCATTGAACAGTTCTAAATAGTTCTGAAGCTTTCTAGATTGCATTGAACAGTTCTAAATAGTCCTGAAGCTTTCTAGATTGCATTGAACAGTTCTAAATACTTCTGAAGCATTCTAGGTTGCATAGGTTTCTAAATAGTCCTGAAGCTTTCTAGACTGCATCGGACACTCCTGAATAGTCCTGAAGCATTCTAGATTGCATTGAACAGTTCTAAATAGTCCTGAAGCTTTTCGGATTGCAACAGTTTACTACAAGCTCACCGTATTGCTAATACCTGTATTTTTCGACTAATTCGAGTATCTTTTTGTCTTCTTTAGGCGAAAATTCCCCCTTTTTGCCGACTTCTACGGTGGAAAAATACCGTTTGGCGACAATGTAGCCCGTCCGATTCGTTCGCAATTCGTCCGCTATGGCGTCCCAATTTCGCAACTGGTATTTTTCGGCCGCTTTCGCCAGACGGTCCTGCTCCTCCTTGGACCAATCGCCTTTGTTGATCAAAGGATGCAGATAGATGTGCCAGAACGATCGGCATTCGAACTCCGAATGGTTTTCTGACAAAAAAAAAACTTGTATTTAGTTGTAATTTAAATCGATGTATGTATACCGTTGAGGAAATAATCGGATACTCTAATCCAATTGATGTCCAAGTCGGATCCCAACGGGGGCACTCTCTCGTTGTTCGGATCCTCCAGTTCGTCCAGCTCCATTTTGATATTGTCCAATTGTACCAGCTGCTCGTTGGTCATGCCCTCGACGTTGAAGGTCCGGACTCTCTTCTTCAGCTCCACGATCACATTATTGGTGTAGTAGCATTTGACGGCGCTGATCAGCTTGTCCTTTTCGTATTTGCTCCAGAACTTCATCGGCATGAGATCGTAGGTGGACAATTCCTTGTTGGCCTTCTTCGCGAGGGCGTCCTCGTTGGGGGGCGAGCGGAAGAAGTCCTTGTCTTTGAAATAGGGGGCTATGACCCTCCACGAGCCGGTGGATTGTTTGTGGCGCTTCGGCGATTCGTTGGCGTCGCCCATCTCCGTTAGATTCAGCTTGCACTCCAAGTAGGCGTCTTTGAACATTTTGAACAAGCGGAGCAGCTGGATGTGCTTCTGCCGGTTGAGCAGGAGCAGTTGCTTCAAATCGGGATCGTCGCAGGATTGGACTATCCTGAGTTCTTCGATTTGTAGGTTACAGGTGGGTTCGGTTTGTTCGAAGGAAGGTATACCGATCGATGATACATCATCGTCATCCTCCTTAAATGATTAAAACTTGTACGATAAGGTGTGATAATTAGGTAGTTAATTACCTCGTCTTCGTCGGTGTCGCTTAATTGGATGAAATCTGGGAGGGTGAAATCTTCGTCGGAATCTTCACCCTAAAAAAATACAAATAAGGTGATTCGTTGGTAAGGTGAATAGTGAGTACTTACTCTGCATTTTTCTAGAAAACTCGCTAGTCGTTTTAAATCGGATGTATCATCCATTAATTGAAAATTAGGAATCAAATTAACGTTATAAAATGTAAATAAATAAACGTCAGAATTGTTAGGTTAATTTCTTCTTCTTTTTTTAATTTTGAAACGAACAACATAGTGATTGTGGCACAGGCCACTAAGATTTTATATAAAAAGAAGAATGAGGACCTCATTTGTCATTTTTGTCAAGACGAGTTTCTCGCCCTAAATAATTAATTTGCACGTTTTTATTGTTTACGTTTACTTTCTGTGGCGAATTATTGTTTAAATATTATTATAATAAAGTGAAAAGTACAATTGAGTTGTTGATTGACCACCTCAGCAACCAAAATTCAGAAAAAACTTTGTGGTAACAAAAAAGAAGACTAGTAAAAATTGCGGGAAATTCAAATCTACTGGTTCTAATTTTAATAGTTTATGAATTACAAGGTTGATGAAAAGGAACTTTCTATTATTTCAATACAAACAACAAATTATTCTTTATTGACAACGAATCCACACGTTTTCATATCATTCTTACACATTTAATTTACTCTATAATAATACATAAATATTTATTATGTAATGTATAATAGTGTTTATAAAGTAACAAAATTGTACGAAAAATCTTTGGTGAAATAATCAGTACCAAAATCACAAAATCTATTCTCTAAATTTTTCCATTTTATAAAATGAAATTCACTTCTGTCGTCGGAAATTTATAAAAATATGTACAAAGTTTGGAACAAAAAAAAATATATATAAATAAACCATTTATTCTTACGAGTTATCGAAGGTAAAATTAGCCCTTCAATACTTTGGTATTTTGAATCACTTCCAAATATTTCCGATTTATTCTAAAAAAAAAAAATAAACTAAACATACGAGGAACAGGAAAATGGCGAATTTATAAAAAAATATATATAAATTATTTATATTGCACGTTGCGATTGCAAAGTTTAAATAAACCTCCAGTACTATTTTCTAATGTTCCTTAGATACGTGTAAAATACTAATATTTATTACAGGCAAGCTTAATTTTTTGGTTTTCAGTTTCATATGGCTTAAAACATAAACTACTCTTATTCTACATAAATCAAACCGATGATTCCATTAACAAATTAACGAAATTTGTCTTTGCTAAGGATATTCCTCACTCCAACCATTTTGAATAATGCCGAACCTTCCAGAACACCCACTAAAACCATTTTGAATGTTGGTTCTAGATTTGTTCCAAACTGTTCTAAATAATGCCGAAGCTTTCTAGAATGCACCAAACAGTTCTGAAGTGCACCAAATAGTCCTGAACCATTCTAGATCGGTTTAAAGACGCTCCAACCGGTCATAAACCTTCCAAAACGTCGCAATTACGAAGTCAATTCTTTGAGCAACTCCTCGGTGGAGCGCCGCTCCTGCTTGAACCTATCCATAAACGACTTCGGAACGGTCCACTCCAACAAAATCTGCACGTTACGCTTCAACCGCTCGACCGCCTCCAAATCCCCATCCTTGCACGCCGCCCTGCCCGAATTCTCGATCGACTCCACCAGCACCTCGTCGATCAACCGCTTATTGAACCCCAACGCCTTCAACCTCTCCGCCGACGAGATCTTCTTCAGCAATATGGCCAGCAAATAGCGCATCTTCTCCGCCGGCATGCTCGACTCCGACGCGCCCGCGTCCATCTTCACCTCCACCAACGCTTTACAACCGACCCGGTGCTCCTCCAGCTCCGACTTCGTCCGATGAAACGATCCGCAGGGGGCGCACGCGTACGGCTTGTCGCTCTTGTGTATGGCCAGCACGTGCTTCTTCAGGTGCGGCAGCTGCGCGAAGCGCATCGCGCACGAAGCGCAGCCGAACGGCCGCTCGCCCGTGTGCCTGCGCACGTGCAACTTCAACGCCGTCGAATGCGCGAACGCCTTCCAGCACACTCGACATCTATAAGGTCGCTCGCCGCTGTGCGTGCGCTGGTGCACCGTCAGCTGCGATCGCTGCGCGAACTTGGCGCCGCAATGGGCGCAGCCGTGCGGCTTGTCGCGCTCGTGGATGCGCATGTGCTGCGGCAGGTGGCCCTTCAATCGCTTGTCGCACACGCGGCATCTGAACGCCTTCACGCCGGCGTGGTAGCACGTCAGATGCTTGCGCAGCGCGTCGCGACGATAGAACCGCTTGCCGCACACGTCGCAGACGAAGTCGCGGATCTCCAGGTGGCGGTTCATGTGCAGCTTCAAGTTGGCCGAGCAGGTGAAGCCCGCTCGGCACACCAAGCACACGTACGGTTTGCTGCCGGTGTGGGTGCGCACGTGCTGGATCAACTGTCCGCCGCGCGCGAATCGTTTCTGGCAGTGCGGGCACTCGTAGGGGCGGTCGCCGGTGTGCGTGCGCAGGTGCAGCTTCAGCCTGTCTTTGACCGGGAACGATTTGGCGCAGTAGGCGCAGACGAACGACCGTTGCGCTTCGGCGTTTTCGTTGGTTGAATCGAGGGCGGCTCGGTGTTTGCAGGCCACGTGGTTCTTGAGCGAGCCCGCTTGGCGGAAGGCGAGCGGACAGTGCTGGCAGGCGTAGGGGCGCTCGTCGGTGTGCGTGCGAATGTGCTTGCGCAAATCGTTGCCGCTGGCGAAGCGCTTCTCGCAGATGCCGCATTCGAATTTGCGCGGCCGTTCGCGGGCGGTCTTCATCTCCAACGCGGCGGGCATCGGGCGCCCCTTTTATTCGCTCTAATCGAAGCCTCTTTTCTGCTTTATTCTTTTAATGCGCTAATCCTACTTTTCTTAATGCGCTGATCCTACTTTTCTTAATGCGCTGATCCTACTTTTCTTAATGCGCTGATTTTGCTTTTCTTAATGCGCTGATTTTGCCTTTCTTAATGCGCTGATTTTGCTTTTCTTAATGCGCTAATCCCACTTTTCTTAACGCGCTAATCCCACTTTTCTTAATGCGCTGATTTTGCTTTTCTTAATGCGCTGATTTTGCTTTTCTTAATGCGCTAATCCTACTTTTCTTAATGCGCTGATTTTGCTTTTCTTAATGCGCTAATACGGGGCTTTTCCGGCAACCTTTCTTGTCGTTAATGCGCTTTTAAGAACCTCCAATTTTCGCTCTAACGCAAGCCTACTTTATTCGATTCCTCTAATGCGCTGATCTTATTTTTCTTAATGCGCTAATACGCGGCTTTTCCGGCAACCTTTCTTGTCGTTAATGCGCTTTTAAGAACCTCCAATTCGACTGGTTTTTTTTTTCAAATTTTTACAGTTCTAGTAATGACTGTTTTAAAGCGCGTTTATTGTGCGTTAAACGCACAGGAACTAATTTTAGTACGTTTTTTTAATGCGCTTCTTACACTGCTAATTTAATTGTAATATTTTTAAATGGAACTGCTATTTTAAAGAAGCGCATTAAAATTAGAATAAAAAACCGGCATACACATTTCGGTAAATTAAGTTAGCGCGAAACGAGTTAGAGACCCTTTAGAGCGCGCTTTTTAACGCGCTCTAGTTCGAATTTGTACAGTTTCTGTTATAACACAGAAGGAAAATATGGCTAGGGCTTCTAAATAGTTTTAGTGCGCTAATTAATTAAACATATTGCTAAATAACTAACAATTTTAACTAGTACATGCAATATCTAGGAAATACAACACCTTATAAACCCAATTAGTGCGATATTTGAAGCGCATTTTAATGCGCTAATTAATCCTAAATGACATAGTTTTTTTAAATCATGCATACAGTAAGAATAGATTCGGAAGAACGACACCTTAGAAAACCCTTTTTTTAGTGCGCTAAGTAATCACAAAATTGATTTGTATGTGTTACAACTATCTAATGTATGAACACTCGTACAGTCTCTGGAAATCTTTTTAGTGCGCTAAACCGAAGAATTCTGAAAAAATATCCCATCCACCGGATTATAATGGAAATTATTTTATTACAGAACTGCTGCTGTTAATGCGATTACAGTGCGAGATGCGTGAAGAAGTTCCATCATGGTCGTGTCGATTTTGTTATATAGATATTATATTGGTTTTTTTTTTTGTTTGTTATTTTTGATTTTGAGTAACTTAGTGCAGGCAGCTCTACCGTCACCTCAAAGTCACCGACTCTCACCACCTGTAAGAATGAATACCTCAACCTCGATACGCCTACTCGATAAACTACTGGGGACAGAGCGTTTGGGAAGTTTGAAGGGTTAATGAATGAAAGTGGCTGTTGTACGTGTTAGGTAAAGTCCCGGAAGGAAATGGAATTTTAATTGATACTACAATGATACAACAATATGATTCTACAATAATTAGAATGTTGATAGATTCGTTTGTAATTTGAGGAGGAATTGAAATAATTTAATAACTTTGATTTTTTTTCTATAAAGTAACTACATTTTGAATGTTTCACCGGACCTTACCATCACTCAAAACTTGTAAAAAACAACGCAAAAATTCACAAACGCTCTATATTATTATTCGAATGTTATTATTATGTTATAATAAATTATTTTATTGAATATATAAATAAACAAGTATTAGTATAAATACATTAGTCTTTATTATATTTAATTATTCAATGAAATGACTGGAAATTAATGTACCTAACTCAATCTATCTAGAAGATTTATTTGTAAACGAAAAGAGAAATGGATTGATTATATTTAAAGTGATTTTTAGTTAAACTTGATGAATAATTAACCTATTATTAATGATTTGTTTAAATGCTAATTATAATAATTAAATAATTGTACTATTATGCTTCTTTAATATACTACAAAATATAATTGGTAATTACTGAGGAATTTAGGTCACCAGGTAAAGGAAATTAAGCCTGAATATATCATTCAATTATCCAAAATGTATATCACAAATGGCTAAAAACTTTATAAAAAATGATTAAAACACTTATCGAAATGGCCAAATGTAGACAAAATACTCATCAAAGTGACCAAATAAATTTTTATAACAACCAAAATAGTCACTCACATGATTAATAATAACAAAATACATAATTAAAATCGCCGAAATCGTCATTTTAAAGTACTTATGATATTCCCCCAAATACACCAAACTACTCATTGAAATGGACAAAATTTTATCATAATACACAAGCCTCACTAATATTGAAGCTCAATGAAGAAACTAATAAATAGGGAATTAGTAAAATGAAATTCTAGTACACCCCTGGCTCGATCAAAGGGAAAAGGGAAGGTTAAATGGTGGATAAAGTAATGTGAAGGTGAAGCTAACCTTTTACAACCTCATAAAACACCGAAAATATCCTTCTAATATACCGAAAATACGACAATTTATTGATAAAATTAGTAAACATCGAATTTACATACCGAAATTCAGCAGGAACCATTCCATAATCCACCAAATCGTCCAAATACAGACTCACTGCATATTCAAACCAACCCCATACATTTTTCTTAATGACCTGTCACTGTCATTGTGTCACTGAGAAGTGTCAAAATGTAAACTGTCAGATAAATTTTTATAATAGAAAAAAAGAAGAAAAAAAAAAAGAATTTAGATAAATTGAGATTTGTAATCCCTAAAATCATGTTTATTTTCATTGCTTCCAACTAAAAATGGGCTATCAAAACTCACCGCTCCTCTATTTCCCAACTTACATCGATAAAACTAGTTGTTAAAATACCCGTATACCAGTAACAACAAAGGCCACTTATAGAACAGAAGAAACTGTCATTATTGTCACTTAATGTCATTATTACTAAAAATCCCGTCATATATGTATGTTTATAGTTTCTTAAACTCCATAATAAACACAAAGAAACATAAATAAACATCGAAATTAAAAAAACAATTCAAATTAAAATATGTGATTGAAGGTGTGGAAAAATCCGTGCGTACTCCGTCGTGTGCCCAACAGTTACAGGTATACGGGTAGGATGTCTGTAAGAAGGGAAGTCCTCGCCTTCCCCACGGACCCCCAACCGTCCCCCAACGACCCCCTGCGGGAGGTATTCGAGGCCTGCAAGTCGGGCGACATCGCCAAGGTCAGGAAACTCATCACCCCGGCCACGGTCAACGCCAGGGACACGGCCGGCAGGAAATCCACCCCTTTGCACTTCGCAGCAGGTAAATCCGTTATTTACGCCTAACAAATGCAGAAATGCGATGTGCTCGGTTTGTTTGATATTAAGATAATGATAGGTTTGTCGTAGGCGACTCGATGCAATCGTTTTGTTCGAGGTAACTTGATTACTCGTACTTATTGCTAAATGTTAGAGGTTTGGGCATGTCTAGGGTTACTCGATTTGTTTGCGATATTCGATAATATTAAAATGACAGTTTTGACGTGTGGGGGTAGGAAAAAATTCTGTTTTTTCGATGTAACTCCATTAATTTTATTATGCTAAATTGTTAGAACTTTCGATCGATATGTCTACGATTACTTGGTTAATTATATTAAATATATTAAAATTATCAGTTTGTCTACTGTAAATCGAAAAATGACAGTTTTGACATGTAGGAAGGCGTAGGAAAAATTCTGTTTTTTTCGAGGTAACTCCATTATTTATATTATGCTAAATTGTTAGAACTTTCAATACATTAATGATTACTTAGTTAATATATTAAAATCATCATTTTGACTTGATTTGATTCACTACATTCCCGTATTAAGATCTAAGGTAACTAGATTAATCGCTACTTGTTAAAATTTCTTCTTTTTTGTGTGCATTAAGGATACGGTCGAAGGGACGTGGTGGAGTTCCTGTTGTCGTGCGGTGCTTCGATACAGGCGCGCGACGACGGCGGTTTGCACCCCCTGCACAACGCCTGCTCCTTCGGGCACGCCGACGTCGTCAGGATATTACTCGAGGCCGGGGCCAATCCTAACACGAGGGACAATTGGAACTACACGCCTCTACACGAGGCGGCCATTAAGGGAAAAATCGACGTGTGCCTCGGTGAGTTTATTACACGACTCTATATTTCTAAAGTCTGGAAACTTCCTATGCTTATGCGTTAGAGAATGTGTCTCGTTATTTAAGGATTTTTTGAGCTTCACTTTTGTGCCGCAACGTGGCGAACGATCGGAGGACCAAATTATCTCAGCCAATCAGCGACGAGCTACATATAAATCGCGGTTGTGTGAAATGACAGTTCGAGCTGTCAAAAGTTCAAAAATTATTATTTGACATTTCGAGGAGAAAATGGAGAAATGTATTAACCGAAGAAAAGTGTGGCGTGATGTTTATAACAAAATCAGCGCTGATTTAAGTATATTTTTATATTTTGTATCTATTTTTAGTTTGAATTCGTACGCAAAAAACCGTGGTCCTTTACAACATCGCCTCCTAGTTTTAGGACCCTATTTTATCCTCAAATAACGGGACACTTTTTCGACCTATATTTCCAGACATTAGAAATTTAGGACCGTGGTTTATTACTATTCGTTTTTCAAATATCCTCACGATTTAATTTAATAAATGACGTTTGACGTATGACGTTTATATTAATATTATAATGGAAATCTATCGGTTTGTGTCCACCAGCCCTTCTGCAACACGGCGCCGACGTCGGCATACGCAACGCCGAAGGCAAGACGCCGCTGGAGGTGGCCGACGCCGCCTGTCGGCCCGTCCTCACCGGCGAACATCGCAAGGACGAGGTGCTGGAGGCGGCGCGCGCCGGCGCCGAGGCCAGCCTACTGGCCCTGCTCAATCCGCTCAACGTCAACTGTCACGCCGGCGACGGGCGCCGCTCGACGCCGCTCCACCTCGCCGCCGGCTACAATCGCAACGGCGTCGTGCAGCTGTTGCTGCGCCACGGCGCCGACGTCCACGCCAAGGACAAAGGGTAAAGCGAATCATCGATAATAATTTAGCAATATTCGATTAATTTTTGCGAATCGTAGGGGGCTGGTGCCGTTGCACAACGCCTGCTCGTACGGGCACTTCGAGGTGACCGAGATGTTGATCAAGCACGGCGCCGACGTCAACGCCAACGATCTGTGGGCGTTTACGCCGTTGCACGAGGCCGCTTCGAAATGTCGCACCGAAGTCTGTTCGTTGTTGCTGGCCGAAGGGGCCGATCCGCACCGGTTGAATTGCCACGGGAAATCGGCCATCGACGTCGCCCCCACCAGGGAGCTACAGGACCGGTTGGCTTGTAAGTACCCCTCGCGTTGTGAAAGAGACAAAATAGGGCGCCCCACCCCCCTTCCCCACCCCTCTTTACAGCGGGTGTAAGGGATGTAGAGAGGAGAATATGAACGTGCAGCGGGGGATTACAAGTGCAAGGGATTAGAGAAGGGTTTACAAGTTTAGGGATGTTACAGGTTTAAGGGAAGTTACAGGTTTAAGGGAATTACAAGCGCGGGGGGTATTTATGGAAGTAGCAATTGTAAGAGTTCGGAGAGAGAAGTATTCCGAAGCGCAAGGGATTAGATAGAGGATTATAAGTACGTGGGGATTACGAGTGTAAGGAATTAGAGATGGGATTACAGAAGTTATTACAGCGCTGGGATTTTTATGGAAGTTGCAGGTGTAAGAGATTAGAGAGGGAATTGCAAATAGACGGGGGGGGGGATTGGGAAGCGCATGGGGATGAGATAGTCGATTATAAATATGTGGGGGCGTTACAAGTTTAGTTAGAAATACAAGTGATTAGAGATTTGGGATGTAGTGTGCGGGTATTAATAGAGAGACGAATTAATTTTGTTCAATTATTACTTTTTTTAGACGAATACAAGGGTCACCTGTTGCTGGAGGCGGCCCGACAGGCGGACTTGACGAAATTAAAGAAATACCTGTCGCCCGAAATGGTCGGTTTCAAGCACCCGTTTACGGGCGATACGGCCCTGCACGCGGCCGTCTCGTCCGTCTACCCCAAAAGGAAACAAGTCTTGGAAACGTTGATCCGGTAAGTTATTTTTCCTCCATTTTTATAAAAACACCCTGTATATATGTAATGCTGTTATCTTGTTATCTTCCTCTGCAGTAAAGGAGCGCCGTTGAACGAGAAAAACAAGGACTTCCTGACGGCGTTGCACGCCGCCTGCGACCGCTCCCACCTCGACCTGGCCGACGTCCTGCTGCGTCACGGCGCCAAGCCGAACGCCCTCGACGGCCTCGGCCAGACGGCGTTGCACCGGAGCGCGCGCGACGACAACGCCGCCGCCTGCCGCCTCCTCCTGTCGTACGGCGCCGACGCCGCCGTCGTGTCGTTGCAGGGCCGGACGGCCGCCCAGACGGCCGGCGGCGACGAGGCGCTGAAGGCGTTGCGCGAACCGGCGCCGGCCGGCGTCGGTGTCCAATTGGGCGGCGGGGGCGGCGGCGGAGCGCAATCGGGCGCCGACGCCGAGAGCCGTCTGTTGGAGGCGGCCAAAGCGGGCGACGCGGAGACGGCCGAGAGGCTGTTGGGCGCCGGCGGGCACATCGTCAATTGCCGGGATTTGGACGGGCGCCATTCGACGCCGTTGCATTTCGCCGCCGGTTATAATCGTGTGGCCGTGGTCGAGTTGTTGTTGCGCCACGGCGCCGACGTGCACGCCAAAGATAAAGGGTTAGGCTACGTTTATTTTGAGTAATTTTACCTATACTTCATCCGTCCGAGCTATATTGGAGTAACTAAAGCAAGGTTAGACGTTGGATCAACGCGTGATCACCAGTGATTGGCCAGCGAAAGGAGGCTTTTTATTTTATTTTACCCAATAGATGCAAATGTGCATGGTGATCATGCGTCTAACCTTGTTTTGATTACTCCGTTGGTTGGATGGATGAAGTTTAGTTAATTTTTAGTCGGTTAATGTTGTAGTTTGGACGATTTTAGAACGATCCGGAACCGTTCGAAGAACGCTGTCGAAACTCACTCTTAGCGAGTTCAAACTACGACATTACCATTTTGTCTTGTACTATTTGACGTTTATTTGACATTTGTTGACTGACAGATTCGATTTTTTGTTTGTTTTTATAATCGCAGTGGGCTTGTACCGTTGCACAACGCATGCTCGTACGGACATTACGAGGTGACCGAATTATTGGTGAAGCACGGCGCAAGCGTCAACGTGGCGGATCTCTGGAAATTTACGCCATTACACGAGGCGGCCGCCAAAGGGAAATACGAAATCGTCAAATTACTGCTCAAGGTTCGTCAAATTCTTCTTATATTTTTGGTTTTGTGGGGTCTTAGATAGTCCTCCGAGCTACTACCGACGGAATGGATGCGTTAGAGGGCTGTAGAACTACCAAGGAGTAGACTTTGGCTCGAGTCTCGTCTGGCGTAAAGCCTTTGGTTTGCAGTAGTAATTTATACAGGGTGTTAATTAATTGTATTTGTGTTTGCGTAGCACGGCGCCGATCCGAGCAAAAAGAACAGGGACGGCGCGACGCCGTTGGATTTGGTGAAAGAGGGCGACCAGGACGTGGCCGATTTGCTGAAGGGCAACGCCGCCCTTTTGGACGCCGCCAAAAAGGGCAATTTGGCGCGCGTCCAACGATTGGTCACGGTCGATAACATCAATTGCAGGGACGCGCAGGGCAGGAATTCGACGCCGTTACATTTGGCCGGTACATTTAACGATTTTCTACTAATTATTCCACTAATTTTAACCGCGTAATTTGTAATTACAGCGGGTTACAACAACGTAGAAGTGGCTGAATTCCTGTTGGAAAACGGCGCCGACGTGAACGCCCAAGACAAGGGCGGCTTGATTCCGTTGCACAACGCCTCGAGTTACGGTCATTTGGACATAGCCGCCTTGTTGATTAAATTCGATACGGTGGTAAACGCCACCGATAAATGGGGTTTCACCCCATTGCACGAGGCCGCGCAAAAGGGTCGCACGCAATTGTGCGCCCTATTGGTACGTATCCTAAAACAACCCTTATTTTAGTGATGTTTAATTTAATTTAATTTCAATCCAGCTGGCGCACGGCGCCGATCCGTTCCTGAAGAACCAAGAGGGCCAGGCGCCGCTCGATCTTTGCGCCGCCGACGACGTCAAATGCCTGCTGCAGGACGCGATGGCGTCGCAACAGGACGCCGCCGCCGCCGCCTCGTCGGGTCCGGCGCCGGCGCCGTCGCCGCCGCTGCCGCCGGCCGCCTTCGAGACGGTCATTATGCCTTCGGGCGTGGCGGTGCAGCTGCCGGCGCCGTCGCCGGGCGTCGTCGTCTCGACGCCGGTGCGGGCGAAAGAGACGGACAAGGAGGAGGAGCGCGATGAGGGCGAGGAGGATTTCGGCGTCGGGAATTTCCTGGCCAGCTTGAATTTGGAACATTTGGGCGATATCTTCCAGAGGGAACAGATCAGTTTGGATATTTTGGCTGAGATGTCGCACGACGATTTGAAGCAAATCGGGGTGAACGCGTACGGGTTGAGGCACAAGTTGATTAAAGGTGATTAATGTGGATTAATTTTATGTATTTTCGTTTTGAAAATTTTTGTGTTTGCAGGAATGGAACGTTTGTTGTCGAATACCGGGGAGTTTGTGTGCGCTACGCCTTCGAATACCGGCACGTTACTGGTCGATTTGCTGACCGACGATAAGGAATTCATTACAGTCGAAGAGGAAATGCAAAACAGCATCAGAGAGCACAGGGACAACGGCCACGCCGGCGGCGTTTTCACCCAATACAACATCATCAGGGTAACGTACAAAACGATTAATTATTATTTATCCCCGTCGATTCGAAAACCGCGAAAGCTTTATCCTTTACATTCATCCATTAAACAAGGTGTTTCACAACTTATCCGACAAATTTTAACCACATATGCACTGTTACGAGTGAAGTTGATTTCCCAAAAAAAAAAATGTAATAAAAGTCTTACAGAAATCGAGATTATAAAATAATAGTTTAACAGTTTAATTACTTCTACAAGATGTTCAAAATTGTTCCCATTTACTGCAATGCAAATACACCTCCTTCCTGCCGATTCTGAAGCCACAAATTATCGACAGTCACCGTGATTCGGTCGCGCAACTCTTCAATATTCCGAACCGGAGTACGGTATACCTCGTTTTTCCCAGTATCCCCATAGAAATCTCGAGAAATCGACTTCTTTCATAACAGTTGCGCGGTTAGAACGTCGTCGCATAAGTCGCGTAACACCCCGGTATTTTCGGGCGTAGATCCAGAAAATCCAAAATCGCAAATTGTGGGAGCGGTACGCGCACCGGCGCAAAGAGGTGGCCGAAGAGAACGGCAACCAATCGAACGAGCGGATGTTGTTCCACGGCAGCCCGTTCGTCAACGCCATCGTCCAGAAGGGTTTCGACGAGCGGCACGCCTACATCGGCGGCATGTTCGGCGCCGGCATCTATTTCGCCGAGCACTCGTCGAAGAGCAACCAGTACGTGTACGGGATCGGCGGCGGCACCGGCTGTCCCGCACACAAGGATAGGAGTTGCTATTCGTGTCACAGGTGAGTCGGTGGAAAAAATTTATTACTGTACGGCTAGGTTAGTCGGTAAAAGGCCGTTACTGGTCGACATTGAATAGTAAAGAGTCGTGTAAATTCAGAGTGGAGTATAGAAGAGTGGAATAGAGTAGAGTAGTGTAGATTCAGAGTTGATTAGTGTACAAGAGAGTAGTGTATTGTAGAATAATGTAGATTCAGAGTATAGTAGAAGAGAGTGGTGCATTGTAGATTAATGTAGATTTAGAGTAGAGTGCAGTAGGGTAGATTCAGAGTAGGTTAGTGTAGAAGAGAGTAGTGTATTGTAGAATAGTATAGATTCAGAGTAGATTCAGAGTGGAGTACAGTAGGGTGGGGAATTCTAATTTATATAATTATTGTAATTTTGCAATTTATTTTGGCCATTTTACACTACTTAATTTATTTTTTTAGGCATTTGTTACTCTGTCGGGTGACGTTGGGAAAATCGTTTTTGCAATTGAGCGCGATGAAGATGGCGCACGCGCCGCCCGGGCACCATTCGGTGGCCGGTAGACCGTCGTTGGGAGGGCTCAATTTTCCCGAATACGTCGTTTATAGAGGCGAGCAGGCCTACCCGGAGTACAAAATCACCTATCAAATTTGCAAGCCCGAAGAGCTGAAGCCCAATGCCGATTCATCGGAAATTAGGTAAATTTTTTTCTTTATATACAAGGTGTTCCGCATAAGATCGAGACACAGAGCAGAAACATGTAAAATGTGTTCTTTAATCTCATTAAATACAATGTTACTTAATTCCTGAGAATTTATAGGCCTTCATAGTTGGCTGTGTGTCGAGTTAAACAACATATTTTAGTCTCCCTATTCGCCTGCTTTGTGTCGGTTATTATGCGGGACACCCTGTATACGAGTAATGAAAAATTGAACGTTTTTTTTTTGGCGATTTTCGCAGGTGATTCCCGGATCATTTGCCGATGGTCCGGCTGGGCTCGAGCCTGAGATCGTTGGTCTGCGGGCTATTTTGCAAGACTTTGAGCTGCTTCGAGACGACGAAAAGTAGGCGGTGCAATTGCGAAAACAATTGACGAAAAATTAGGCAATCAAACGGATAAAATAAAATGAAAATGAAATAGGAGCGAATTATCTGGAAACGTCTCGCGACGACGACATATATTTATTGTGTTCAAAATCTACGATTAGTTTGTCTGTGAATATTTTAGAAATAAATTTTGATATTGTTTATGTAAATATATATATATATATATATATAGCATAATATGCACGTTTTTCTTGTTTTATTAATAAAATAAAATGAGTAAAAATCACAAACAAAACGCACTTATTTTATATCTGTCCGATTAATAAAACGAATTTACCCGATTATCATTATAATTTATTCATGTACAAAATTTAACTAACCTCATTCGAAGCGGAAGAGGCGCCGCCTCTGTTCGTTTCATCTTTCTTCGCCTCTGCGTCGATTTTCTTATGTTCCGTTGCCACGCGAAGCCTCAATTCATCCTAAAACAAATTTAAATTCACTCTACTATATACAAAAGATGGAACGATGAACATTCTACTGTAGCCGTAGAACTACCGAGGAGTAGGTTAAAAAAGATAGCAGAACTCCTAACGGGAAAGCACATTTATAACCTAGGTTTAGAGGGAAAGTTCCCTTTGCAGGAGCAAATTAGTATAGATTCAGAGTAGATTAGTGTAGACCACAACAGGGTAGGATAGATTTAGAGTAGGTTAGTGTACAAAAGAGTAGTGTATTGTAGAATAGTGTAGATTCAGAATAGATTAGTGTAGAATACAGAAGAATAGTGTAGATAAGTATAGATTCAGAGTAGATTACAGTAGAGTATAATAGTGTAGAAGGAGTAGTGTATATTCAGAGTAGATTAGTATAGAGTACAAGAAAATAGTGTATTGTAGAATAGCATAGATTTAGTGTAGATTCCTTTATAACCTAGGTTTAGAGAGGGAAAGTACCCTTTGCAAGAGCAGATTAGTTTATTTCGATACACTTACGCCCCATCCAAGTTTATCGGCCAACAGTAGACATCCCTCGTCGCAGTCGCCCAACCAACAGACGTCTCTCCTGTTGTTTTTACTATCGAATTCCAATCCCCCGTCCATTCCCAACATCGACATGACGCCGCTCCTTTGGCCCGCCTTCTCCCTATTTATCAACAATCTCGGCACGTCGTCTTTCACTCTAAAACAAGACAACAACAAAAAAATAGACAGATGTCAAGCAATTGACAGATTATACACTCATAAATGCCAATAAAAAAATTGACAGTTTACAAGCGACTTGATTATACGCGCATAAACGTCAAAACGTTTGTCTACGGTAACTCGATTATGTATCGCATTCGAACGAGTACCTGTCGATTAACGAAGCGAACGGTTGAACGGCCAACGAGGAACCCAATATAATCAGTAAATCGCAATTGCCGAAATCGTTGAGCGCCTTGTGGAATTTACTGGGCAACGCTTCGCCGAAAAACACGATGTCCGGCTTCACGATGCCCTGGCATTTCTCGCACTCCGGTATCTCGTCCCGGAATATCCTCACTACAATACGACCGAACGTTAATATCAGAAAATCGTAAAAAAAATCGAAATAATCGCCTCACCCTTCATCCATTCCTTGGTGTACTTGGCGTTGCACTTCAAGCAATGGCCCGTGTGAAACGTCCCGTGCGCCTCGATGACTTTGTCCTCGCTCAGGCCGGCTATTCGCTCCAACGTGTCGATGTTCTGCGTGTAGTGCCTGAGCAGGACGCCCTGTTCCTCCAGCGATTTGATGAAATAATGGCAAATCGTCGGCTTGAACGTGCCCGGATACAGCTCTTTGGCCAGCTCGAAGAACGGCTTCGGGTTTCGCTTGAAGAAGTCCAGCTCGAAGATCGCCTGCGGATGGGGCAAATCGTACTTGGCCAGGTTGTTGTAGAGGCCCGTGCCCGGCGATCGAAAATCCGGAATTCCCGCCGCTAAAACATGGCGAATTCGTTAAAATATTGATGAATATACTAGTTCCGGATTGTTGGAAATTATTCTGGAGCGTTTTAAATGGTTCTATATTGATCCAAATGATTCTGGAGCGTTTTAAATGGTTCTAGGTAGTTCTAAATGATTCTAGAGTATTCCAAATAGTTCTAGACAGTTCTAAATGATTCTGGAACGTTCTAATTAGCCCCGTAGACAGTTCTAAATGATTCTGGAGCTTTCGAAATGATTTTTAAACAGTTCAAAATGATTCTGGAGCTTTCGAAATGATTTTTAGACAGTTCAAAATGATTCTGGAGTATTCTAAATAATTCTAGACAGTTCTAAATGATTCTGGAGCTTCCCAAACGGTTCCAGATCGTTCTAAATGATTCTGGAGCGTTCTAAATAGCCCCGTAGACAGTTCAAAATGATTCTGGAGCTTTCGAAATGATTTTTAGACAGTTCAAAATGATTCTGGAGTATTCTAAATAATTCTAGACAGTTCTCAATGATTCTGGAGCTTCTCAAATGATTCCAGATCGTTCTAAATGATTCTGGAGCGTTCTAAACGGGTCTAGACAGTTTCTAGACAGATTGTAGACTTACAAGTTGAAATGCCGGCTCCTGCCATCGTTATAATATTTTTACAATCGTTTTCTTTCATATATTTTACAATTCCGTCGATACTGAAATCGTCTAAAACCTGAAAATTGATTGATTAGTAAAATTACTGCTAAAATAAACGATACGAATTTATAATACCTTCACTATTTCTTCTTCATCGTTAGTCGATTTAAAGAAGGTGAGTTTTTCTTTGAAAAATCGCCGGAGTCTATCGATATTAGCTTCGTCTTCTTCTTCTTCGTCCGGACTGTTTCCACTAGTTCCTGCTGGCGGGTCAGAGTCGGACTCCGGTTCGGGTGCATTTTGACCGGGGATCGGGGATTCTGATTAAAAAAATTTCACTTCGTTCACACGATCACTTCTCTGATTAGAGGCATTTCAACTTACCGTCCGGCTTTCTGGAAGACATCGAAATTTGGTTTTACTTACATGTAAAAATGTTAAATAAATCGGAAATGTTTTTCAAAACTTCGACGTTTCGGAGTAAATATTTTGATGTATGATATGACAATTGACAAGATGGTTTATTCAATTTTTTCGGTCTTTCACTATTCGGTTTTACAGGTATTTACAAACTAGGTAATGGTGGTTGCATACATCCCAGTAGATCTTAATTTCTCACTATTTGCGAATGTACAGTTTTAGTGGAGCTTTAGAGGAACCTGTATCGTTTAAATTTGTATTTCTTAGAAAAATATACAACAAAATATGTGTAAAAAAAATATCAAACAACAATCGCAGTCTCATTAACGCTATCGAACTTCCACCGTTGATAAACGCTATCTTTGCAGTCTTCGACTTTGACCCCTTTGCCCATATCGACGCCGTCGCTGCTCAGGCACTTGCCCGCCGAGGGATTGTAAACGGTCCCGTTTCGGTACAACACCCAGTATTGTTCGCGTCGATGGCCGTGGCATTCGGTCAGTTGCACGTCTTTCTCGTTAAAAACCTAACCCGAAGTTACAAAAACCGACAGTTAGTAGTGTCTAAAAGGCCGCGAGATAAAAGACCTCTCACCTCAGCGCAGAAATTCTCCTTCCGGAGCTCCCCCTTGGCGCTCATCGCGAAGTACTGCGACATGGCGAGGAACGGATGGCATTGGTAGAGCCCCAAGGGCCCCACGTTGTCGTCGGCCAGCTGCAAATCGTCCAAGCACATGTCGAATTCGCTGCGCGCCTGCCCGTACGCCTGCACGTTCTCGTCCGGTACGAATTTCTCCGGATAAATATTATCCAAATACCTAAAATAAATAACACAGAATCAGCACGAGAGCAACCGATCGAAGGGTACTTGCCATTTGAAGGATTTGCACCGGAGCTTCCTGCGCAGCTGCTTCCTGTGGGTCAGATCGCCCACGATGGGGTTGTTCTCCAGCCCGGGCTGGTGCATGAAGAAGAACCGCTTGTAATCGTCCATCCAGACGTGGGCCAATCGGGCAGTGTTGATGCCGTGAGTGTCTTTGTTGTCGGGAAACGAGTACGGGTGGAAGTCCCGGAATATGTGGCCCACTCTCGAGCAAGGCACCTAAATAATATGATTCATATATTGACTGCCATTTTGAGGTTTTGAATGTCGGTAGATTACTACAGGGCGTCCGGAGAGTTGATGTGTATTTTCAGTATCTAGAATCGGTGTTTGAAGACCTGTAAAATTGGCTACGGGCGAGCTAGAAACTTGAAATTTCGAGCAGACGTAGCCCGATGACTTATCTTGGTGTTCACAAAGTAGCATCATCCACAAGAAAATATCTCAATTTTTATGCGACATTATAGAGGAGCTCCTCGAAAAGTTGCATTTAAAATAGTCTCATTCAAAGCGTTGGTTCGACCCCTTAAAATTAAGCGAGGAAGTTTATATTTGGTGAACACTAAGAGAAGATATGAGGCTATTCCTGTTGAAAATTTCATGTCTCCAACTTGCCTCTAACCAATCTTACAGAGCTTGTATTATACACTGCTCGTCGAAATTAGCGACTCGTTTTTTAAGACCTGTAAAATTGGCTTCGGGCGAGCTAGAGACTTGAAATTTCGAGCAGACGTAGTCTGATGACTTATCTTGGTGTTCACAAAGTAGCATCATCCACAAGAAAATATCTCCATTTTTATGCGACATTATAGAGGAGCTCCTCGAAAAGTTGCATTTAAAATAGTCTCATTCAAAGCGTTGGTTCGACCCCTTAAAATTAAGCCAGGAAGATTCTACTCGGTGAACACCAATAGAAGATATAAGGCTATTTACATTTCAAATTCCACGTCTCCAACTTGCCTCTATCCAATCTTACAGCACCCCAACAAACCTTCTTGACATCGAACACTTCCGGACACCCTCTATATACACGTAAATAAATCGCAACAATACAGTTTCTAATCGTCCGCCGCACTGCCAAATCCTGAAGCTCATCTCCAAATTCTCGCCGCCCCATCCGTCCATTTGTTCATCGTACGAACCGATGTCCCAGAAGAAGTTCCGTTCGATGGCGAACAACCCGCCGGCCATCGTGGGACTCTTCACCGGCCCCAACGTGTTCTTGTCCCTCTCGTCCTGGATGTCGATCCACGTGAAATGTCCCGACCACGAGAACCCCCCCACTTGGAAACTGGTATCTCCTACAACAGCAAAGTTTTTTAGTACCATCCGGGTGTGTTTAACATGTACCGCATTGAAAGTACCGTTGGTGGAGTAGGCCAGGTTGGTGGCTTCGATGACGTCGATGATGGGTACCAGCACGGCGGTACGATCGTCTTCTATCCTGGATAGTAGCGGTTCTATCCAGCCTACGGTGGCTTCGCAATGGGCATCGAGGAAGATCAGCACGTCGCCGCGGGCCCTTCGAGCGCCCTGCAATCGGGCCCTTATCAGGCCGAGGCGGCTGCTCAGACGGACGATTCTGACGCGCCGGTCCTTCAGGCGGGTGTCCACGTAGTAATCCAGCAGTCCTTTGAGCGATGCTGGAGATGTAAGCTTAAATTAGTGGAGTGTTTGGAAATTCGAGGGCGCGTTTTGAAGCTTCGTAAAATTGACTAGAGGCAAGTTGGAGACGTGGAATTTGCAATATAAGCGGCCTCGTACATTCTCTTGGTGTTCACCAAATAGAATCTTCCTAGCTTAATTTTAAGGGGTCGAACCAACGCTTTGAATGAGAACATGTTTAAAATGCAACTTTTCGAATAGCTCCTCTATAATGTCGCATAAAAATAGAAATATTTTCTTGCAGATAATGCTACTTTGTGAACACCAAGGTAAATCATCAGGCTACGTCTGTTCGAAATTTCAAGTTTCTAGCTTGCCCATAGCCAATTTTACAGGTCTTCAAAAACGAGTCGCTAATTTCGACGAGTCTACAATACAATTCGATATATAAATCAATTCTTCGGAACACCCTGTACTATATATACATCCAAAAATCCGAACAGAAACTCACCATCGGTACTGGCATCATCGACCAAGATGATTTCTTCTAATAAATGATCAGGAGTTTGCAATAATACACTCCACACCGTCCTCAGTACCACGCTCAGCAGCTCATCGTAGAATATCACAACGACAGAGGCCTTGAGTTTCGGATTGTACGTGAAATGTTTACATCTGCAAGAGATGCAGTAGGTGAGATTAAAAAAAATCTAAGCACGCTCGATCGTAGCAAAAAAAATTTAAGCACTCTTGATCGTAGAGTATCTGCATACATACTTCTTGTTCCTCGGATCTCGCAGGGTCCTATTCAAGGGCAACCTGTCGCTGAGTACGGTATTCAAGGCGAATTTCTTTAGGGCTTCCTCGCCTCGTTTGGCGTCTTCTCCGTCTAAGTACGAAGGCTCCCCGTTTTCTCCTAGATTAGGCACGATTCGTCTCTCGTACTCTCTTAGTGTTAGTTCGAATGTACCGCTCGAATTATCGATTCTCTTGTAGCGCTCTTTGACGTCGGGCGGCTCTTCTCGGATCAGTTTCGGCAGGATCAGCAGCGAAAAGGCGACTACGGTGATGACAAAAATACAACGTACGTGTATTTTCTTTAAACGGAAGCATCTCAGTAACATTGTCCGCGTAGTATCCTGTTGGAAATAACCATGCTAATGGAGCACTGGAAGCACCTTTTTTAGTATTAATTTTTAATTAGCCTTGCTAGCGACATCGTAGTTTCGCTAACTGAAAGAAAAGAGTACCGTTAGAGGAAAATTAATTCAATAGTTAACCGGAAGATTCGAGCGTGCGTAACTGTACTTTTATGAATACAAAACGAGGATTTTGTTGGGATACTTAGCGAAACAATTAAAATGTATACGTCAATTGAGTAATGGTAGGTTAAAAATATAGGTTATGTTCAATGGAAATGTCAAAATTGACGTTTTATAACTAACCTGTCTAGGCTGTTATGGCTATTCAACCACTCTTCTACTATTCGTTTTTTTGGAATATAGAATAATTTACCCACTGTGGATTTTCTCAAATGTATCCACAAATAAAAACTGATGCATTTAGTATTTTAGGTTTATTATTCACGAAAAATAGAAAACAAAGTGTCTTGTCATTTGTCACTTTTGTCAATCTTCTTTTTCTTAGTCTTTTGAAATTTGACAGATTCACATGGGATGAAAAAGGGTAGAGAAACTATCGCCGTCTTATTTTGGACAAGTACATAAAAGGCGAATTTGGACCTTATGATATGATCCTAGCTGAACTCAACTTTGTTTACTAAAATAATACTCGATCCAAAGAATTATTTATTATAAAAAAATGCGAATAAATAACGTACAAAAATTATTAGTGATACAGTTACATACATTTAACACTATTGTATACACATAAGTGCAAATTTGTGCGCAACAGAGACAACTTCCATTTAGTCTCACATGAAGTAGTAAGAAAAAGTGATATCGTGCGTTATTGCAATTGTCTCACTCTAACCCACTGTTATTTGAATAATCTTTCTTCACTCATAGAATTGGCCATATTGCAAACAAATTTGCACTTACCCATATGTACACATGAAAAAGTCGCGACAAACGATATTAAACAAACAAAATAACAAAAAAAATAATAATGGCAAAACTTATACCAAATTAATTAGTTACGTACAAATTATTAATTAGTATTAATACTGGGAGAGAAATTGTTAGTGGTGAAACAGTTCTATCTACTATCTACTACCTATGTATAATTCGTTTCCCATCGGGGGAAATCCCGAACTATCGCAATCAATAACCGACATTGATAGAAATTCCGCACCGCAAAGTGCATCTTAATATTGCAATCGACTACTTCCCGTAGTAATTCCCCCTGAATGGATCCGCCTCCAACGTCACCTCGCCGCCTCCATTAGCGTCTTTCCACAGGGACAGATCCACAGATGGCAGGGATTCGCACGACACCACTGGATTACTGGAAAAAAATTAAACACGCATAAATAAATACATATAAAGAAAAAATATCGAATTTATGGAAGTCATCTTCAAAGTGCACCAGGTCCTTGATTCGAATTTTGGAATATTAATGAAGGAATTAACGAATTGTGTCCAATATGCAAAAATAAACAAAAAATATCGAATTTATGGAAGTCATCTTCAAAGTGCACCAGGTCCTTGATTCGAATTTTGGAATATTAATGAAGGAATTAACGAATTGTGTCCAATATGCAAAAATAAACAAAAAATATCGAATTTATGGAAGTCATCTTCAAAGTGCACCAGGTTCTAGATTCGAATTTTGGAACATTAAAGAAAGAATTATCGAATTTTGTGTCCAATAACCAAATATTAACAAAAAATATCGAAATCATGGAAGTCATCTTCAAAGTGCACCAGGTCCTAGATTCGAATTTTGGAATATTAATGAAAGAATTAACGAATTGTATCCAATATGCAAATACAAACAAAAAATATCGACAAATCGGACCCCATCTTCAAAGCCCCCCAGGTCTCAGAAACCACCAACAAATCTCCAACAACCAATCCCCCAATGTCCTTCAACCCCATTTCCTTCCACCCCATCATCCAATCGCACTCGTCACCAATACCTGTGCGATATCCTCTCGAATCCCCTGGGCTGCATCGCTCGAACCCCATGCGAATTGTCGCACAGCAACCTCGACATGCTCGTCTTCCTGACCTCATTCAGCTGCCCCAGCGTCAGCCCACCCCCCACAGAGTTCTCGAAGAAGAACCGATCGCCCTTCCGCGACCTGAAGAACTGCTCGGTGAGTATGCAGAGGAACGTCGGCCCGGCCAGCGTGCCGGGCACGTGCGCCTCCAGCGAGCCGCCCACCGTCAGGTCCACGTCGTCCGGCGATTGGTACAAATTGGCCAGCTTCTCCACGTCCTGGAATCAGAAACCAAGATACAGCAAACAGGAAACGAGTCAGAGGAGATTGTTCGGTACCTTGGGGGTGATGAGGTCCAGGAAGCCTTCGAAGGTGTGCGCTTTGGGCAGCCCGCAGAACTGCCTGTAGTCGTTGTAAGAGGCCAAGCCGTGGTCTCGGTTCCTCTGGACATCGGTGGCTTTGAGGTCTTGCCCGAAAGCCTGGCCTGCCCTGAACATGAACTGGGTAATCTGCAACCATCAACCTATTAGTACAAACACCTGGTGACCAGGCAATCGTACTTACCTCGCTGGTGTGGAAGCGATCCGCAGCAGATTCCGGCTGGGTGTTCAAACCTCTGGCCAGCTGATCGAAATTCTCGCCCTCCTCCAAAATCTGCGGCCTGTTGAACCAATCGCTCAGCCTCAAACTGCCGTAGCTCGACCGCGCCTCCGTCACCAAGCTGCGAAAAAACAACCAACCAAATCACCTCCGAGCATCTCCTTTGCTTCATTTCCTTACTCCAAGCTGCCCACGATCAACGAATGGAAGTATCTAAAAGCGGCGGTGGCGTGCTCGTTCAGAATCGTCGGATCCACCGATTGGTCGTAATCATCCACGAACCCCTTGGTGTTATAGATGATCTTGTTCTTGAGCGAGTTCTGCGAGCCGATGAACAGCGGCAGCCACTCGTAGTAGGTGATGAACTGGTGCTGGGCCACGTTGATCATCCTCGCCTCCTGGAACACCGTCTCGTCGTCCCAATGCGGATTGAGCGACGCCAGCGCGTCCGCCAGCCGGTTGTGCTCGCGCAGCAGCACCACCTGCAGCAGCGTCAGCTGCGGGTTCTGGTTCACCCTGGCGTCGCCTGGAAAAACGACACCCGGGAGGGTGGATAAGCGTTAATCGAAGCTCCATAAATGAGATCAGAAGAGTAGGAAACAGTGTGGAAGAGCAGGGAAGAGTATAGAAGAGCAGGGAAGGGTATAGAAGAGCAGGGAAGAGTATAGAAGAGCAGGGAAGAGTTTGGAAGAGTTGGGAAGAGCAGGGAAGAGCTGGGAAGAGCAGGGAAGAGTTAGGAAGAGTAGGGAAGAGTAGGGAAGAGTAGGGAAGAGTAGGGAAGAGTAGTGAAGAGCAGGGAAGAGTTTGGAAGAGCAGGGAAGAGTTAGGAAGAGTAGGGAAGAGTTAGGAAGAGCAGGGAAGAGTTTGGAAGAGTAGGGAAGAGTAGGAAAGAGCAGGGAAGCGTCTGGAAGAGTAAATTCCTTACCGGCTAGGTAGCAAGCTTCTCTTGGGTTCTGGATAGCGCAGACTCCGGAAGCGTTGTTCGATCTAGGCGGCCATTCCTGGCCGTTTCTTGCCTCCACTCGCATCCTGCCGCCTTGGAACTGCCTCACCTGCCTGTTCACCTGCTCATTGTTACCGTACACCAGCGACAGGTCCAGGAAGTGATTGACAGCCGTCAACTAAAACAAGAAAACGATATGTTGAAATGTAAAGCAGCAGGATAATCCTCTGGATAGGTTTACCTGCTCGGCGGGCTGGTTGTCCGGTACGCATCTTCGGTCCTTGTCGGTGATGGTACGCACGAAGTTCATGCACCTGGTGTTGGTACGGCCCATCTGGGGATCGTGCTCGGGCAGCCGGATCGGGTAGCAGTGCTCCGGCACGTCGGCCAGTTCGAGCAGCTGCCCGTCGGGGGAGCAGCAAGCTGTGGAGTGGGGCTCTGGAAGAGGAAGACGGCGAATGAATTGGAGGAATGAATCGGAGCCGGCGATGAAGATGGCGGTACTTACGCGCCTGCGTGCTGCCCAGTATCATGCTCATGTCGTGCGTGATGATCTGGCCGTACTGCATGGCGTTCAGCGTGAATATGGGATCTTCGATGGGAACGTCTGGATATATCGTCAGGCTGACCATTCTGGATAGCGGCAGCTCGTCGCCGCTTCTGGCTAGAGTGGGATTGCTGATGCCTGTTGAAAAGACGTTTCAAATTGCAGTATTTATCCGGGTAGTACCGGGTAGTACCGTGTAGTACCGGGTAGTACCGGGTATTTACTTTGCGCTAAAGATTGCTAAGACATAAAACAAGCAAGTATCTTGGATATCTTGGGTAGTACCGGGTACTACTTTGTGCTAAAGATTGCTAAGTTTTAAAACAAGCAAGAATCTTGGATATCTTGTGGATATTAATGGAAGGTTACTGCAAATAGGGGTACTACTTACCGTCGCCGTAATTTTGCGGCAACAATCTAGTGTACGGTGTGTTGGGGGTGCCCAGCACGGGGTTCCTCAAATTGTTGCAGGAACCGTCGTAGGAGCGGTACCTGGTCTTTGGGCAGGCGGCCGGAGGCGTACCGCATCCCAGCGTCGCGGGATCTTGGGGTTGCTGGGGCGGTTGCTGGGGCGGCAGATTCCCGAAATAACTGTTACCGCTGCAAGCGCATTGTTAACCGTGTTATTTGTGCCAAATCGAATGTCAATTGTCGAATGTGTCGAATGTGTCAAATGTGTTAAATGTGTCAATTGTGTCAAATGTGTCGAATGTGTCAAATGGGTCTAATGTGTCAATTGTGTCAAATGTGTCAAATGTGTTAAATGTGTCAAATGTGTCAAATGTGTCGAATGTGTCAATTGTGTCAAATGTCAAAAGTGTCAAATGTCAAAGTGTCAAATGTCAAAGTGTCAAATGTCAAAAGTGTCAAATGTCAAAAGTGTCAAATGTCAAAAGTGTCAAATGTCAAAAGTGTCAAATGTCAAAAGTGTCAAATGTCAAATGTGTCAAATGTCAAAAGTGTCAAATGTCAAAAGTGTCAAATGTCAAAAGTGTCAAATGTCAAAAGTGTCAAATGTCAAAAGTGTTATATTCATTTTGTGATTTACTTACCCGTGATATGTGTTGTAGGATCTGGGCAGGAACAAACCGTCGTTGAGAGATTGCTGCGGAGATTGCAGGAAGACGTTGTACGATGGGTGGATTCCGGCTGCGAATTCTTGCAGTAATTGCAGCACCAAAGCCGTAATTAAAGCAGCGGCCGACATCTTGTTGTGTGAATAATAAAATGGCTGTAACTAATGGAAAAAAAAACAGTTATATTTGTAGCGATAATAAATTCACTTTCGACGTTTCGACATCGGGAGAATCGTTCATCAGGTAAACAAAGGGACAAACGAATATTACACGAGTGGTGAGAGTTAATTAATCGTGAACTTATTAATAACGAGGCTAAACAATAAAATATAAACGAAGAAAACAAATCGTATTTCTTTCGCAATTTCCACGAATTCTAACTGTAATTCAACGAAAAAAAAAAAAAACAACATATAATAATAATAATAACGCCGATGAATCCGTTTAATTAACGTGCACAATCCGATTCGTAACGTCATTATCTATTGTATTCGCTAACGTTACGCAACGGAATAAAATATATTACACGCTCCCTGTATACTGTATAGTATATAGTATAGTTAATTGATTATATTATTCCTGCGACTAGGCAGGAGAGTTCTTGACCGTTTCGCGAAAGGACGGCTAATTAACGCGCCCTGTCGAAACGATTATTTCGCAATCGTCAGACATTGAACGAGCAAATTGTAACGAAGAAATTAATAAACCGTAACGGTCGGTTAGGTAAATGAGCGTTTGTAACGTTCCGTTAACGTCACGATTTTACTCGCATTTGGTACAATTCACCTACTAGATTAACGCCATTGACATATTCTTCATTTGACACATTCTTGTTCGATACATTTGACACATTTGAGCTTCGACTTTTGACATTTGACACATTGGGTGTTTGATGGATGAAAGCCGGTGTTGCCAACTTACTACGCATTTCTATGCAAATTTGATTGATTTTTTTTTTGATATTAGATTCTAATGTTGTTGTTTTGAATTGAAATTGAATGCGGCTGCATTTCGAACGAAACCGGCTCGATCGTTGCATAATTATATAATAACAGTTTCGCGGAATTCGTTAATAAATATCAAAACTGACATTACCCGAGTTGGAAGTGCTCGTAATAATTCATCATTTTTTACAATTAGGCACGTTGGAAATTTGTGAAAGTTTCAATTAGACGTTCGGAAAATGTTATCACAAATATATCAAAATACCTCCGGTACTACTACTACTACTAGATACTTCAATAAAACAAGTACCGGTCGCCATTAAAAAAAAATATTGTCAACATTATACAGGGCGATTCCTCCATAAACATTTCATCCGACATTTTGTTAGCTAAATTTCTTATTTAATTACTGTTTATAAAGTACCATTCATTTCGAACAACACCCCGTATACAAAACAAGTTTCGCAACAAGTATTTATCTATTAATATTTCGACCTGCTCTCGTATTTGTCCGGATTCAAAGCACCCATAAATTTTTATCGACATCTATCTAGCGAGCTTTGCACGACTGAAAAAAAAAATGAATGGAACAGTGACGTAACGGAAATGGAATCAGAGCCCTCTAGTTTAGGTAATGACGTAACGTTAACGTGAAATTGCAAGCCTATAATTACGTTGTTTCGTCGCATATAAATTATTGTCATTTGACAGATTTGACAGTTGATACATTCAACATTTGACACATTAGATGCATCTGTTGACGCATTTGACCTTCGAAATTTGACAGAAGACATTTGATGTTCAGTTGACACATTTGAGCTTCGACATTTGACAGATTTGGCATTTGATAAATTGACATTGATACAATTGAGAGTTGATACAATTGACATTTGATACATTCAACATTTGATACATTTGATAAGTTTGACATTCATTAAAGACATTTCATAATCGACATTTGACAGTCGACATTTAGCAGTCATTATTTTACATTCATCATTTGACACTTTTGATATTCATTGTTTGACATAGACACATTCAACAATTTGACACATTTAACACCAGACATTCGACATTTGACAGGTGACAATTGACATTTGACAGCCGATATTTGACAGTTGGCAGCCGACATTTGCCATTTGACAGTCCGTATTAAACATTCATCATTTGACAGTCGACATTTGACATATTTGAACATTTAGAATAGTGACGTAGCGGAAAAGATAGTTTAGGTAATGACGTAACGTTAACGTGAAATTTTGGTACACATGCGAATAAAAAAGGTGTTAAAATTTTTAAGCTCTGTTTCTTTTGTGTAAATTTATAATAATTTCATTTTTTCGGGTTGTGTGAAACACGTTGTTAATTACCTACGCATAATAATTTAGTGTATGCTTTCGTTTTTTTTTTTTTCGGTAACCATTTAAATTGGCATTAAACTTAGCGCTCGATCGAGTTTAATGCGAAAGTGTGCGGTAAATGAGTGGAGAGTATTAACAAACAAAAAATAAATAAATAAATAAATAAACGGTCGCCTTGCGATATAATGTATTCCGGTCGTTAGAAAAAAATAGGATAAAATACGATTTGGTATTTGTGAAAGGTTGTATTGGCAACTTGACGTTAATTCAGTACCAACTTGCTTGTATGTACTTACATATGTATATACAGGGTGGTACATTAGTAAGAATAAAAAGCTCAATTTAGTACACTATATTTTCTGTGGATGATATATCAAAAAAAACTTGTTCATAAAAGTTGTATACTTTTATGATACACCTTCTAAATTTCGTTACATTTATACAGAGTGTCCCATTTTGCATTGGTAGTCCTAACGTATACAGGGTGTTAATTAATTGTATGCCGATACTTCAGGATGTAAATATTTGGATGGTTTTAAGAAGAAAAGTTTATAACAATGTATGTCCTAAACCTCTTAGTTTTCGAGCTACAGGGTGTTAAAATTTTAGAAAAAAAAATAACTTTTTTATCATATATTTCTTATTTATCAATTAATTAACACCCTATATATTTCTAAATAAAACACCCTGTTTTTTATTCAAAAAATTAATTTACTAAAAATCGTACTAAGTTTACCTTTCATTTTCATTAACATTCCTATTATACATTTAAAAAAGTATAATAAGTTTGCTGTACCACCGCAAAACGGGACACTCTGTATAAATGTAATTAACTTTAAAATATTCGGCATAAAATCTACAACTTTTGTGAAGAAGCTTTTTTTTTTTAAATTTCTACAGTAAAAGATTTATTGAGCTTTTTCTTATTATTATGCCGCCCTGTATACAGAGTGCTTCAATAATAATTAAACTTATTTTAAGCGTAAAGTATAATACAAATTCTTGCTTTTTTAATGAACCTATTAATTGTTCATCTTTAATCATAAAAACAAGAATATTTAATAGCGAAATAAAGATGTAAATAAATATTTATGAAAATAATTCATCAGTACTACTTTATTACAATATACTATTATAATAATTACTTAATCAAATTAATACAATAAATGTGTGATGATACGCCAAATAATTATTAATATTCCTGCGAGAAAAAGAAAACACGCATATTTCTAGTACCACTAAAACAAGAGAATTTAATCCGGAAATCTTTCGGTACTACCTAACAATAACGCAATTAAAATATTCCATTCAAACTTATTAAATAATAAAAAAAACCAGAATTTTTTTTATTGCTTTTTATCGCTTCATTGTGATATAATTCGCAAGTACCAATTCACAATTCGTTTTCCAACCTTCGAATTCGCCATTTCTCCATCTAATTAAATCGTTATATTAGGCAGTACCGCGTCAAATTCTGTTATAATTAGCGATCGTACTGTCGACACACTTTCGATTTCTTTTATTTCTCCGGGGGTACTTTTAACGAATATCCTGCTCGGGTTTTGCCCAACAATCTAGCGGCCTAGACCTTGGTACAGTTTACTTTGCGTACCGCAATCGGTACTTACTTATACAGGGCGATTCTTGCGTCATTTACGCAAAATGTAACAAGCTAATTATAGATAGTTATATCTAGTAGGCTTGCGGAACTGGTTAGTTTACTTTAGAATAAATTATTTAGAGTACTGATCGGGTGTAATTGATCTCGGGGTGGTACCTGATGAATTATATTGTAGTTAAAATATTTTGGGTTTTGTTTGGAACTTTGTAAAATAATTGTTTCAAGTACTTGGCAAATTCGTTGGGTAGATATAATTCATTTTGAGGTGGTACCGAATGAATTATACTGAAATTCATATGACTTATTTAACTTAGGTGCTGGGTTTTCATTGGAATATTAAAGAATAATTATTTCAAGTACTTGGTGAATTCGTTTGGGTATAATTCATTTTTCGGTGGTACCGGATGAAATATTGAAGTTAAAAAATGGCTTATTTTTGATGGATTTTCTTTGGAATTTTGTAAATTAATGATTTCAATTACCTGCTCAATTCAATGAAATTGATAAACCTTGGGGTGGTACTGGGAATAATTCATTTTTGGTAAGTACTCGATGAACAATATTCAAGCAAAAAAATATACTTAACGTATATGCTAGATTTTATACATTTTTAAACTGATCCCTTTTGTCAAAATCATTTAGGGTGGTACCAAGTCGAGGTGGTACCTAAAGAACAAACAATAATCAATTTAAAAAATACTTTTTACACATTCAAAACGGACCCTTTAAAAAAATATTTCAAGTACCTATGGTACCAAGTAACTCGGGGTGGTACTGGAAAATCGATAATTAAATTAAAAAAAAACCGACTTACTCAAGTTGCGAGGTACTACTTCCGGGGACACTTCGACAACCGACGATCGACTAGCGAGTCCCTACGCCCGTACTTATAATTTATAACCACTCGGTACTTTCGGTAGGAGAAAGTAGGTACCTACTGCCTAACGCGGAGACCGTCGACGGCGATTTGAATTAAATCGCTATATTCCTGGGAACAAACCGCTTCGACAGGTCCACCTCCTTTTTGTCAATGACGGCGGCGGCGGCGGTACGGCCGGAGCAGGAAGTACGCTGTAGTACTGCTCGGCGATTGTTTACGTTTTTTTCCAGAATCGGAGGTCGCTTTCCACATATATGAAACGTTTGCATCATTACACACTGTTCATCAAAAATGCTCCTAGAAAATCAGGTACTTCAAAAGCTTGAATGTTTCAAATGTGCAAGAAAAAGTAGTACCTTTTGGTAGGAATATTAAATGTTCCAAGCTAGAAGATCGCTGAATAAAGTAGAAGAACATCTGGAACTCATTTAATTCTTAATTGGAAAATTAGGTAGTACCATAGAGTACCGTAAAGCGTAAAATCTTCTTCATAAATCGGTTTTAATTAAATAACATTTAAACAAAATTCTGGTTAGCAAATCGCGCTATATAGAACAAGACTATAAATTAAGATAGTACCGATCCTGCGTTCGTATTAACATGTAAATGTAAATATCGCAATAGCCGCGATATTGAACTGGATTAACGACCGTTAGGTTCGAAGTACTTACGCTCCGAAAAATTACAATCCGCCATTTAAATTTTAATTAATCGTTCTAATGATAATCGAACGATCTGGTAGTACCTCCGCAAGGACGAGGTTTTGGTCCTTTCTTTTCAAACGCTCTATAACAACCTTGCCATAACAGATGGCTTTTTTATAACAATTCTTTTACTCCACTTCTTCGGGTGGTACCGCTACACAGTACGACCAGTACCGGCGATGATTGAGTCGATTTTTCACCGGTGTTAGTACTAATTTATTCCAGAACAAATTGTGTTCCTGTTTGGCTTTGGGTTTTTTTTATTATATTGTATTTACATGTTGTTTACGAGAATGCTAAAAATTCGCTTAATTAGCATGTTATAACAAGTAATAATTATTAACAGATTGATTGTCGTAATTAAATATTATGTAATTGTAACGAATGATTAATCAGATTTACTTGAATCATATGGGGAGATAATAAATAAATAGCCTTGAAAATTAGGTAGTACCAAAGGAGATGGTACTACTATTTTTGTTAATAAAATAACACATTTTTAATGCGAATAATCTAGAGAGGACAATTCATATTAATCAGTAAAAATTTCCTTTTTTTTGCAAAGTAGTACCTCGTGAGTACCCCACAAACTTTTATTGACCTTGAACTTTTGAAATGGGTATTTGAAAATACCCATTTTTATTGGAAATAATTCATATTAATCAGTAAAAAAATCCCTTTTTTTGCAAAGTAGTACCTCGCGAGTACCCTTTAAACTTTAATTGACCAACAAGTGTACAAAATCAACGAGTAGACCCACCGAAAATCGGCCTATCAGAGAACACCAATTGATCGGGGGCGTCGTAATGTTCGAACACGAGTACCTCGTTGGTACCGTTCCTCAGAAGCGGCGCCGGCAGGTACAACGACTGCTGCGGCCCCACGAAGAAGTGCCTGCCCAGCACGAACCCGTTCACGATCGTTATGCCCTTGGTCCAAGTGCGCATGTCCAAATAGGTGTCGCCGACGGCGCCATCTACGTTCAATTCGAATTTGTACACAGCAGGCCTGGATTTCAAACCACCCGTGGTGGCCATCCAGCCGGTCAAGGCGTTGTTCCACGAGGTCTTGAACTCGAACGGTACTATCTCCCACTTGTCCACTTTGGTACCGTCCACGAAAACGTCATCGACGAGTCCTTTGAACTGCCTGAACTGGTCCAGGGAGCCGTAGTTGTTCCTGCCGAAGTTCTCCACTACGAGATCTAAGACACACGGGCCGGAGGTACTACTGTTCGGAAGCAGATCCAGTTGGGAGTCCTTCAAGCGCCAGAATCCGAAACCGTCCAAGTCCTTCGATGATTTCGGTACCGGCGAGATGAGCTGTCCATTATACAACACTAGTACCGTGTCCCTGACGTACCCGGAGATCTTCAACACGGGCTTCTCCGACGGGTTTTCGATGGTAGTTCTGTACACCACGTAGCCAAAATTCTGCCCTGAATTCCCGTTGATGGGCAGCTTCTCCATGGGTAGTACCACGTCGCTCTTCACCACGTTGTCAGCCTTATTAATCAAATCGAACAACGGTAGAACGCCTTGGATTTGTAGAGATGGATGTCGCACCAGAGGCGAGATTTCCGGTGGTACCGGCGTGCGGGTTTTCACCGGGTTCCGAGCCGCTATGGCGGCCGCCACCACGTGGTACTTCTCCGTGTAGTCGCCGTATTCGGTCAATGGGGAATCGTAATCGTAGCTGGTCGTGGTTGGCTGCAAACCCGAATTGTCCGAGCCGCCTTTCAGGCTGTTGGCGCCGTTGGTAAAGCCGAAATTGGTACTACCTGAAATTCAAATCAAGTCATAGTCTTGTACGAAGTTATAGCACTTTTTGAATAGTGTTTATTGTACTTCACGGGGGTTTTGTAAGGCTTCAAAGGGTATTGTTCAATGGTAACTATTTGTAGTACTTCGTGAAGGTTCTTTAATGCTTCAAATGTAATTTTTCAATTTACCAAGTGTTTATAGTACTTCTCAAGGGGTTTCTAATTCTTCATTGAAGATGCTAAGAGTCGGTATGGTATAATAATCTCCTCTTAAAGCTCAACAAACACCAAAGACCTGCTGAAGCTGCAGTATTTACGAACTTACCAACGAACATATAGTGATTAACGGACGAAGGATAGTCCAGAATCTCTTCCAACAGCTTCTTGAATGTCCCCTTGTCCACCGTATGATGTCCCTCCGTCCAATGATCGAACCATCCTGTCCAGAACTCCATGGTCATAGTAGGTTTGTTCTTCTGCAGCTGGTTGAGCTTGTCCAGCTGCCATTTGGGGTTGGTGTTGTAATTGGCGGTCTGCAGGACACCAGGAATGGCGCCCCTGCCGTTAGCCCCGGGCGGATCGGACGTGTAAAGGAGTTCCTCGATGCCATTGTCCAAAAACAGCTGTTGGACATATTGCAGATAAGGTAGGTCGTGGTTGCCGGTGTTGCCGTACTCGTTCTCGATCTGGAACCCGATGATCGGGCCGCCTTTTTGGAACTGCAGCGCGGCTAGTAAGGGAAGGAGGACGTTGAAGTACCGCTTCACGGACTGCAGGTAGTTGGTGTCCTTGGAGTTGCGTACTGAGGAGGTGTTGCGCAACAACCAAGCGGGTAGACCTCCGAATTCCCATTCGGAGCAGATGTAGGGACCCGGTCGTACCAGAGCCAGCAGGTCCTCCTCTTGGGCGGTCTTCAGGAACTCCTCCACGTGCAGGAAGTCTTCGAAATCGGTTCCACCCGATCCGAAATCGTACACGCCTGGAATGGTACCAGATTGGAGGTGTCGGTACTCCGATTGTTTGTATTTTATTTACCTGAGTGTGGTTCGTGCAAGTTCCACGGTACGTAGGTTTCCACCGTGTTCAAACCTGCTGCTCGCATTTTCCTCAGCCTGTCTCTCCAGTACGCCCTCGGTACTCTGAAGTAGTGGAAGGCTCCGCTGTAGATGGTGATGTTTTTGTTGTTCAACGTGAAGTAGGGTTGTTTGTCGGACAAACCGGCGGCGATGCCGCCGTTTGTGTAGTACTCGTATACCGTCGGTACTGCCGATACAGCCATTTTTAACTGTACTAATTCCAAGAGTACTATTTCTATGAATTTATACGTTTTGTGCCTATCAACAGCCTACTTGACGATATCTAATCGAAGACATTTAAAATGTAAAGTGCGGATTTTTTTTAAATAGTGTTCAAAAGTTTTTTACTAAAATTACGTCACCACTCGGCGAGCGTTTTCATTGGCTGAGTGAAAAAATCGAACGCTGTTATTGGCTACACTCAGTGACGTCACAAAATTAACAAGAAAACGTCTTTTTCTATGAAGTCAAATATTTTATTTTAAGCAATATGAATCGAAAATATGTTAATTAAATGATAAAATCATCGAATCCATCAATCAATCTAGAATTAAGCAACAAGTTATAATTAAATCTCAATGAAATATAAACAAGGTACTCGAAAAAGCGAATATTTATCGCCTAATCAATTTTAATCTAATAACTAAGTGAGCTGTGAACGGACCAAGTCCAACTCCTTGGACAAACATCGCAACTCAATTGGACTTTTATTTCGACAGCTTGACATTTTCACAGTTTGACAGTTTGACAGTTGATAGTTTGACAGTTTGACAGTTAGACAGTTGATGGTTTGACAGTTGATAGTTTGACAGTTGATAGTTTGACAGTTTGACAGCTTGAGAGTTTGAGAGTTTGAGAGTTTGAGAGTTTGAGAGTTTGAGAGTTTGAGAGTTAGACAGTTAGACAGTTAGACAGTTTGACAGTTGGCCAGTTTGGTCAATTGGACACTTGCCAAACGGGTTGATCGACAAACTTCAACTCTCCCGGCGACTTGTAATGTTCAAAAACGACAATCTCGTTTCGTCCGGTGCGCAAAAACGGCGCCGCCAAGTACAAGGTCATTTGGGGCCCGACGAAGAAGTACCGGCCCAAGACGAACCCGTTGACCAGTACCACCCCTTTGGTCCAGCCTCTCATATCCAGGAACGTATCGCTCGGAGCTCCCTCGATGTCCAACGGGAACCTGTGCAAGGCGGCCGCCCCCGCCGCCTCCGGCTCTATCCACCCTTTCAAACCTACGTTGTAGGATCTCTTGAACTCCAACGGTACTATTTCCCAGTCGAGTACCTTCGCATTATTGATGGTAACGTCGCCTTTGAGGCCTTTGAACATGTACACCCCCAGGGTGTTTCTGCCGGCGTTTTCCACAACTATTTCCAACGTGGCGTTCTGGATGGGGCGGGCGTTGAGCTCTAACGTAGGTTCATAGAGCCTCCAAAAACCGAACCCGTTCAAATCGTCGAGGCGAGTCGGCACCGGCGAGATTAATTCTCCGTTCAAAAGCACCAGTACCGTGTCTCTGACGTAATCGGGCAGCTTCAGCAGGGAGTTCTTCTGCAGATCCAGACCGGTTTTCCTGTAGACTATGTAGCCCCAATTCTGGCCCGTTTCCTCCATGGTCTGGATAGTTTCGCTCTTTATCGATCGACCCACCTGGAAATAAAGAAATTTAGTTTAGGTACTTACCCGGTACTACTTACTGTAGTGTTTACTTACTATGACTGTATATACGAGTATTTGCTATAATTTTAACATTTTAACCCTCATTTGGTACTACTTTAGGGCTTACCCGGTACTGCTTCAGTACTTACTTGTCTGATGGCTTGGGTTAGAGGCAATTGGCCCGCCGGTCGCAAATCGGGATAGGCCATTAGAGGCGTATCGGGCGGAAATTCCGGCAACCTAGTCTGGATGAGGTTATGTTTAGCTATCGTTTCCTTAATCAGGTCGTACTTGACGGTTTTGGTACCGTATTCGCTCAACGGCGAGTCGTAATCGTAGCTGGTCGTGATCGGTTTGAGCGCCGAATTGTTCGCAGTAGGTATCAAAGTAGCGCCGTTGGTGAAACCGTAATTGGTACTACCTGGAAGCACGTTTAAGCACGGAAAAAATAGCGAGTACCATCATACAGGGCGTCACCTGCGTACCTACGAACATGTACATGTTGACCGATCCGGGATAGTCGAGAATCTTCTCGAGCTGCGCCTGGTACTGACTGGGACTTTTGTGCCGGTGTCCCTCGCCCCAATGGTCGAACCACCCCGTGTAGGACTCCATGCACAGATCGGGCTTGCCCCGCTGGAGGGCGTTCAGCTGGTCGAACATCTCCTTGGGGTCCCCGTTGAAGTTGACCGCCTGCAGTACGCCCGGTACCGCCCCGTACCGCCCGTTCCGCGGCGGGTCGCTGGTGTAGAACAGCTCCGAGATCCCGTGCTTGGTCATCAGGTCTTTCAATTGGGACAAGTAGGCCGTGTCCTGGACGTGCTTGCTACCGAATTCGTTCTCGATCTGGAAGGCTATGATCGGACCGCCTCGCTGCAATGGTACTAAACATTAGAGTGAACGTGGTGTGGTAGTACTGAACTTTAAAATTGTAACAACCAAGTGGATAGATTTAACAGGAGAAGATAGGAACCCATCTCGCTGCAATGGTACTGAACGTTGGCGATCTGGTAGAGGTGGTACCGAGTACTATTAGTAGATTCAAGCGGAGGTTCTAACCTGGAATTGATGGGTGGCCAGAAGAGGCATCAACACGTTGAAGAAGGCCGCGACGAAGGCGAGGTAGTACCGATCGGCGCTGCTGCGGATCCTGCGCACTTTGTTGCTGATCCAGCTGGGCAGGCCGCCGAATTCGAACTCGGAATTGATGTAAGGTCCGGGCCGGATCAGCGCGAACATGTCCTCCTCGCGCACGGTCCTCAGGAACTCGTCCAAGTGCAGGAAATCCTCGAAGTCGCTGCCGCCCGTGCCGAAGTCGTACTTACCTGGAAGTACCAAATGCAGCGAATGTTTCAGCTCAGAACAAATCACCTTTCAAGCACCTTTCGTTCTCCTTCTCTCACCTTCCTATCCTTTCTAAACCTTTCTAGACCTTTCCATACCCTTCCAACATACTTCCTTACCCTTCCTTGACCTTCTCTAGCCTTTTTTGACCCATTTCTGACCCTTTCCTCTCATTCTATATGATTCTTCTTCACCTTTCATTAACCTCTAGCCTTCCTATCTTCCTCTACCCTTTTTTTTTGAGCATTTCCAACAAACTTTCCTTATCCTTCCCCAGCCTTTTTTCACCCTCCTTTACCCTTCTAAGTTCTCTCTTTACCCTCCTTTAACCTTTCCTGACCTTCTACGAACCTTCCTTACCCTTTCCTAACCTTCTACGATCCTTTCTTACACTCCCCTTCCCTCCCCTAACCTTCCACGATCCTTCCTTGCTCTCCCCTCTATTCCTTAAGCTTCAAGGATCCTTCCCTACCCTTTCCTAACCTCCCACGATCCTTCCTTGCTCTCCCCTCTATTCCTAAACCTTCAAAGATTCTTCCTTACCCTTTCCAACTCTTCCTTACCCTCCGCCATCTTACCTTGTTCGGGTTCGTGCAGGTTCCATGGGACGTACGTGGAGACGGCGTTCAAACCTGCTGCTCGCATTTTCCTCAACCTGTCCCTCCAGTAGGCCCTGGGCACTCTGAAGTAGTGGAAGGATCCTCCGTACAAGGTGATGTTCAAATTGTTCAACGTAAAGTAGGTCTGATCGGCGGATAGGCCCGCTTGGATGGCGGGCGTCGCGTAATAATCGTACAGGCCGGGCAAATCGACGACCATCTTGGATCTTGGTTTATTTTGATGTGAGGTGCATACGGTGAGTTGGAATGAGAAATATTTGGTCACGTTTGGTTTTATCTTGAGAGTTGTAGATAAGGTGTGGAATGTGATTGATGAATGCATTATGTAATGCATAGATTATCTGTATAGATTAATGTATAGTCTATATTCTATATATTTGATGTATAGATCAGTTTACCGTCCGACTAGTTTTTTGTATAGATCAGTTTACCGTCCGACTAGTTTTTGTATAGATCAGTTTACCGTCCGACTAGTTTTTGTATAGATCAGTTTACCGTCCGACTAGTTTTTTGTATAGATCAGTTTACCGTCCGACTAGTTTTTTGTATAGATCAGTTTACCGTCCGACTAGTTTTTGTTTATAGATCAGTCTACCGTCCGACTAGTACCTGCTTGATTAAAGAATACGATTGGTTAATATCGTTATAAGTAAAAGGCCAATTTGCGACGATAGGAAATTTTTCTGTCGCAAAAAAAAACTCATGTATAATTCCGCGGGCGCGCTTCATTAGCCGTCCTCTTTCCATTTTCCATTTTTTTTTCTTCTCCGTTCCCATTTCGGCTTATTATACCGTTATTATTTCGCCGGGAAAAATCCGTATAATGGAAAATCGCGTTTTCGCCCTTGTTATCGTCTCGCGGAATTTAATTACCTGGACTTTGCGGGCATATTCTAATGCGATGGCGAAAAGTTTTCCTTTTTTTTTTCTCCTAATAATTCCGCCCCGTCGAGAAAACTTCGCCGATGCGAATTTCTCGCCTAACCTCGTAGTTTTTTATACCGATATATAGTGATAGAACTTTTAGTAGATCAGTTTACCGTCCGACTGCTTCTAAATAGATCTGTTTACCGTCCGACTGCTTCTAAATAGATCAGTTTACCGTCCGACTACTTCTAAATAGATCAGTTTACCGTCCGACTGCTTCTAAATAGATCAGTTTACCGTCCGACTACTTCTAAATAGATCAGTTTACCGTCCGACTGCTTCTAAATAGATCAGTTTACCGTCCGACTACATCTAAATAGATCAGTTTGCCGTCCGACTGCTTCTAAATAGATCAGTTTACCGTCCGCGTAGGTTCATATAGGTATTTCCGCGTCCTATTTGTAGATATCGTGAAAAATAAGGTCGTAAATCATCCCCCAGTAAATAGGTACGATGTGAAAATTGCGCGCGATTGCGTCGCATCCTCGACTGTAACAATCAATTAAACGGGGGGGACCCCATAAATCAGATAAACGCCTCGTATCGCGGTCGTCGATCATCTGTTGTCTCTTCCTTGTTCGCCTCTACAGCCCTATTATTTTATCTCGTTGGCGATAGCGTCATCAAAAATAATTTTAAACATCTCTCTCTCTCTTTCTCTTTCTCTCTCTCTCTCTCTCTCTCTATCTCACTCTCTCTCTCTCTCTCTCTCTCTCTCGAAACTTTTCCTGAAATTTGCAAGTTGCGTTTAAAAAACAATAAAATCTAGTGAAATTCCACAAAAAAAAATCGCATATGTATTGAAACGTCATCATATTGAATCGATTTTAAATCGTTGTAAATCAACATGAATCGATTTCACAAGAAATAACTCTACCAAAAAAAAAAACTCCACTCTTTTACACCCCATTTATCCGTTTCTCTCCCTCTCTACGTTTACTCTACATTACCAACATAACAAATAATTAATTCCCTCCTTGTAATTTCCCGATAAAATTCCCCGTTTCTAATTCCTCTCGAAAGGGATTAAACGGCGCGTAAGCGAATCCAGCCCGGAGGAAAGCCATTCCACGGCCGCCTTTCTATTCTCTTACACAACATGAAATCCTTCGAAAGGTCCTCAAAAAACATGTGTTTCCATCTCGAGTAAAACGGGAATTTTTATCGCCCCACGGTCATTAGGTTCTCTATTAGAGTTTATCGGGGTCGACAGTGGCGTAGCGAAAGGGAAAATGTGCCCCTAATAAATATCTCTAAATGTTTGTCAAGAAGGTGGTTGAGAAGGTGGTTGAGAGAATTGCATTTTATATAGAAGAGTAGCCTCGAACTGTACAGTTAACAAGCTACTAATAATCTTCATCAAAGCCATTTCCGCGTATCCCGGAACAGCATTTCAGATGGATTATCATCCGAAATACTCTTCTTCTAAATGGCGGGGCGCTTTCGCAACGTAAACAAACAAAGAAAACCCCGTTCCAGTTTATAAACGATAAATTAAAAGCGGGTTGGAAAACCGCATTTGCTATCAGTAAATTCCAGATTCAATTCGAAGTGCATAAATCTCCCGGGGCTCGGCGAGTTGTCGTTGGGCCCGCGATAAATCTCGTTCGAGGGAATTAATTCCTCGACGATTCCGAACAATTATGCGAATTGATTCCGACGAATTTAACTCGATTAGACAGTTGACGTTGACAGTTCGAAATATCTCGTCACTTGTCGCTAGTTTGAATGGTTGTTTCGTGTAGATTACGCTTTTGTTGGATTTATTTTAATAACCTGCTGGGTAATTAAGCGTTATTAAGTATATTTTGATTGGATTTAAATGATAATCCCTTTAGAAAAAGTGTATAACAATATATAGGGATTTTAGGAAGGGAATTGATATGAGCAGAGTGGCGCAGTGGAAGCGTGCTGGGCCCATAACCCAGAGGTCCGTGGATCGAAACCACGCTCTGCTATTCTGAATTTTTTATTTTTTTAATTTTTTTTTTGCTTTTCCTACCAATTTTACGTTAAAGTTTCACGAAAAACCCTTTTTTTTTCGTAACGTTCGTACGATAATCGCGAAAATTTTAGCGTAATGAGGGCGCCGTTCCAGACGGGTTTTCAGACCCCTTTTGAATCATTTAAAGGCTTGAAAAATGCACGAGAAGGCGTAGCGTTTTCCGTTCCGCGATGAAAACTGCGCCCGGAAAACCGTCAAACGTTGAATATTTAACGACGGAAACGTCCGAGGTAATGCTACTTTTTTTTCATATGGCAACGTCGCTCAAATTGCGCTTGGTAATTAGAAAAAAATAACTTGGGAGCAAACGTGGTGGGTAATTTATCGCAAAAACGAATTTTCCTCCCTAAAGTCAACGAGTTATATCACTTCTGTAGGTGTTTATACAGGTTGACCCGGTTTTTTATTCTTTCTGTTTTTTAAAAATTCCCTGTAGTTTTGATGAAAAACGCTAAAAAATAAATTCATGTACGTCAAAAATCGTCGATTATTCAAAAGTTTTCCGCGTTTGGGACACCCTGTATGTATAAAATATCTCCGGCTTTCGGTAGATAGTAAAACGTAAAAAGCTTGGGAACATCAACGTATAAAAAAGGGCGGTTTTTATCATATATTCAACAATACGACGATTTTCGGAGAGAGTGTCTCATAAAAAATTAAGAAGGATATACTTGATGTACGCAAAAAATACATCATATAGAAGAAAATGTGGAAAGCTTAAAATGTTTCTTTTGAAAGGGAAATAAAGTCATATTGACGTGTTTTAAAGATATATTATGTCGATTTTTTTATAATAAATATACACTTTTTTCTTACATTTTCTCGTTTTATAATCGCATACAGGGTGTTGATTAATTGAATGCCGATACTTCAGGATGTGAATATTTGGATGATTTTAAGAAGAAAAGTTTATATTAATGTATGTCCTAAACCTCTTAGTTTTCGAGCTACAGGGTGTTGGGAAGGAAAGGGAAGGAAGAGGCCGTTTTTAAGGAGATTGAAAAAAGAAGATTCCTTGAAGCTGTGCTGGAAAAATACTACCAAAAACTCGAGTTGGAAAGCTCACCAAAACAACCACCTGCCTTTTACCCGTCGTTCATCCAGCAAATTTCCATATGGAAAGCGTTTAAAGAAGAAATATACTTTCAAACACCACCAGGTGCTACTGATCAAGCTTCTTCGCACATTCCTGCAAGACTTCCATCTAAAATTGCTACCAGAAACTCACACCAAAACAAACCCCTGCCTTTTCCCCATCATTCATCCAGCCACCAAATCCCCACGTCATCTTGAAGCATCGACGTCGCGCAGCTCGAATGCTGCGCCAGCAAATCGACCCCATCCGATCACCGCCCGAATAAACCATGCATCAGGAGTACTCGACCACCACGGAGGAGTCGTCGGGCGGCGAGGCCTTCTCCAGCTGCAACGACCTGGACGACGAGCAGAACTTCCTGATGCAGTACCTCTACCAGCAGGAGGCGGACGCCGCCGCCGAGGAGGAGCACCTGGAGGAGGCGGCGCGCGGTCGCGCCGCCACCATCAGGTTCCGCCCGTCGAGCGTGGAGAGCGACGTGGAGAAGACGCCGTCGGCGTGCGAGTTCTTCACCAACGAGCTGGACTTTTCGCACAAGTTTGTAGGTAAATGTGGTGGAAAGAGTACGATTTGATAACTTTTTTAGGTTAATTGGGCCGAAATAAAGCGAAAATGAAGAATACATTTTTTTGATATCTCGCTTCGTTTTCGAGATATCGATACTTGAAGTTGAACATACGTTTTTGCATTATGCATACTGATAAATCTTCAATAAATCATATAATTAATGATAAATTACAACAAATTATAGTAAATTATAAACTTACAATCTCTATTGACATATTAATTAAACCTACACTACCTTACCCCACCCTACACTACCCTATCCTATTACACGACACTACACCAAGCGAATCTTGAAATAACTTTTGATAAAAACTTAAAGTAACGATATTTCGAAAACGAGGCGAGATATCAAAAAATTTTATAATTCATTTTCGCTTTATTTTGGCTCAATTAAGCTAAAAAAGTTGTCAAATCGCAGCTCCACGAAAATCGCACTCTCCCCAATATGCTAGTACCCTGGATAGAGTGAAAATCGATACTGGAAGGTTTGTTTTGGAACTTGCATATAGTGCTAGAAGAATTAGGAGAAGCTCTCCATGGATACATTAGACAAAAATTGGAAGGTCTCCTACCTGGTGCTGAGAGAATTCGATAGAATCCCATCCTGTCCAATCCTCTCATATCCAAAGAACCTCACGCATGCAACAAAGCTCCTTCTGGCCGGAGACCCTCTGGAATCGAAAGAGTTTTCCACGCACCATCGAATCCCAATAACTCCGCCGCCCTCTTCCAGACAAAGTCCTCAAATCGGCGAAGCGCTTCTACGAGCGCAAATCGAAGAAGCGCCTGGAGAAGGGCCCGGCCAAGCCGCAGGTGGCCGACATCGCGTGGCCGACGATCGGCGAGTTCGACGAGCGCGCCGGCCACGACAAGATCCTCGAGTACATCGCCGAGACGATGCTGACGAAGGAAACGTGGGCGACGGACGTGCGCCTGCGCAGCATCGCCTCCGACTGTTTGAGCGAGTTCTACAGCTACGAGGCGAGGTTCTCGATATCGACGCCGTGCTATCCGATACCGCAGGCGACGGCGAGCGTCTTCTTCGAGTTCGAGGTGTGCAGGGCGAAGCCGCCCGATTGCACCGTCGACGTGGCCTTTAGGTTGGAGGATTTCCGGCTGGCGATGGCGCCCGGGAAGGATCTCATCTCGGACGCGCTGCTGTTTCGCGTCATCGATATGAAATTGGCCGTTTTTAAGAAATTCCGTTTTTGAGGTTTTTTTTTTGAGTTTATTATTTTTTTAGTGTTGGTTATACTGTAGGTTGTATTTGTGTATAAAGGATTGCTTTTTTGGGTGTTTTTATGATCTAACACAGTTGTCTCCAACTTTCTGGTTAACTGGCTAATTAATAGTAAAAGTAAGAGGTCAAAAATTAGGAAAAAAGGGGAGTTTTATTAAGCTATTTTTTAAACGGATCTATTTAGAATTAGTCGGACGGTAAACTGATCTATTTAGAAGAAGTCGGACGGTAAACTGATCTGTTTAGAAGTAATCAGACGGTAAACTGATTTGTTTAGTAGTAGTCGGACGGTAAACTGATCTGTTTAGATCCTTCCTTCAAACTCCATCCAGCCAAAAATTCCTTCCAGCGCTAGCACGATTATAGAAACAGTTTATTCATCGTTTACTGATGGAAAACGGCCTCGACCTTGCTTAGCATTCCAGCCAATAAACCATAAGAGCTTGGTAAGAGCTTTCCAACTCGAGCTTTTGGTAGTATTTTTCCAGGACAGCTTCAAGGAATCTTCTTTCTTCAATCTCCTTCAAAACGGCCTCTTCCTTCAAACCGCATCCAGCCAAAAAATCCTTCCAGCGCTAGCGCGATTATAGAAACAGTTTATTCATCGTTTACTGATGGAAAACGGCCTCGACCTTGCTTAGCATTCCAGCCAATAAACCATAATTCCTCGTTAAGCATCGCTCGAAACGAATTTCCTCTAATTCGAACGAAAAAAAAAACGAAAAAAAAAAAACCACCGAGCACTAGATGTGGAGAAATCGAATTCTCCGATATCCATTTGAGCGTTTTCTCGCTCTCCCAATTCGGGAATTAACGCTTTCGTTAAAAAGGAACAAGCGAAATCCGATCGAGTTTAATCGTGGAAATTCGAAAGCAACGGGAAAATTACATTTCCATTGATTTCTATCCCCGAAAAAAAAAGGGGACTTTTCCTTGAATTTATTAGGGAAAATCCATCGCCGAGCGGTTTTGCTCTTAACGATTCGTTAACTAACCGGCGATTAAATTAATTGATCAAGAGAGAATTGAATAAATTAATACTCAGAAACTCGGAGATTAATAAAATATCTACTAATTAATTAACGCCTCGTTAACTAACCGGCGATTAGGATGATTTAATTTTAGCAATTAGTTAATTTAACATGGGTTTAATAAAACGTACAAATAGTTAACCCATCGTTAACTATAACGGGTCATTAGGTAATTACCTAGTAAATAATTATGAGTCTCATTCAAGTGCAATTAGAATAATTCATGCATTTAATTAATTTAACAAACGATTAATATAACGTACGTTTAGTTAACGCACGGTTAACTAACGGTGCATCAAACCGAAATTAAATCGAGCGTTATTTCGCACATCTCGAGCAGTTTCTTTGTACAAATCCGGCCTCTTACGTCGACGCTCGTTCAGCCAACGATAACGACAAGGAGAAGAGGAGAAAAGCGGTCGGAAAATCGGGTCGCTTTTCCTCCGGCGGGCCGTAAAAGAAAATGGAAATCACCGTCCCGCTCCGGCCGGCCGGTGTCGTTTCCCCGAACTGCGTACCTACCAGACTTTACTCTTATCGGCGAATGGGGTAATTTTCGCCGGTCGCCGGCCCAGGAAAAGCCCGGCGATCTCTCGGGTGCCGTCCGCGGAAAACCCGCAACTCCGTAACGTTTATCCGGGGCTTTCCCGAGGATCTTTCTCTGTTCGATGGAAAGTCTTAGCGCGGCGCCGAACGATGCGGATTTTTCCGAAGGGCCGGGAAAATTCGACTGAGATGTTTCGTTTTGAGGAAAAAAACGGGGTGGGTTTTCGAGGAATTTGCAATAAGCGATTGCTTTCGAACACGTCCTGTATACAGGGTGATTAAATGTAATTGTACACGTTAAATCTCGTGATGACTGGTTAGCAGATTGGGCGGGGATTTTAATGTGTGAAGTATGATACTTTAGAGGATCAGTTTACCGTCCGAGTAGACTAAAAGGGTTCAGTTTTCCGTCCGACTAGTTCAATATAGATCAGTTTCCCGTCCGACTAGACTAAAAGGGATCAGTTTTCCGTCCGACTCGTTCTATATAGATCAGTTTCCCGTCCGACTAGTTGCCATTTGACCATCCTGTACAAACCAGAGAGTCCCGTTCGCATATTTCGAGGGTAATTTCGCCGTCGTATATAATATACCGGGGCATTCCGGACCTTTTCATCGCGTTATCTTTCCGACTGAGGGGGCGCCCTTATTAGACCTTTTCTTCCATATCTTTCCCCATGAATATTCTTATTGGCTCGCGGAAATTTAATAAGCGATGTACAAAGGCCGCTCTGATTGCGCTTTATTGGTTCGAATAACACTCGGTTCGCGGATAAACAGGATTTTCTTTTTTATTTTATTTTTTTTTTTCGTCTGCGTTTGTTAGCGAGGAAATGAAGGCGAAACGGGGGAAAATTCTTCGACAATGGACGCGACAATGTGTTTTTTATACGCATTAGCTAATAAATGACATTTCTGACGTTTGACAGGTGATGTATGACATGTGTACAATGTGTTCCGGGGTATTTTAATTGAGGTTTTCGGGTTTTTTGTTTGACGAATATCGCGTTGTTAAAACGACTTTTCTTCAATAACGCGTTTTTCCGGACGACGGGAAAATTAAATCGATTAATTACGGAACATCCGAGGGTTAAGTAATTGACAATCGGATGATTGATGACGGTTAACAAATTGGAAAATTGGCGTCTTTTTTTTTCGGGGGTAAAAAATGAATGACCGGAAAATGGCCACGGAAAATTGTTGGATAATCGATTTAAAAAAATTTTCCTACAAGAAATTAATACGTAAAAACACCGAATTCAATTCGAAACGAACGTTTCCGAGTTTCCCGGAGTTTTCCCGCCGGAAAATCCTCCAAAAATAATTTTTCATTTCCTCCACTGTCAACGAAACAAAACGCGCGATACGATATTACTGCTAGAACAGTGATTAATACGCACCCGAAAACCAAAAAAAGAAAATCGGAAAAACCACAAAAAAAATTCCCTCTCTTTCGATTTCCCGGTTTTCCCCGTACACGTCGATCCTTATCTCGCGTGGCTGCGTAACGTGCAATCGAGGCCTCTGCGGGAACGAGATAGTCGCCAATCACCGGCGCTTTTCATGGGATTTTCCGCTTTCCGCGGGAACGTGCAAGTGGAAAAGTCGAGTGGCCGGCGATCCCGGCGAGTCTGAGATATACAGGGTGGCCCAAACGGTATAAGCAGATTCGACGGGATAAGAGAGATTGCTTGAAGGAAAATGGTAGGAAAATTTGGAAAATTGAACGTATTGTGGGTATGTTTTGAGTTTTATTTCAGCGATTATTTGGAAGTTATAAGAAAGTTTTTATAGGAATAAAGTTATAGAAGTTGATAGAGAAAAATTGAGGAAATTGGGCCACCCTGTATATGTGAAAATGAAAAGTGGAGAGGTCGCTGGAAAGTCGTCGAGTGGGGGTTTAATTTTGAATTTTTGATGAGCCCATTCGGCCGATTTAAAGAGCGCGTTTTTCGAAAAACAAAAGGACGCAATTTCCCTGGAAAATGGAAAATGGAAAAGCCGCTTGTTGACGATATTGCGGCGGGGATGCGATACATTCTCAAAAAAAAGGGGGATGAAAGGAAAGAGGCTTAGAGCGGCTCGAGTGAGATTTCTTTCTTTTGAAAAAAAAATTAAACAAAAAATATACAAGTTTAAAAAATTGTCGATGATGGTTCAACAAAAAAAAAAAAACGAAACCTCTGCGTGGGAAAAATAAGGAGCACGTTTCTTCAACTCTTTGTTGATCAGTTTACCGTCCGACTAGTTCTTTATAGATTAGTTTACCGTCCGACTAATTCTATATAGATCAGTTTACCGTCCGACTAGTTACAATTTGACCATGATGTACAAACTGTACAAAATTTAAACTCTTCTTTAAAGAATCTGACATTTACGAACCACCCTGTATACTAAACTTCACCCTGTATATCTCCTTGTTGACTGTTCATCCCTATCCCGAACACATTGTACCACCTAAATAAATATAAATATTCCCGACACGTTTCCCCATGAACTAAAACACACCGGTCGGTGGGGGAGAGCGGGGCAGAAAAGGGGGTACCAAAAGCGAGGAAAAGAGGGGCGAAACGGGACGGGAAACTTCCTGACCTATTCCGGTTAATAAATTTCGCATTTGAATTCCTCACTTTTCGCGCAATTCGCCGCCGAAACGGCCCGGAAAAGCGCGTTCCGAACTCATCTAATTCCTCCTCTCGTTACCCGGAAAATCCAGACGGCTCGCCGTTTTCTCCTTTTCGCCCGATTTCCCCGAATTCCGGCCGGTCCGCTTAATTCGCTTCCGATCGAGTTACCTGCCGAGAGGACGGGTGCAAGGACCTCTCTCTCTCCGTTCGAACGATCATTAATTTGTTCAAGGATGTTACGTAATGTATTAACATGTCGGACGGTAAACTGATCTATATAAATTTAGTCGGACGGTAAACTGATCTATAGAAAACTAATCGGAAGGTAAACTGATCTAGAGGTTGATGCATATTAGTTTGGAATATATAAACTGTTGGTGCAACAAAGACAACTGACATTTGCCATTTGTAAAGGTAAAACAGAAATAATATAAAAATAATATTTTCTTTATTAAACTCATATAGAATTGACCATATTGCAAACTTTTATGCACTTACGTGTATGTAAAATTCGTCGGACGGAAAACTGATCTGTTTAAATTTAATCGGACGGTAAACTGATCTGTACAATAAATAGTCGGACGGAATACTAGCGTACTACGGAATACCATGCTTCGCGTCTCGAAATCCTCGCAATAACTTAAAGAATAAACGAGCCGCCTTGGAATCCCTAATAAATACCGGGGAGAGAAAAAAAAATATAGAAGAAAGAGCCGGTCGAGCCGCCCCCCGCTCGACTCGGAATCGCCTGGGGGGCGGGCGGAGCCGCCGCCACACACAATAACTCGCCGAGTCGCGTAATTACTTCGACCCGAAAATTTAATGCGACGAGCACATGTTGAGGGGCATTATTACTTTTCCGCTCTGATGAAGTGGCCATTCGGAGGCGGCTTTAATGGCGGCCGCCCGCCTTTTGGAAGCCGTCCAGCGAGCTTTACGGCCGGCATTTTCACCTACGTACGGAGCGTGCTCGAAATGGAAACCTTCCATAATCATCCATAATATACCAACAGTTGATAGAATTAGCCACATGCTAAAATGAGAATTGAAGAAATATGACAGATGACAGTTGACAGACGACAGACGACAGATGGCATATGACATATGACATATGACAGATGACAGGTGACAGGTGACAGGTGACAGATGACAGATGACATTTAAGGAATAAAAATCGTCTGTAAATGTAGTGTAGTGCGTATCCTTTCAACAAGTGGGGGAGCGAGTGGGGTAGGCGGGGGGATTTCCGTCGGTTCGAGGAAAATTCGTGGAGCGTGTACGGGATTAAAACAAAATACATTAGTCATGCGAAAATGTCGGGGCCGGTCGAGAGGATGAAAGATAGAGTAACAGTTCGTCGTGACAAGGGGGCGAATTAATAGGGGGGGTGAGGGAGGGTAGGGGGGTGGCGGCGGTTTTGACGGTAGGAGACGTTAAATCGCGCGTATTTTAATAAGTTTCCCGACGGGAAACGTGCCGGATTTTCTTTTTAATTCGCCCGCTTTTCCGACGCACGTCAGCAGGACGATCAAAGCCGTTGCCTTATATTCTCGTTCGGATAGATTTTGCGATTGCGAAAGACCCGTCAAGGATGTATTGATGTTGACGTGAAAAAATATTTGGATTTTCCAATTCGAATTTTCAACCTTCTAGAAAATAAATTGAAATTCATGTTCTCCTCCTTTTCTTTATTCCTCAATTGCAAACGTTATTAATAACAACTGTCAAATGTCAAATTTATCAACTGTCAAATGCCAATTTCTTAAATTGTCAAGTATAAATCTAATCAACTGTCAAATTCCGTGTTTTTCAGCTGTCATTTTCCACAAATGCCAATAATATATTTATATACTATATATTTTCCAATTTGACTTTCCTTCTAGAAATAAATTGAAATTCATGTTCTCCTTGTCCTCTCTTTATTCCTCAATTGCAAACTTGATTAAGAATAACTGTTATAACTGTCAAATGTAAAATTCATCGACTGTCAAATACCAATTTTATCAACTGTCAAACGCCAATCTAATCAACTGTCAAATTCCAATTCTTTTCAACTGTCATTTCCCACAAATTCCAAGAATATAAACGCCACAAACCGTCAAACGCCAATTACATCAATTTTTCTCACCTGTCATTTCCGACTGTCAAATCTATCAAACGTCAAAATTAGAGAGCGATTAATAACAGCAGAGCATAAACATTAGAGCGAAATATGTCCCGAGACGCGGCATCAGGGTAGGCGTAATGGCGGTTTTCGGGCCAGCAAAAATCCCTCGTAACAGAAACGTGTGCCGTAATGACCTTATTATCGCACGCAAAACGGGGGGATGCCCCGCTCAACATCCGGGGAGGCCTCTTATTAACGACCCGGCGCGGTTTACGCGAAAGGTACAACGTTCATTTGTTTTACCCCCGATGTCCTCTCGGGGATTACCGGAGAACGCGACGCGTTCGTCTGGGCTGGCTAATCAAGTGGGCGGCGGGTGTTGTTTTTTTTTTTCGTGACGTTTGACAGATCGTTTGCGGACTGGTGCCGTGTTAGAGAGTGGGTTTGGAAGTGTTGTTTTGAATAGGTGATTATCTCGGATATTAGTCGAGGTGGAAACGTCGCGTTTGGTTTGTTTTGTGGGAAAAATGTTGTTCTGTAAATTTTGGAGAATGGAAAATTTTGGAAAATGGATTGGTTTTCGAGATATTTTGAGGTTTTTGTGGTCAATATGGATATTAGTAATTTTAGTACAAATCGAAGGATAAATGTAATTATCTCGGAAATTAGTCGAGGTGGAAACGTCGCGTTTGTTTTGTTTTATGGGGAAAATGTGGTTCTACAAATTTTGGAGAATGCAAAATTTTCAAAAATCGATCAGTTTTTGAGATATTTTGTGATTTTATAGATTCTGTGGAAATTCCTAATTTTAGTGGAATCCGACAAACAAATTGCAATTATCTCGAAAATTAGAGGAGATGGAATTGCTTAGTTTATTCCATTTTTTGGAAAAATTGTTTCTCTATCAGTTTTAAAGAATAAAAAATGTTCAAAATATGCTTTATTTTTGAGATATTTTGAGTTTCTTGTGGTGTTCATCGATTTTATTCATTTTTATATTGCAGTTTCGTGAAAAGTTTCCATTATCTCGAAAACTAATCGAGATAAAAGCTTCTCGTCTATAACAGTGTGTATAAAAATCATTTCTCTACGATTTTTGTAGAATTCGAAATTTTCGAAAACCCATAATTTTCAAGATATTTTGTGTTTTTTAAAGATCCAATCGAAATTAATAATTTTAGGACAATCCGATAAAAAATCGCAATTATCTCAAAAACTAATAGATGCAGAAATTCGCAGTTTGTTTTAAATTGTAGAAAAAACCTTTCCCTACAATTTTCGAAAACTCGAACATTTTCAAAAATCGCTTTAATTTCAAGATATACGATTTTTTCTCGGATCACAATGAATTTACTAAAATCACTGCAACCCGACCAAAAACACCAATTATCTCAAAAACCAATAGAGATAAAAATATCCCATTTACACCGATTTGCAGATAAAAGATTTTCCTACAATTTTTGAAGAACACAAAATTTTTAAAAATTGCTTAATTTTCGAGATATATGAACTTTTCACAGATCACACTGAATTTTCTCATTTCACTGCATTCCGATCAAAAAACATCAATTATCTCGTAATCCAATCGAGATATAAACATCCCGTTTGTCTTACTTTATAGAAAATACGTTTCTTTACAATTTTCGAAGAATACAAAATTATCGAAAATCGCTTTATTTTCGTGTTACACATATTTTCCACAGATCCCACCGAATTTTCCAATTCCACAACATTCCGACCAAAAACCCCAATTATCTCGAAAACCAATCGAGCTACAAACACCCCGTTTATCCCATTTCATAGAAAAATCCCTCCTCTACAACTTTCGCCGAGCACAAAATCCCCCAAAATCGCCCAGTTTTCGAGTTATCCCATCATTTCTCAGCACAACTTCCAACAACACACCTCCAAAAATCCCGCATCTTCTCTCACCGCGCGCCGTCCTTCACCCGCTCACCTGGCGCAATTGCCGACCGCCCTTCCCGCCTCCGCCACTCTCTCGCTCTCTCTCCCACCCACTACGCTCGACAGAGACAGCGCTCTAGCATCACAGCGAGAGCCGAACGACCCGAAGCGCCCCGACGCCCGTCCACATCGCAGTCGGCCCGGCGTGTCTCTCTTCTCTTTGCGCTCAAATCGGCTCAATCGCGCTCCCGCCGTCGAGCCGGACGCAGCTCTTTAGCTCTTTAGTCGGCGAGTCGTCGCGATTTCAGGCTCGGGGCCTACCCGTGTGGTGCTGGTCGAGATGGGTCGAATCGGGCGCGCGGCGTGGCCGTGGTTCTGTGCGGTGATGGTGGCGTTGGCGGGGCGGGCGGCGGCCGCCGGGGACGGCTGCCCGGCGGCCAAGCTGGCCGCCTACGAGGTGGTGTTGCACACGTTCTGGTCGAGGGAGAGCTTCCCGAAGCACTATCCGGATTGGAGGCCGGCGGCGCAGTTCTCCAAGTTGATAGGTGAGTTTTTGGGGGCCGTCGGAGGCGGTTTGGGGGGTTTCGGTGCGGCGGTGGTTGTGGAGCCGTGGGTGGTCTGTGGAACGGTGCGAATCGGGGGGGTTTATCTCGATGAGTTTGCGAGATATTCGGGGTGTTCGGTGGGGTTGGAGTGATTTTGGTAAATTTGATGGTATCGGTGAAATATTCGTGTATCTCGAAAATAAAGCGATTTTCGAAAATTTTGTATTCTTCAAAAATTGTAAAGAAACGTATTTTCTATAAAGTAAGACAAACGGGATGTTTATATCTCGATTGGATTTCGAGATAATTGGGGTTTTTGATAGGAATGCTGTGAAATTAAAAAATTCGGTGGGATCTGTGAAATATTCATGTAGGTATCTCGAAAATAAAGCGATTTTTGAAAATTTTGTATTCTTCAACAATTGTAGGAAAATCTTTTATATACGAATTGGTGTAAATGGGATATTTTTATCTCTATTGGTTTTCGAGATAATTGGTGTTTTTGGTCGGGTTTGCGGTGATTTTAGTAAATTCGATGGGATCTGTTATAAATATGTGTATCTCGAAAATAAAGCGATTTTCGAAAATTTTGTATTCTTCAAAAATTGTAAAGAAACAAATTTTCTATAAAATAAGACAAACGGTATGTTTATATCTCGAGTGGATTTCAAGATAAATGGGGTTTTTGATCGGAATGCAGTGAAATTAGAAAATTCGGTGTGATCAGTGAAAAATTTATATATCTCGAAAATAAAGCGATTTTTAAAAATTTTGTATTCTTCAAAAATTGTAGGAAAAGGTTTTTCCCACGAGATAAAGTAAACGGGATATTTTTATCTTGATCAGTTTGTGATATAATTGCAGTTTTTTACGGACTGCTGTAAAATTTGCCTGGCATGACTTACAAAAAAATCATATATCTCGAAAATAAAGCGATTTTCGAAAACTTTCCACTCTCCAAAAACTGCGGAAAAACAACTCTTCCACCTACCAAAATAATCAATACATTCCTACCTCTATTAGTTTTCGAAATACTCGCCATTTTTCAACTCGACGCATACTTCATACCGAAACAAACATACCGACTGCATCCCCCCTACATACCAACCCCCCCTGTACAACAGCAAGGAGTAAATGCAAAGCCTACTTTCCAGGACCCGCTCGGCGCCTTTCGCCCTTTTTCGGGCCCTTTGATGCCCTTCGAAACGTCGGATATTCGATTAATTACCGCGCTTAATTAATACGGACGGAGATCCGTTTGTGCAAGGCCCCATTAGAAGCGTCGCGGCGGCGGCTCCGCCATTGAGACGTCCCCGGGACTCTATCGGGTTAATTTGCCGGAGATATTAGATCGGCGAGCCTGTCGAAACAGTCGCAGAAAATTAATCCCTTCTCTATACACGTTGTATAAGCGTATTTGATGTTTCGGTGAATCCCGGATATTTGCACAGCAATCTTGCCGTTTGCTCGGTAATAGCTGGTGGGAACTTGCTCGATATACAGGGCGGTCGAATAAAGCGAATTTGGCGGGAATATTCGCGCTTGGAGCGACGGTGGGGATTGTAAGGTGCGAAGTGTGATACTTTATTAGATCAGTTTACCGTCCGACTGTTAAAAAAAATGGATGGAAATTAGGCAAAATGAGGATTGTGGGGATGAATACAAATACAAATGGATAAAAAGTGAGTAAAAATGCGAAAGAAGTGTACAAAAAAAATTGATTTAGAAATTATTTTTTTATTGTTTGTTAATTAACCATCAATCAAACGTAACAAACAATATAAAAAAATAAAATTATAAAAATAAATTTGTGTCGAATTGTTTCCTCTCAGTACATCTGCACTGTACTTAGAAATCTTTAATCGGACGGGAAACTAATCCGCTTAAATGTATCATACTTCGCGCCTTAAAATCCCTAACATTCATACAACACATTTTAATTTGACAACTGACAGAATATCAAATTGACATTTCAACATAGTTTCTTAAGCAATTATTTGGCGCTATAATATAGTTTTCACGAGCAATTCTCCCGTTATCCGATCAATCTATATCGATATTTATCAGTCAAGTACTACAAAACAATTGGATTTATCTAATCTTACGGTTCGATTTATTTTTATTTTGTCCGCAATATCTCCGCTTATATAAATCAGGATAGTTCAGGTAGTACTATAGTATCACTAGAACTCGCTGAAATGTCTCTGAAATTCCTGGTACTAATTTCGACGCTGTTGTGGCGCCATCTTGTTTTAGCGGAATCCGATTGCCCTATCGTTTCGACGGTTGAAAATTTCAACGTCACCGCCGTAAGTACTAATCTAGTAAGACGGTACTATATTACCTAACGATGGCTATTTTTACATTACCTAGTACTTGGGAAAATGGTACGAACAAGAGAAGTACCCCATTTTGACGGAAACCTTCGGCTCCTGCATTTACACCGACTATTATCAAGAAGACGGTACTACTAGATTCAAAAACAACGAATTATTGTAAGTTTATCGCGAAATGACATGTGACAGTTGACGTTGATGTACGGCAAAAGTGACAGATGTTTTGTTTAAAGTGGTTCTCTTTAATACAGTAGCTTAGTATTTAGATTTAATATTTGTCTTCTATTGACAAGTGACAGAATGACAGATTTTAAAGTTTTGACAGTCGCGACAGTAATCCGACCATTGACAAAAGCGACAAGGGATTTTTTTAAAGCCGACGAATGACAGTTCTAAATGTTTTGACAAATGATAGAATTGTATAGTGACAGTCGACAGTAATTCGTGGACAAATGACAGTTATTATGTCATCATTATGTCATACGATTTATTCCTGATAACGCATCGATATTTACAATTATAAATGACAGTTGGCAATTGATAAAAGTGACAGGGAAGTTTTTTAAAGCAGTTCTATTCGATTTAGTATTAGCTATACTTATCGATACTAATCTCTCCTTGACGAATGACAGTTTATAATGTTTTGACAAATGATAGAAATGTAGTGACAGTCGACAGGAATTCGTTAATAAATAATGACAGTTAGTATGGTGAATAATTTTTGATAACGTATTGATATTCATCTTCTTCTTCTTCTATGTTGTGGCCTCAACGACTAAGGCTATTCGGATAAAACGTATAGATAAATGACAATTTACAATTGACAAATGACAAATGACAGTTATAGTTACCGTATTCGCAAGTAAAATAACGAAACGCGACGTTGCCAAGTCGCACAATTAATCCCCATCATCCGAGATTTCTATACATGTCTACATTTCACCGGTCGTGACGTCATAACTACGTCATTTCGAGCGCATTTCACGCGAAAACCCGTTTTTCTAGATTCAATTTGTTGCCGCTATCAATCGGCGGCACGGTGTCGGTAAATTCCACCAGCGGATTGCTGTTGATAACGCCCGACTACAAAAGTAAGTCCAAATTTTTAAGGGGTGGATTTTTTGGGGGGTAATCGGGCGAAACTAGAGGGATGTATTTTATTCCGCAGAGACCAAGCACGTGCCCTACTATGTGCTCGACACGGATTACGAGACCTTCGCCGCCGTGTGGACGTGCAGGGAAAATTCCACCAGAGGTAAAAAGGCCCCCCGTTATTCGGGGGAAATTCGATGAAATTTTTTATTTTATTTTTTTTCGTGCTTCGATTCGCAGGCGCCTGGATTTTGACCAGGGAACGAACGCCGCTGGAAAGCGCCGTGGAAAACGGCCGGTCCGCTTTGGACAGGGAAAATCTCAGTTTGGAAGAATTGCGGAAAACCGATCAAAAGGATTGCAAAAACTGAACCATCGCCCACTTTATAAAGTTTCAAACAATAAACTTCCATTTATAATTCGTTTGATTCAATTTTCATCGACAAGTGACAGTCGACAATTGACAGTCGACAATATAGACAGCAGTTCAACTGTATAACTCAGTGCAGCAAAACTGACTTAAATCAATCATCATGTATGACAATAGAGAGTTGATAGTCGACAATTGACAGCGGACAATTGACAATTCGATGACGAATGACAAGTTGATTTGTTTGGAGTAAAGTAAAGCGGCGCCTACTCGATTTTATCGGTGGCCTATTAACCTCGGGCGCATTCGGGGAGCCGAAACGGATCCATCTCGATAGAAAGATCTAAAAATATGGGCGAGCTAAAAACGAATTGGACCGCGCGCGGGTTTTTTTTTCTTCTTCTCTTTCGTCCTCTTTGCGCAGGCGCTCTCGTAAAACCGGCGAAAAATTACATGTATACAGGGTGTCCAGATTTGTGACGTTTTTTTGCATTCTTTCGCTCTCTGTTTGAACTCGTTTTTTGCGATTCGAAGAATCGAAACACCCTGTATTATGTGGAAAGAAAATTAGCTAACACCCTGTAGATAACACCCTGTATTATGTGGAAAGAAAATTAGCTAATAACAAATACATTCCGCTTAAATTCTATCAAATAATCGACCACCCTGTATAATAGATTCGTCTATTTTAAACGTTCCGATAGACGATTCGATTTATTTTCGTATAGAGGCGACATTTTAACACGTCGAATGCCCAAGGTGGAACTTAAATTTTTTTATTATTTTTTTAAATATAGAGGTATAGTAAATCACGGTTCATCAACCCGTTAGAGTCCAAAAATAGCCGAGCGACATTACTAAATTTAACTGCGTTCCAATTACATTGGAATATATTATTTTTATGTGTACGTAACACCTCATAACAGGAAACATGCCGAAATAATAAATAATAATAATAGAAGAAAAAGAAGAGTGACAATTTGGAATTGTCTATAGATGTCTAGATATATGATGCTGTATTGTGGCTGAATAGACGCAACAAACGAGGCCTTTAAAGATGTACTTATTATAGTTTATGTATTAATTAGACTTTTGTGTTCGAAGGTTGGAATGTGTTAATAGACTTTTCTAGATTTTTTTTATTGGTTCTATATCGATTTGAACTCGTATAGGTTTTATGAGTCTTCTATTTTCAGGAATTTCTTGTAAAATTAAGCTCTTTAAAACTCCTATAGATTCAATTAGATTCTTCTGAGCACATTTAAACACTTTTTTTAACAATTTTTTATTAATTTAGACTTTCAAGAAGTCGTATAGATTTAATTAATGTCTTCTAAATTCTAATTTTAACAATTCTATAAATATCTAATCTTGTGTACCGGTCTAGATTTTATTAGACTCTTCTAAGCACTTTTAGACTCATTTTGTAACAATATTGTATCAATTTAGACTCTCGAGAAGTCCTATAGAATTAATTAAAGCCTTCTATAGCATATTCTTCAAAATTACTATAGATATCTAAGCTCTCGTGTGCTGGATCTGGATTTTATTAGACTCTTCCGAGTACCATTCTGGATTATCCCTTCGACCGATCGAGTTGGCGCAATAAAATCATCGCGAACACTCCGAAGGGCGCGCGTGCTGCGCTAATTAACCCAATTAAATCGAATAAAGCGAGACAATGGGCTAATTAAACCGCGACTCATCTGTTGCAAATCGAAAATTAATGGAAGCGATTCATTCCATTAAAATAAACCCGACTCGCCGGAGGGACGATAAAAAAAAAGAAGAAAAAATAAGGGGGAAATACAGCCGAAAAGCTTCATTAGATGCACGTCGAACGACATTCATCATTTCCGCATCGATTGGGCCGCCCCCCGGGGGATCGGGGGAATGGGGGGGCGGTTTTCGGGGGGGCTTTTAATCAACGTCAAGGAGTCTCGCTCGAAGAAGTTCCTCTCTCGCAGGGCGACAGGGTAAAACGGGAGATAAATCCTGCAAGTTTTATGAGCGTTTTGAAGTTTCTTTGTCTATAGTACCTATCGTGTACATTTATAGAGACGCTCTCGGGGAGTTTATACCTGGTAGGATTTATATCTGCTCGAATTGGTTAACTTTTCCGGTCAATCGGGTTAATAACTCTCCTCTTCGGCGGTTTGGGCAACTTTTATAGACACGCTTAGGCTCTCTAGGCACCGTTTAAGTTTTTATAGACAGTTTTTTGGATAGTTCTTGATTCGTTTAAAGTATCTACTCGTGCGATATAGTACTTTTATTATCGTTTCTATACTTCTAGTTTCAATTGTAAGTGTTCAGAAGAGTCTATTTAAATCTAGGCTAGTAGGCAAAAACTCTAAAATGGCTCAGAAGAGTCTTATAGACTCGGTAATATACTCAGAAGAGTTTTATAGACTCGTTAATACTCAGAAGAGTCTCAATTTAACTCAATTGTGAATTTCTACACCCTTCTAGACCTAATTATTTACCACTGAATATTATCAATAATGATCTACCTTTTACCCGGTAGTAACTTTTTGCCAGATTGGATAAATTATCCAGATATCCAGATTTAGAAGTTCCATCCCGTATATGGAAACGTGTAAGCGATCGAAAATCGAAGTGTACCTAATTTAATCAAAACACACCGAGACTTTCCCGGCTTTTCCCTGGGCTAACGAAAAATACTCCAGCCATTTTTCCTGATTTTTTTTCCCTTCTCTTCTTTTTCGAAACCATCAATCTCTGTTCCTTAATTTGCAGTTAGCATTCCTCGGCGTGTTCCAATTTGCTCCCCTTAATACCCTCGCTCAGAACGGATTCGATCCGATGCTAATGATCCGTAAAGGAATTTTCCCCGTGTCGTTTTTTTCTTCTTGTCCTATTGTTTTCCTTCGGTTTTCCTTTCCAGATTCCAGTCACCTGTTCCACCTTTTCCAGCAGTTTTCTTTGATCGACTTACTAACGTTTATTTGGCTCATTTTGAGCGGATTATCATTGTTATAGATTTCTGAATACTTCTAAATCTGTATTAATCCAGATTATGATGCACTTTCCAGTCCATTTTCCACCTCTCCAGTTTCCTTTAATCCATAATCTACCATTTACTTGAATCATTTTGATCGAATTATCATTGTTATAGATTTCTGAATACTTCTAAATCTGTATTAATCCACATTCTTATGCACTTTCCAGTCCATTTTCCACCTATCCAGTTTCATTTAATCCATAATTTACCATTTACTTGACTCATTTGGGCGGATTATCATTGTTATAGATTTCTGAATACTTCTAAATCTGTATTAATCCATATTCTGATGCACTTTCCAGTCCATTTTCCACCTATCCAGTTTCATTTAATCCATAATTTACCATTTACTTGACTCATTTTGAGTGGTTTATCATTGTTATATGGTTTTCTGGATACTTCTAAATCAGTTGATCGACTTTCTAACATTTCCTCGCCTCATTTTGGATATGTACGATTATCCTGGATACTAATAATGATCCAAATCTGGACCAAACGTGTCCAAACTTCGTAAACTTCCCCTCGAAACGAAAGATAAATTAATCCAACCGAGAGTGGTTGAAATTTTCCAAGTTTTATTTTTTCCTATTGAATATTGATTTATGGATACGTCCCGCGGGATTGCTCCTGGAAGCGTCTGGAAAAATTAGCATAAGCGCCGACCCCGAGGAAAATTGGACCGGTGGAAAGTATATTTTCGGCCAGATTGCTAGGTAATTAAATTTCGATGGAAATTACGCGATCGCGGGAATGTTTCCACGCGGACTGGATGCATTTATCGATTTTCCACCTTGAAGGACAATGTGGAAAGGACGCGAATGGGACGCGGGGGGGTGGAAAAGGGGGTGGAAATGGCGCTCGTTAGGAATATGGAATTACTTCCGGACGGAAAACGTAACTCCAGATAGTTGGAAATATGACGTTGCGTTCCAGAATTTTCATCCAGAATTTTCTTCTCGAGAGTTTCACGTATGTGGCATATGACAGGAGAGTTTAAATCTATTTAAAAGTGTTTTCCTGAATTTTGCTTTAATCTGGATGACTAATCAATTTGTGTCCAGAAGTGTTTAAGTTGATCCATAAAGGTTCCAATCAGAATTTAAACGCGTCTATAAGTATTTAATAATGTTTTAGATAAACCTAGAAGAGCTCCAGAAGAATTAAAATATATCCAGAAATTTAATTTGATCCAGAAAAGTTTCGGCTAGCCTTTAAAATACATTTTTGGATCTAGAAGAGTTCCAGAAGTCTTCAACAGAACAATGTAGAATCGAGTTTAGACCTTTCCAAATAAACAAAATCGATTCCAGAACCGTACATTCCCCATTAAATCTGGAAATCCTCCCTTCCAACACCGACAGCTAATTTCCATTGCGTAAGAACGAGCTAGATATATGTATATACTCACCGCGAGAGCGAGAGAGACGGGATATTAAATATATATGGCGGCCGTGCGGATGACAGTTTTTCTCTAAAATAAAACCTCATTATATCCAGAGATGCACTCGCTTTCATTATCCACTTCTGTCAGTCAGCGCCCGTTCATATTTCATCGCCAGCGACGCCCGGGACGCGCTCCGTCGGGACGCCAGCAGCGCCGGTTTCCAGGGGTCTATCCATTGGGGGAATTCCCTGCAAAAAAAAAACCGGTTGAAACCTCATTAATAATTGCCTATTTCTTCGTTTGTTTATTTATTGCTTCTTATCCAGATATTCCAGATGTCTTTGCGAGAATCTTCTGGATTTCGATGGAATAAGTAGCATTCTAGATTCTTGTTTATATCGACTCTAAAACGACTCTTTAAGGATTCTTTTAGACTCAAACTGTTCTAGGAACTTCTGAGGGCAGTTTAGAGGCTTCTAGAAGTCTATAGATTCTTCTAGATTATTTATAGACTTTGTAAGGGTCTTTAAGGACACTTATAGATCCATTTATACTCTTCTAGAAATCTCTAAGGACACTTTTAGACACATTT